AAGCGCATCCATCGTTCCGGGGCCCCATTAATGGGACACCTCATGAGCCAGCACCCCATTCTGCGCCGCCAGAGTATCGATCTCGGATGTCTTTTCCACCTCAAGAGCCACATAGTAATGGCGACGCTCCGCCTCAATTGCCACCGTACTCAATTCCCCCAGCTCCATATTCTACCCCTGTTCCGCCTATGTCTCATACACCAGCTCCGTATGATTCTAACTACTATCAAAGTCAGGCGTATGGTATTCGCCAGCGCAAAGCTGCACGAGCACAGCAGGTAAGTCAATTCTTCTACTCTTTGCCGCAAAAATGCCGCACTGCATAGGTACATGCGCAAAGAGAAAGTGTTGCTGACATATGTTGCTCGCCCCATGGTTGAAGGCTTGCGACCAATGCCGAGCGAGGAAAGCAAAGTGCGATGAAGGTCGGCCGTCATGTAGTCATTGCAAGGAGAACAACTTGAACTGCGTTTACAAAGAAGTCCCTCCGCACAAGTCTGTGTTCCTAGCCCTTCCATTTCAATACTCCGAAACAATGATGGAAGTACGCTAACGACCTTGATAGGCAAGAAAAGGCGACCCAGCTGTTATTGGATCGATTGCAGTCATTCCAGGATGCTATATTGGACAGATTCGATCGTTTAGACCAACTTAATACGGAACACGGGAACAATTTTAATTCCATTCTGGCAAAGATAGACGCCAAGTCCATACCAAAGGAACCACGGAAACCGGCAGTCCCGCAATTGGCGAAGAAGGACATAATCGACATCCAGGAGTCGAAAGCCAAGGATGAGAATATTGCTACAATACCGGAGCAGATATCAGAACCGACTGAAACGGCCACAGAGCAAGTTGTTCCGTCTGGTGAGGATGGTGAGCTCTCAATCCCTGTGGAGCACACGACGGCGGCTCATAAATTGCTGTTGTGGCCCTCTATTCGGAATCTTCTTCATCCAAGAGAGTATGATGAGGATTACGTGATGACACTCGAAGAAAAGAGGGGCTTAATCCGCGTCTATGGTCGTGGAGAGGGAGATGAGACTAGTGAGGACAATGGCCTGTCCCCACCATCAACGACCTTGAGTACTAGTTTTAATGAAAACCAGCCATACTATGCGGCATCCCCCTCTAATGGACCTTGGGGGGTGTACGTAAACCAACCCCAGACCAAACTTGAGAATAAGGGGCTTGACGAGAATGGTATGCTAACTGCAGACCCTGATATGATCCGCCGTTATCATAAAAACTATATGAAACATATGCACCAGCTTCACCCGTTTCTTGATCAGAGCGACTTAGAGAACAAGGTCGACTATTTTATCAGGATGTACTGTCCATTGAAAGGCCCTGTGGTGTCCCCTGGAGTGCCGAATAATCATATGAATGATGTGCCCCGAGGCGCAAAACGAAAGCGTTCATGCGAAAACTTACAAGGTGTGGGATGCGATATGCAACCCGCAATGGAACAAAGTAGCAGCCGGCGTATAGAGAAATCCATCTATAATGCTATTATTCTTCTGGTTCTCGCTCTTGGCAGTATCTGCGAAGCAAATCCTGTGCCCGGCCCAGTCACAAACTCCCCGGTGGACTTTCGAAAAGAGACGATACCTGGTCCTCCTACGCACGGTCTATTATCGCCCGAGGGTTCGGATTCTCTTCCCCAGTCTCAAGGCAGCGGTTACGTCACAGATAACCACACCTATGCATCTCAAGACAAAAACTTGGATTATATTCCTGGCTTAGCATTCTACGCATACGCTACCCAGATCCTTGGAAGTCTCCAAGGAGCAAATAGACTGCCTCATGTTCAAGCAGCCTTATTAGCAGGGCTTTACGCAGGCCAGTTGGCGCACCCCTTTCAAAGCCACGGATGGATTTCTCAAGCCGCCAGGGCTTGTCAAGTTTTGGTTCGATCGTATGGATTGCTATTCCCGTTTAAGCAACCATTAGTATATGGCACTAATTAGAATCCCTAGAAAGCGTTACACACAAATGCCTGATGGTCCCGACAAGGACCTTTACGATTTTGCGTATTGGACCTGTCTTCAGCTGGAGAGGTATGTGTGCACCTTCTATACTTCCTTTCTTTCTACTGTCACCTCGGGAAAGTGCTAAACCTGTATCAAGTGATATACTAGCAGAACTTGATCTTCCCGCCAGCGGTATCTCACGCTCGGAAGCTCGCATCTCTTTACCCAAGGGACGGTTTACTCTTAACCTCCCAAATGAAATTTCCGCCCCAAGTACTATGATGATGTTCTTCTACTCGGCCCAGATTCATCTAAGGAAGGTTCTTAACCGTGTTCATACTGATCTATATAAAGTTGAAAGTGAGTTTTTGGTACCTGGAAAATGGTATTAAGTTAAATGGTGCTAAGATAATGGTCTACAGAGCAAGGGCAGACCCATTGGTCCTCGCACGTTCAAGAAATCTTAAGTATGAATCTTGAACTTTGGCGAAACAGTCTACCTGCTGTTATGAAGTGGAAAGACACAGACCCACCATCAGAAGAAATTAACGTCGCGCGAATGCGAGCCAAGTACTATGGTGCACGTTACATTATCCATCGTCCCTTACTCTATCACGCCCTTCATTACTATGGACAACTAGGCCTTCGCGCATCATCGGATGGTCCATCTACTCAGGCTACTGCTATGACTGCTTCCAAATCACAGCAAATATCACCATCAATGAACCATAGTCAAGGTGCCACAAACATGACACGTCTATCAAGTGATATCGGTCCTACTTCTGGATTCACAGGGATTGCACACCGCGACTTGCCTACAAAGCTGCGAAGAGCTTGTAAAGTTTGTATTGATTCAGCTATTCTCAGCACAGTGGCCTTTGATGGCATAAAGGGTCGCCCGGTAGTAACCAACATTTTCGGCACGGCCCATGCGTATGTGAAAACCTGCAGATATTATGTGTAGGATGGAGTGCATCAGCTGACATTGTTTATTATATTTTCACAGACAATTCGGAAACATGTTGGTATTGTCCGCTACATACATGTCTAGCCTCTCGGAATTGGTGGACCGAAACGAGCTCGAGAGACTTCTTAAGCGAACAATCAACTTTCTGCTGCAGAGTCGTTATATTTCTCCTACTCTCCGGGCTGACGCGCGAATTCTTACTGAGATATACGAGAAAATCTTTGGAAATCCCTCAGAGTGGAGGGATACAACTGATTAAGCTTAGCAGCCTGATATATCTGGATTCCGAATTCTTGATCGGTAAAATTTACTAGCATCTACGATGCACGCCTCACTTAAACAAGTACATGCAAGCTGAATGACGCCCCTAGGTGGCCATAGCTTCACAACCCGCCTGCACTTCGATTTTTCTGCTCCACCAGTGGGCCTTCCAGAACGCGTTTCAGCGTTTTATTTCGTATCTAACTCATGATATATACGTGTATCTGCATGGTGGCTTGTTTGTTTGTTTTTTTGTCTCGATTTTAGATACCACCTGCATTTGTGGTTTGTGTGGTCTTGTCCCGTGCATGTGGAGAGGAAGGGTGGCTATCTGACGGTTTTCTCTGTTGGTTTTGATTTGTTTTCTTTGTGGTATTCTAAAGGTTCTGGTTGGCGTCGACTGCACCTGCTAATTGAAGCAGGAAATGGGTACGGGAGGGATCTTTCATTTGCATTTCTAGCGGATCATGGAGGATTGCCTCCGCATACAATACATTCTGGAACTTCGTACGGAGTACTGCACAGTGCATCTGACAGGTTAGGTGGCTATTATCCATGGTATAAGATTATTGGCGGCTCCTGGGATGATGGGTGTGTTCTGAGTCAATGGCGCATGCTGCCTAAATCAATGGATATAGCGTGGTTCTGCACAGTATCCTTGTCCCTTGGGCATGATGGCTCAACCTCCTCCTTTCATGAATATATAGTGGAAGCGTATGTACGTCGAAGGTTGATAGCTGATGTGTCGGAGATGGCCCTTGCAGGTTGTGATAAGGATGGTCATGTTCCATGGATGTAGTGTCGAGGTCCCTAGGTTGCCTCAGGCACCGCTTTCAGCAACCAAGGTTGCTTCGTACCACGCTGACCAGCTGGGCGGGGTGGAACCCTGCAACCACTACTATTAGTACTGGTAGTAGTGCGCAGTTGAGGAGGCTGGGTTAGACAGACTGATCTGGTACTACGGAGTAGATAATGAGTAAATGACTTCTAATTCTGGACGCTAGTGGTCCATAATAATTATGATATTGTCTAATTGTGGCCCCAGCCATCTCTGTTTTGATTATGTGCATCGACCTGTCCCGCACGTGCACCACGGCGCCCACATCTCACCGCGATTCCGAATCGTTCCAACTAACCTTCTCTGCATTCCTCATTCTTTTTTAACCTACTATAGGGAAGTCATCTCATCCGAGATCCAAACTCATTTTGTCTCCGACATCACCAGCCTCCCCGCATTCCTTTAATTCTACACCAGATCTCTCCCCTCTATCTCATCAGACCCGAGCTGCCGCCTATCCTTGCTTGAGGGCGCTAAGTCCTCTCGATCGCCCTAACTAGCGGCACACTGGAGCAACCAAACTTAGATTGCTGACCAAAGTGGTCCTCGCCTCCGCGCGAAGCTGGGGCCCTCCTCCGACTTCCGAGCAAGAAGGAAAAAAAAAAGAACCACGGTTCAGCTGCGCCAATGTTTACTACCCTTCCGCCGCAAAAACAACTCGGCTGAATTGACCGATCAATCTATACGCGCCCTTTTTGTCCCCAATAGTTAATTTTCTGTTCCACTCTTCTATTCCCCTTATACTTTCCCTGCTAGTCACTTTATCTCTTTCTTCTTTTACTTTCCTTTCTTTTTTCCTCGATCCTCGCTATCTTATAGCCGGCCTGCGGTTTGTATTTTTCTCAACACACGCACACACCTACCTACCCTTTCCTTCGCCCTTTTTGACAGCCGCAGCAGCCCGTATCCCACATGGTTGCCTGGCTTTTTAGGGCATCGCCTTGATCGCTCTCTGCCCACCATGTTCAAGGCCTTATTGGCCGGGGGCCGTTCGTCCGATGCCCGCAGCAGCTCTAGTTCTAAGAGTAGTAGCCGTCGCAGAACAGATTCCAAAGCTTCTTCAACAGTGAGCCGCAAGTCCTCACGGGGTGACGACCGTGACCGAGGCTTGGGTGACCTGTCAGCCTACTCATCGTCTGGAAACCGCAGCAAGCGCTATGCACCCAGCGCGGCAGGCGATTCCGTTGCGTCGAGCTATGCGACAGCGGAACCCCACACCGCGATCGAGCCCGACCGAAATGTCATCGAACGGGCACCGAGGCGCAGAGATCTAGACGATAGTGAACGTCGCGATCGATATCCAGACAGCGATGACAGCAGTGACAAACCCCGACATAGACGCAATCGCTCCCGATCGCCGAGCCGCGAACGAACAAGTGAACGCCATGATAATACAGATGAGATTGATAATGGAAACCATGAAAGTGGTCATCCTCGAGAGCGGCGACGAACGCAGCCTGACAAAATGCCTTTATCGCCAGGCGTGCCCATTTCCGGTGCTGGAGCAGACTTAGCTCAGAAGGTGGGAACTTCTGACCATCCCCAATTCCCCCCGCCGTTCCACAACACACATCCAGTGGCATCTGTACCAAGCTCGCCTAACGTGCCTGGTGTCTACGACCCTCACGTACAGCAGCAGTTTCCAGGCCAGTTTCCGGCCTTCGTTGGCGAACCTTACCAACCAAACCCTGCAGGCGCAGCAGCCGATTACTACGGCGACCAGGGACAGTCAGTCGCGCAACAACCCGGTGTTCGGCCTAAGCCACCCACAGTTATTCCCAATAATCAAGCGCACTTGATGCCGGCATCACCGCATGCCAACCCGCCGCCAGAGCCTAGTAGCATGGGGCAGACCGGTGCAGCGGCTGCGTATTACGCAGATGACGCAGACCCAGGGATACAAGCACCCGAACAATCAAGTAAACCCCCTTCAGGACCGACACCAAAACCTCCCAGACCAACTATACAAACTGAAGGGGTCTCAGGGCCTGCTACAACCGCTACTGCGCATGACGAAGGTAGTCCTCAGAATATTGGCTCTGGATCCTCTCCATTGCTAGTCGAGTCGCCGACGCCTACGTTTGTCCCGCCTTCTGGTATCAACCCGTCCAAACCGCCCGATACTCCTGGTATTGGGACATTGGTTGGCGCAGCAGCAGCAGGTGCGGTAACGAGTCATATGATCGGCCACCATCATCAATCATCCCCGAACGTAGAAAGTTCCCCTCAGCCCGGCAATCAGAATTACGAGAACGCTTCCCCGAGCAATGTGGGACACGCTGGTCCGTCTACGTACCCGGATCAGCTGAATGCACCACCCCCCTACATAGCTGGTGCTGGGGAGACAGCGTACGCTGCCCACCCATTGCATCCTCATCATGCAGCCCTTTACCACGGAGCACCATTTCAGTCCGGGGGTTTGGCATTCCAACAACGCCAACGGGGCCCTCTTGGCAAGTTCCTTGATTTTTGGCGTGACGCAGAAGGTGTTGGTATGTTCGAGGATTATACTGAAACCATTGGCGTTTGCAAGCACTGTTTTGAACCGGGCACCTCGTCGCGCGACGCCCCTCGAAAACATTATTATAGACCCCGTCGTCGCTCTAGTGATCGCTATAGTAATGGCTCACGAGTGGACAAAACTAGTCGTTACTCTTCTTCAGAGGACGAAGGTCGACGTCACAAGAAAACCTCCACAAGCTCCTGGCTACCTGGGATGCTTGCTGGGTACGCTATAAAATCAGCCTTCAAGAACAGAGACTTCGAGGATACCTATAGTGTTCGATCCGGCCGAGCTGCAAGCTCGGCATCTGACACTGAGAACCTATCAACGCTCGAGAAACGGAGTCACACATCTCGTGGCATCTATGGGCGCTCACGCCGCCGCTCCTATGAAGACCTGCGAGACTACGAACCTCGGCGACTGTCCCACTCTGGGTCACGATCTTCGTCAAGATCGAAGAAGCATTTTGCAGTCCGAGATGCAGCTTTGGAAGCTGCAATTGAACCAGTGGGCGACTTTGAAAGTCAGCCACGCCGCCACCGCAGTAGCAGCCGTAGCCGGTCACCGCGGAAGACCAAAAGTCGGAAATCCTCATCTTCTGAGTCATCCTTTGTAGATATTTCTAGACCGGCCAAGAAATCTGTGGGTGGTGGCTTGAGCTCATTTTTCACAGCCTCTTCTGAGAATCGCAGAAAGCGGCAGGCTAAAAAGCGCAGAAGTATATTTTCATTCAACAATTCGTCATCATCCTCCCTAGATGCTGATTTAGCATTCGGAAATGGCTATGCCAAAAGATCATCAGGGAAGTCTAAAAAGCGAAGCAAGAAGAAGGACGATAACAACGTGGATGCGGCATTGCTAGGATTAGGAGCAACAGCAACAGCAATAGTTGCTTCAACTGACCGTCGAAGTCGACGGACAGGCGAGATTCTCGCGAGAAAAGAACCCCCATCCACTCGTTTGGGTTATTCGTCGTCTGCCACCAATGACGATGCTTGGGAGGACGTGGACTCAGGAGATCAATCGTCATCCAGTGTTAGTTCAGCGCTTGCCTTCGGAGGCAGTGGACTTTATGGTAATAATGCCTCGCCGTCTTCTGATTCTGGCACATCATTGTGGGGCTGGAGATGGGGCAACAAGAAAGGCAAAAAGCAGAAGAGAATGAGGTCCAACGTATCGGATAGTCGTTTCCCTGTTAATGCTGCTGTAGCAGCGGGAGTATTGGGAACGGCCGCAGTAGCCCATGACTATAACAAGCGAGGGAGACGTACCAGCGAGGACGCTGGAAGTAGTGCTGGGAATCTTCAACACGTGGCCCCAGTGCCCACTAGTGATCCTTCACGCTTTGACGCTGTCAAAGTATCGTCTTTTCCTTCGCAGCCGGCACTGATTCGCTCAGGACCCATCCCTCTTCAACAACCCCAACCGGTGACACCAGTCTCTCAAGCTGTCTATACTTCACAAGGAGAGAGTATCCATGCATACACTACACCATCTCGTCCTCCTCCGTTTGCCAATACATTTGCACACTATGACTACCAAGCTCAAGGTTCAGGAGTTGGCCTTTGGGAGCATGAAACCCCCCTTTACCATGATACCATCGATATGCCATCAAAAGTCACCCGCCCCCCTCGACGAAGTGACTCATCACCTGTGTTTCATACGGAGTCTTTGGAGGGTGCATTGATGTCTAGTATGAAGCGTCGTTCTACCATGAAAGACCAGGGCTCCGTACAGTTTGACCTTACTAGAGATCAAGCAGAGAAGGAGCAACGAGCAGATCATCTTAAGCGTATAAAGCGTGAATCTGGGCGCCAAGGAGTTCAGCTCATTGACAGGGAGAGTGAGATTGTGGCACAGGAGGATAAAAATAGGTCAAGGCGGTATTATGAGGGGTACCGGGATTCTGATTATGGTTCCCACGACCAATACGGACAAGAGCCTAGTGGGGAGAGAGGCCCAGCATCAACGATTGGACTAGCAACAGTAGGCGCGATCGGAGGTATAACTGCAGCCAGTGTACTTTCCGGTCAAGGCTCCAACGGTGGTTCCTCCGAATCCAGCCAGAGGCGTCATTACGAACGCTCAGAGAAGCGTCGCGCAGAAAGACGCCGTGTGTCAGGTTCTGAGATATCGTCCGGCCTTCCCATGCCTGACCGTGCCTATAACGATGTTGACCAGCGCCCGAACCCGAACCCCGAACAAGACCATATCAAGACTTCAGTATTCAGTGACATTCCTCCTAAGAAGCCGGTTCATCATGATTATGCACAATTCTTCGCACCCGAAGAGTTGCGGCATAACCCTGATACATACATGCGTCGCGAACCCGCTTCAATGCCAACTATCATAGAAGTGGAACCTGCAAGTCAAAAAAGTAAGGCAACAGAGGAGCCCCATCCAGAATATCGCGGTCTACCATGGCCAGTTCCAGAGCTCAAGGTGGTTGAGCCCACGCCTCCTCAAAGTCAAAGTGGCTCCGTCAGAGATATTGCCTCTCCGATTCCATCGCCACCAGAGGTCCCTGAATATGATAGGATACCAAAGCGATCAACAACAGGCTCCCGCGTGTCTTGGGGTAAGGATGAGACACGCGAATATGAAGTCCCATCTACATCCTCTGAACTCGACTCCGCCGATCATGAATTTGTGGCAGACCGTGGACAGGAAAAGCAGACTGGTAGTGAACCCGCCCAAGAAATTCCGGCCATTCAAACCGATCTGTCCAAAGGCGCCACAAGTGAGTATGGCACTGATATTGAAGTCGCGGCAACAGCCGCTGCAGTTGCTGCAGCCGCGGGTTTTGGCCCCTCCCTTGTGTCGGACATCAGGGAAAAGCTCGCCTCTTCATCAGGAGCTCGTGGCTATGTTGATGAGGCGGTAACAACCGATGTGGGAGAGAAGCAGCCAAACATAGGGAAATTCGTTGAAAACGAACCAGTTTACTCCGAACCAGTGTCGATCAGTGACGGCATTAGAACATTTTATGATGATCAACCTCCGTCATCAATTGCGCAAGAAGTGATCCAGCAACTTACCGGAGAGCAAAAACCCGAGGTGGGTGAACTTCCCGGGAGGGCCGTGGAGGAACCGAATGAGAGCGGGAAAACGTTGGTCTTTCGAGAGAAGCGTTCTGGACCCGAGTCACCTGCAGAAGAAGTTTTGCATATCCCTGGTGGATTCGAACTAGGGGAGTCATCCAGCCAGCGGGAGCCGTGTGGAGATACACAAGAATCAGCCCATGATGATTCAAGGTCAAATACCTCAGCTGCTATACCTAGACATAGTGAGGCACCGATCGAGGAAGTTAGTTACTGCAAAGACAGTCGCGAATCCGACATCCCTAGTAGAGCTAGTCCACCTGCCGTTGAAGAGGGTTCTGCTATCGGGAAGAAGAAGCGAAAGAAAAGACGTTCCAAGCGGGATAGTGATGCTTTCGATGACACCGTCTCCGTGACATCTTCCCCAGCCAGAGTTGAAGAGACTAGTGATCGCAGCAGAAGTACGGATGGACAGGCTAAAGAAAAGAGGGCAGGTGGTCTATTCAGTAATATTTTTGGCTCTAAAGTCTCTGAGCCGGTAGCAAGCAGACAACTATCATCCGATATCTATCCATCTCGCGACGTCCAATCCGAAGTCGGGCCACGTTCCGGTGAGTCTCGACGACAACGAAGGGAGGAAAAGCGGCGAGAAAATTATGGAGAATTAGCGGACTTGGATAAAACAACAGAACGTGAGAAGGTATGGTTCTAGCTGTTTTTGTTGTTCGTAAACTGTGATTACTCAGTTTATTGCTATATTTGATCTTAAGCAAAGTGTATAACACATGTACTAAACGTTTTCCTTTTACTTTTCTTTGTACGCAGGACCGGACAATATCGCAAGATGGAGACAATCAGCCGTCTTTTTTAGCTGGAAGCCCCGAAATGCCTGACCAGGTAGGAGATGATGACCGTGAAGGTGCTTCGGGGCGTTTTACCTCGACGGATGCAGAATTGGCAGAATTGGGACTGGATGTTTTCGAACAGCGGCCAAGAAGTCTCTCGACATCGCCACCTGCATCAGGGAGAACTATCGACCTAAGCCCAAGGTCTCGGAGTAGACCAAACTCACCCCAATTGGCTCAGGGGCACGAAGAGGTCCAGGGTCAGCAGTCGCGGCGGTCGTCCGGGGTTCGACCAACAGAGTCTCCTACCGCCGTCCCTTTGCATTTTCGTCGACCACCAACCACATCACCACGAGCCCATCGGTCGTCTTCAGTCAGTTCAATCACAGCGCCATCTCCTAGCTCTCCAACAGGGCGCCGGCGTCCAGCTTCCGGTGAATTTATATCCTCACGAGAGATGCGACCTCTGTGGCTTGTCGAACATCATGGTAGCAAAACGGAAGCTCAGCCTGAAGAACCGTTACCTTCCCTACCGTCAAGTAAGACATCATCAGCAAATGCATCCGCTGAGAATCTCGCATCTCTGCAGGATGAGAAGAGCTGGGAAAAGATAGATTTGAGCCCCAGTATTCATAGAGACCAGCAGCCTGTTCACGTTGAAATGCCCTCTGATTCTCAACACAGAGTGCTTGGTTCCCAAGAAGTAACACCTACTGCCGCAAGCTTTGGACAAATAAACACCTATCAGTTACCTCGGAAGGACAAGCCCAAGTACGAGTTCCATTCGCCCTCTGAACTTCTCCAGGATCCATGCACTTATGCAGAGTTGCCTCCTTCTCCAATAATCGGGGCTCTTCCTTCTGCCGAGGGCTCTGTAGTCGGCGTAAAAGACGGTGGCGGGCTAGAGCGCAGCCTGGACAATCTTCCACCTTTACCTGTGTCCCGACCTTCTACTCCTAAAAGTGAACAATCTCATGCTTCAGACGCTGCTGAAGAATATCTGACTAGAGAGCTGACAGCTCCCGACTTTGCAACGCCAAGGGCCCCCGGGAACGATACTCCATCCGCAGATGTTGACATGCCTAGTATGAAGGTCCTGGATGCTGATCTACAGGATCTTCAGCCATCTGACGAGAAAACTCTGACAAAAGCCACCCAGAGTAATATTGAGTCAGGTGATGCTCTAATGTCTCATGACCCAACTTCCCAGGGTCTGCCAGACGAGGCTGTTCCTGTGCCTCCAGCTGTCCAAATCCCAACGATAGAGGCAGTAGAGAAAGGTAGAGGGGATCCAGGACAGGCAGCTACAAGCCCTGCCGACGTTGTCAACGTCGCAATTGCAGATCCTGTGCTACCTGCTGAAGAGGAAAGTGCATTGCCTGACGAACCGCTACAATCTGTAACTACTGACGAGGTAAAGGCGGGAATCAGTGCTACACTAGATGAGAAAATGCAACCACAAGAGACACACCCTGGAATGCAATCCGAACCACAAAAGTCTGCAGTGGAGGATAACGAGCCATTGGGAAATGCGGAGGCTAAAATCGAGTCTAATTCTAACCTCACTTCTGCCAAGAATATTTCTGCTGAAGGTGAAGAAGCAGAGATTGTTGATGGAGCAGCAGTCACAGGATCAGCCAAGCCAATAACGGGGAGTACAGACAAGGCTGCCGACGAAACAGGCCAAGCGCCTATCCCTGAAGAACTGACAGTGGATGCTACTTCTCCAAGTTTATCGAAGAAGAAGAAGAAGGCTAAAAAGAAAAAACCCAAGAATGGAGATCTACATGAACAGGAGCCACAAGATACCGCAGCCATAGCTCGTGTAGCCGCTTCATCCCTTGATAATGTTGAGAAAACGGATGGGGCACTGGCTCAAGGGGAAGCCCCAGCTGATCAGATTTCTCCACCAGAAAGCACCGGGAAATCCACAGGAGCTGACGTAGAGTCCGCCACAGACCTCTTAAAGCCAGACGAGGCAGCAAATGTACAAGTGTCTGTGGATATGCCTGTTTCTGAGCTTGAGCCTGTTATGAATATTGCCAGAACTGGAGACGCACTTGCAGCCGAAAACGAGCTTATTGCGAAGGACCTCAAAGCCGGGGACGAAGCGGGTATGCAGGCAATTGAGGGACGCCCGCTCTCCGAGTGGGAACCTACTGTCCAGTCTGAAAACCCACAAAAAGTCGTTGACCTAGCGGCTCCCGTGAATCTATCTAAGCAGGAGCCTCCTTTGGAGATGCTGCTGTCAGAAGATGCTCCCCTAGCTGCTGAGACTTCAGTAACTGAACAGAAACCCAATCCAGAGGCCTTGGGGACAGACGCGGTGCAGACAACGCAGGCACCCGAGGTTACGACGGCTCCGGTGGAAGGGTTACCCAAAGCTGAAGATGCTCCTACCATTCCAGACGTTCTTGTACCTGAGCAGGTGATTCCTAAGGCAGAAGGTGAAGCTCACCAGGAAAGTTTTGATTCGGATAAAATGCCGGATTCTGATGTGGAGCAAGGGTCTACCGAGAGAGAAGCAGCTGCGAATACAGATATCCTTACCAACAATTCGGAGAGTGACAAGGTGAGCAAGGTATCTGATGCAAATGAGAGCGTCAAAGAACTTAGTGACGCGGAGTTTGTAACGTCCAGTAATATGGAACCAGAGGCTAGTGTGCGGGCAGGTGAAAAGCCTTCAAAATCTGCAATTGATGATTACCAGCCTGTGAAAGAAGCCTTACTGCCTTCAAAGGACGAAACTACCTCCAGCTCTGAACATCCCATGCAAGGTACAATGGAGGAAGCTGAAAGCCTGGAGTTCAGCGGGCAGGATGTTGTATTGCCTGAGAAGTCCCTTGAACAGGCAGAAGAGCTCGACGAACAAAGCAAAGAATACCGCCAGTCAGTACTACAAGACTCAACAGAGCATAGTGCCTACGCTCAACATGAAGCTCCTGGAGTTGTTTCTGAGCCTAGCACTGTAGTGCTAGAGCTGCCTACGGAAGCTACCTCTCTGAGCGTCCTTGGAGGTCACAAAAGTCTTGCGGCAGATTTGCAGGAGGGGCTAACCCCCGAAGCGAGCACCGTTGACCCTGCTCCGGCCGAATCTGAATCCGGACCATCACAACTGGAAAGTGAGCGAACTACCACAACAGAAGAGGCCAAAGCATCAATGGAACTGGACTCCGGAAAGATATCGCAAAAACAAGACCAGATGCAGGGCAATGATGCGCCTGCTGAACCGACATCTTCTCCCGAGCCGGGGGCTGAAGTTGCTGAGGCTGATACAAAATGCCAAGAAACCGACGTTATCGACGCGCAAACTGAAACTTCCTTGTCGCGACGAAGCAGCAAGAAGAACAAAAAGAAAAGTAAGCGCGATAGTATTACGGTGCAACCTGTGGAGAAAGGGACGAACGATGTTCCACCTAATGTGCCTTCTAATGAAGAAGCCACACCACAGGTGGAAGACGAACCTGCTGTGCCCCCCAAAGAAGAGCCTGCAGCAAGGCAGCCCGAGGAAACCCCGGACAACGAACACGAGGGCGCTATCGACGTATCGCCTGAAAAAACACCAGGCGCCACTGCAGATACACGAATTGAGTCCCAAGATGCTGATATCGCGGAGATAGCCCAGAAAGCCGGTTTAGAGGAAGCTCCAGAAGGACAGTCAACGAAGAAGGGCAAAAAGAAAAAGAAAAATCGCAAATCCATATCTTCGGATTCTCAAGCTGTGGCCGATGCGGAGACCCAGCCTCCACTCTCCGCTGAGGGGCTTCCCGCCGAGACCCCACTGGCGGAAACAAGCGGTGTGGTTCATCCTACGGAAGATGAACAAATCCCACAGGAAGCTACGGCGACTAACGATTCAACGGGGACGACTGAAGCCGTAGACGCTAATCCTGCAGCACCAAATGAGGAGTACCCCGCCGAGACTAATGATGGTACACCACCTATGTTTGAACATGTCCCAGACGATCCTGTACCTGATCTCGAACCGGAAGCGGAGGAATCTACACCGACTGGCAAGAAGAGTAAGAAAAACAAGAAAAAGAAACAAAGCTTGCAGTCCGCATCCGACGCTCATGAAACAGCCGCTGAACCCACACCTAGTACAGAAATCGCAAGTCCAAAAATAGACATTCCTCTTGGTGCTGAAAAGCCCCGAACCACAGAGGTCCCAGGACTAGTTTTGGAGGAGACAATCGAAAGCGAACAACCCTTGGACGTAACCGAAGTTGCGGAAGGCACCGCCTCATCTGAAACAGCACCCGAGATGACTGCTGCTCAAAAGAAGAAGGCCAAGAAAGAAAAAAGGAAGCAGCGCAAATCCGCTCTATTGGATGAATCACCAGCTTCTGACCCCGTTATTGATCTGAACCCAGGGAATGCTTCTTCGGAACGTGGTCCAGATTCTGTTGGAGAATCTGCCCCTGTCAAAGAACCTGAGGCATATGATGCTTCGACCGAGGGACCTACACTTGTCGATGAGCTCGTGAGTGAACAACCTAGGGTTGAAACGGTCACAGATGCAGAGCCTGATATTGCGTTGAATGAAGTCTTGGACGATCAATCCCAAGAACCTGCGCAGCAAGAGCCCAAAGAAGCGCCCACTGACATCGCTGGTATTCTAACAACGGAAGTAGAAAATGTAGAGCCCGGCCAAACACAACATACAGATCATACACCATCCGACTTGGAAGGTACCCCTACGAACGAAGAGCAACTAAGAGCAGATGTTGATGGAAGGCACACGGTCGAAGTAGTGGGAGTCGAACAAGAGACCACAGATGAGAAACAAGTTGAGGTAGAGCTTGGGGATGCCACACTCAATGCTGCACCCAAAATGAATGTGGAAACAGCCCTTGAGCAACCTCAGGAAGAAACGATAAACGAGAAAGCTGCTCCAGACCAGACTCAAGATACCGAAATTCCCTTGACTGATGCTATTCTGCAAGACGCAGTTGAAGGGGAACCTGAGCTTCCTACTCCTAAGAAGTCTAAGAAGGATAAAAAGAAAAAGAAGAAACAGCAGTCGATTTCTTTGGAAGATGATCAGCCTACGGCCGCTCTGGAAGAGGCTGCGCAAGAGCCTTCTGATGCACGTCCGGACTCGCTTGAAATCTCCGAGAAACCGCAGCTTTCTCTGCCCGATGATGTTGCAGAAGAGCCGCAACATGCCTTCTCAGAGGAGCTTACGCAACAGTCGGAAGCAAATGAGCATGAGCGCACTGAGTCTCCAGAACAGGCTGACCTCACCACACCTGTAGAGCCTGAGCCTATGGAGGATACTCAGGAACCAGCTTCCAAGAAGAAGGCCAAGAAAGACAAGAAAAAGCGCAAGTCTGTTTCTTTTGCAAACAATGAACAGGAGGCTTCCACGAAGTCATCTGAAACCACTGAAGCAACAGAAGCGAGTCACCATGTTAAAGAGGCTAGCCAACCTCCAGAGCAGGCAAATGAGCAAATGGCAGAAGCCAGCTCCCTCGTTCAGCCAAGTCAGGAAAATGCTGATAGCACTACTGCCGACGAGGTACAGCCTGGAGAAACAAGTGCAGACCTACACAAGGACGTTCCGACAGTCACGAATGGCGATGATGGTTCAGAGTCGAACAAGGGGGCCGTATCAAACGACGCACAAGTTTCTCAGCCGTACGAGGATTCTGTTGCCGAAACACAATCCAGTACATTGAACCCTGATCCTACGCCTTCAGTGGCGAGAGAGCTAGTAAACGAACCTATAGTTCCTGAGCCTGAAGGATATACCAATGATGACGCGCCAGTTATTGAATCCCCTGAGAAACAAGACGTACAGCAGGGTACAGGTATTCTGACCGCCCTAGAAACTGGAGAGAAACATGAAGTCGAGTCCACTCCGGAAGCGTCTGTACCCGAAACACCTTCTACTTCCGTGCAGGAATCTACTGTGGTAGTCCAGGAGGCTGAACAAGAGAGTGCCCCTTCTAAGTCAAAGAAGGACAAGAAGAAGAAGAAGAAACGCAAGACCCAAGAACCAATTGAGAACGAGGCATCTGCTGTATCTGAGCCAAGCATCGAAGGGGCATTCGTTCAAACTGAAGAGGATAACCGTACTGCAGCTCCAGGAGTTATCGAAGAGTCAGTCGAGCAGAATAATACTGCCAAGCCATCCGAAATCTCCAGTCAAGATGTGCCACCTTTGACACCGGAGAGTACTGCTGAACGGACGCGAGCTGAAACCGAACATGCAGTTGATAGTATCGTTCACGAAGTGAAGGAGTCGGAAAAAACCGAACAGCAGGCAAGGGAACAGCCGGAAGATACCCAGAACGATGGTGCACCGCCTATGTCAGCGAAAGAAAGGAAAAAGGCGAAAAAGAAGGAAAAAAAGCGCCAGTCCAAAAACCTAGATGGTAGTGTTGCTGCCTCCACTGCCGTGGAGTCTGCCTCAGTTGTACCAGGAGAAAATACCCAAGGTCCCTTGATGAATGCAAGCGCCGCTTTAGCCGAAGATGCCACGCATGATGCAGCCGAAACCCAAGCCTCCGCTGAATTGAAACCCTCAGGCCCTTCGGTTGATACGGCAACCCCACCTGCTGAAGATGACGGTAAAGAAAATCAGTCCCACGGCACCGAGTCCCACGGCGAGAACGATAAGAATCTGTTTTGGACTGATCACATGGTATCTTCGCAGGTAGATCAACAGCAAGCCACTCCCCTCGACTCTCCTACCCAAACCGTGCCTGAGAATGCCACACCCGAAAACATGGCTGTCCCCGGCGAACCAGTCTCATTGTGTGAGGAAATTGAGGTAGGAACAGAAGACCATGCGTCAAAGACTGAGCAAGAGGCAACTAGTGAGGCAGATAGGGTTTCCCTCGAGCATCTGCCCGCTGAAGGCTTTGCAGCGGAAGCAGACGAAAGTGGCAAGGCACTTACGCCAGATGGGGATGAGTTAATGGGCCAGCAAGATACGATTCCAGCCCAGACAGATGAGATGCTTGAAGAAAAAGGTCAAGAAGCAGCGCCTGAAGCACGTCTTGTTACTGCTGAGGTAACAGGCACTTCCATGGATGGTCTACAAGCAACAAATGAAAATGCAGTTCCTCTCTCTCCTGCTGAGGCTGGGGTTCCCGAGGACCTTCGAGAGACAAACAACGGTTCAACTTTTGATATTGAGAAAGTGGAAGCGACAGCGCCTTCTGAGAATTTACATCGGGCGCGACAACCAGAAGATCCTGTATTAGAAGATACTTTTTCTGAGTCTAATCTACTCTCTACGACATCACCCGAACATACCACGCTTGTAGCCAAAGATTCAGAATTGCAAGCAAGCAGCGCTGGGCCTGCCCCCGAAAGTGACGCAAAGGAAGATGATACTGCGAGCCACGGAGAAACAAGACTGGACGGAGTGGGTCTCGTTTTAAACCCAGTGACAGTTGAAGAGTCACACTGCAGTAGTGCAGAGGTGACCAACACGTCAGAGTCTGCTAAGGAGGCTTCAAGTGAGATACAGGCAGAGCCCGGAGACTTGTTGCCAATTAGCTCTGGCGAGGAGAACAGGGAGAACAAGGAAGCACCCACTGAGTCAAATGCGGCAAGAGAGGCACCAGCTGGCACAGAGACAACCGCTGAACATTCGGAAACCAACAGAAAGGCAATATTGGGTCCCGTGGAATCCTTGAGTCCAGGACATCAACCATCAGTCGAGAAGGAACAACTGCAAGCCAGTATTGAACCTACACCCGAGCAGTGGAGCCACGAAGAACTGAAGGATGTCGCTAAAACAGGCGAAGGGGAAATTATGACACAGTCTTTAAGCCGCAAAGCGTCGAAAAAACAAAAGAAGAAAGCGAAAAAACAAGCCAAGGAAGCGTCAATAGAAATCGCTGGTACTTCACTTGCAGAGTCTAAAGGATTGATAGATGCAGAAAGCGGCCCTGAAGCAACAGTCGGCACCGCAATTGCTGGTGCCGCTGAATCCCGTTTGGTCCCCGAAGAAAAGCCGATGCAGAGCGAAGGAGTGCAAGGTTCACAGAGCGAGACAGACGTATCGCAGCCGACATTGGAGGCTGTATCCACAACGGAAGAAAGAAGTCCGCGTATAGCTAGGATGTTTCCTAGCCAGACTCAAGCAACGCAGGAGTTACAAGAGGGAGAGGGCAAAGACGCTGAAGCCATGCCAAAATCGAGCAGCCAGACTTCTGAGGGAGCCAATCTTGAGGCAGCCGAAGAGAGGATTCAACAGGAAATTCCAGTTCTCGGGACCGTATCAAAGGAGGAAGGGATATTCGAGAAAGAAGCTGAGCTGCAGATTCCTGAGCGAACAGAGCAAGCATCAGGGGAAAATACCGAGACTGCTGATGGGGCCCTGCTTGTGCACGAAGCAAACCCAGACAAGTCAGAGCTCCCAATGGCTGAAGCAACCAGGGCAGAGGTTTTTCATTCCAAAACATCATCTCAGGACAACAAGCAGAAGAACGAAGAGAACATGAGCGTAGAGGCCACGGAACCAAAAGAAAGTGAAGGTGTCAGTGGAGAGGCAAACGTGAAACATTCCCATGATCATTATCATTCAGAGACATTGGTAACGGAACGGTCTGCAAAGGATGACGAATGGCCTTTGATAGATTGGGAGAAGGAAAGAGTCGATGCTTTAGAACAGACTCCCCAATCTTCGCCTGAAGCTTGCGCGGCCCCATTTGAGCCAGGTATTGCCGATTTCGATGAGTTTGCTATTCCAGAAGGGCTAACCAGATAACCAGACGAGTCGGCTGAAGCCATAAAGGCGAAGGCAATTATGGGGCCGCAAGGACAAGATTCTGAGGCGAAACTTGCGACGCCAGAAGCAACTGTCGAAACAGCTGAGTATATTGCTGACCAATTGGCTCCGTCAACGGAGGCGCCCGGTACGGAGCCAGTCTCAGAAGCGACCCGAGAGCATGCCCTAGACGATGCAGAAAGCTCTATCCCGGGGAAGCAGACGATGGGAGAACCTGGCTCGGTTTCCCAGAAGCAAAGCAAAATTGCCAGTATATTTCCTAACTTGGAACGAGGGGCATTTCGGCGACCTATCGCCACCAAGTCGTCGGAGTCAGTAAAAGATGGGGCTGAGGATGAGACCAATGACCAAGGAGCGAGTCGCGAAGACGCGATGCAGGTCTCGGAAGCGCCCATCGCTACTACTGACGGCAAGGACAGCGACCACATTGCGAACCCTCTGGTGACTTCAGAGCGGTCAACTACTGCTACGCTAGAGGACCTACCAGGAGAGGCTATAATTCGTGATGTCCAAACGCCGGTTGGATCTCGTTCAGTTCAAGCAAGCTACAAGGACTCCGAGGGTGTTCGATTTACAGATTCTCTTGCGCGGGAGATTCCATTACACGCGCCAACTCCAATCCATAAGCAACCGTCTACACTAATCAGCTCCTCATCGGATACTATGCGTATCGACCGGCAAGCAAGCCCCGAGTCTCTCTGTGAACTTGGCCGCAGTCCGTCAATCCAGAGATCGCGCGACCCCTCCCCGCGGCCAAAGCCATCCGAAGAAGATGCGTCAACTGACCAACCAAACAGCACACCGCCGCCATCTTCAGCCTTTGGGGTGGTAGACAGAGGCGCAATCTCCCCTCCCCGGACCCCATTGCAACCTATTGCGGAACACGAACCAGTTGATCGGACAAGAACCCCCATAGGAGCCAGGGGCCAGAGCCAGGGAATTCCCCGGTTGGAGATGAAGCCAGAACATGTGCTTCCGCGGCCCGAGACACCGGTCAGGAAATTTACAGACAATGCTCTGGCGCGCCAGGCATGGCCTACACTTGACAGAGATGGAGATGGAGACTTGCACACCAGGGACCATGGTGCAGCGAGATCTATGGACCGCGAATGGACTGCGGAAGCCATCCAAACACCCGAACGAGGCATCTTAAAACCGAGCAGTATGGGTAGCATTAAAAGTGTGCACAGCGCACACTCCCAGCGGTCGCTCCGACGAACGGATCGCAGCGCGGGCGGCGATTTGCGGGCGGCGAGCCAAGCACAAACCGGCGCCCGCCAATCATCGTGCAGCCCCCAGCCACCTGTCGAGCCCCCTCTTTTGGACCTCAATATTGAGCACATAGCTTCTTCCTCTTCCTACGACCCCGTCACCGACAAGGGCAAACGGCCCATGCGAGCCATGACCGATGTTTACGTAAGTATTCTTGGTTGCCATAGTTATACTCTTGTATTGTAGTTCAAAGTCACTCACGTTTATTTACCTAGGAGAGCTGGGGGGAAATACCGAACTCGCCTCGGTCGCCTACCCGACCGCCTAGCATCCGGCACCGTCGAAGCATGCAACACTTACAAGAGCTTGAGACTCGCCTCGACCGACTCGTTTCCGAGAATCGCTTGCTTGTTGCTGCGCGGGAAGCTGCTGAAGACAAGCTGCGCAATGCAAGTGTTGCTCGTCGCAAGAGTGACCATGCTCTCAACGAGCGAGCTGCAGACTTACGGGACCGGGAAGCTGAAGTGGAACAACTTAAGAATTCAGTAGAATGGCTTCAGAAAGAAGTATCCCGGTTGACGGAAGAGAACGAAGGGCTGACTGTCACGAACTCCAACATTACCGTCGCCCATGCTGCCGAGATCCAAACCATACGGACGTCATTCAACAGTGAGCTAGGCGACTTGCGCCTACAAAATCAGCAGCTGTCGAACGAAATGCAAGATAGAGTACGTCAGGAGATCGATGCGGCACTGGCTCAGAAGAATATGGAGCTTCGCAGGTTACGAGAGGATTTAGAGAGCGCCCGGGACAAAGTGAAGGAACTACAACAGCAGATCGCCGCATCCATGCACGATAGCGTGTTAGTTTTCAGGGATGAGGACTACTTTGACGCTGCGTGTCAAAAGCTGTGTGGACATGTTCAACAGTGGGTGCTACGCTTCTCTAAACACTCTGACCTACGCCGCTGTCGCAAGCTCGACGATATTCAGGACGAGAAGATTGCAGACCGGTTTGAGAATGCCATACTCGATGGATCCGATGCTGATGTCTATCTCTCCGACCGGGTTCGTCGACGAGATGTATTTATGTCGGTGGTCATGACAATGGTGTGGGAGTTCATTTTCACTCGCTACCTGTTCGGCATGGACCGTGAACAACGACAAAAGCTCAAGTCTCTTGAAAAACAGCTCGGTGAGGTAGGCCCGCGCGGTGCTGTTCATCGTTGGAGGGCTACTACCCTAAGCCTTCTCTCAAAGCGGCCTGCTTTCTCCCGGCAGCGTCAGAACGATACAGAAGCGGTGGCCTTGGAGATCTTTGAGACGCTGTCCCGTCTTCTTCCACCGCCGAGCAATGTAGAGTCCCAGCTTCTAGAGTCTCTGCGCAAGGTGCTGCGGGTTGCCGTCAACCTATCTATCGAAATGCGCACGCAGCTGGCGGAATACATCATGCTCCCCCCACTACAACCTGAGTACGATACCAATGGTGACCTTGCACGGCAAGTTTATTTCAATGCGTCCCTTATGAACGAGCGCAGCGGCGAAACTACTTCAAATGAGGAATTGGAATCCCAGCAAGCTGTGGTACGGGTTGTCCTGTTCCCGTTAGTAGTGAAGAAGGGCAATGATGCAGGCGAAGGCGAAGATGAAGTAGTCGTTTGCCCGGCGCAAGTACTCGTTGCACGCTCTCCTAAAGATAAGAAGGTTACCAGAATGCTCAGTGGTGACCGAATGTCCTTGGATGGCACCAGATCCATTCACAGTATCGCTCCGTCGTCGACCATGGACATGAGCAATGTGATTTGAGGCGTCACACTCGATCATATCTCGCCATGAGTTCACTTCAACCGTTGCTGATGGACAAAAATCATTGAGAACAATAAATGGTTATATTTTCTTTTGGGATGACAAAAGGCATAGTACTTGGGCGTCACGGTCAAAGATGAATGGTTGGATAATGGGTCAATACGGTTCGGAAACACGAAAAGGTAATGATAATTGCGATGGGAGTGTGATTGGATTTTTTTTTCTTTTTCTTTTTTTTTTTTTCTTGCTTTACCACTGTTACGTTTATGACGATCATGACGATGCCAACATCTCCGTCTACTTTTTAGAGCTTATGATGTCACGGCCTGTTTTCCCCCCCTCTTCTTGATATAATGACGGCTTTCTATGTATATGAGAGACGAGTTTGATTTTGTTCATTATCTAAGGACAGCTCGTCCGAGAGCATACTTATATTGTGTATTTATGTACTTATATGATTATTTTGTTCATTTTGATAACCATGCAATGTCAATGAATTAGGTTTCATAGGGCCGGTCGGGTAGAAAAGCGGAGTGTTGACTTCATACATCATACATTCCGAAAGTTAAAGCTCAGAAAAAAAAGAGACAGTCGTGGGCCTGAGGCTGGCCCAAACCAAACCAAACTTGCAAAAACTGGGCTGTGTCTTGACCTCCTTTCCCACGCACTCTCTCATCCTCTCACTCTCCATTCGACACCGTCTTTTCTCCTGCAGCTCAGGCAACTATTTTCTCCCAACGAGCGTCTCTTTGATGGAGTCCGCCCTTGCTCTTATCCTATTCCCCATGTCCCACCGCAACTTGCCACAGGTTCCATTTTCGCCAATCATTGCTCCTCGCCCCGTGTTTCGGTGAATTGGCATCGACAATGCTGGATTCTGTTACACTGGGCCTATCACAACTGCATAAACGTTGAACTGGCATTTGTTTTAATCCGGTACTTTATTACCCAATCCAGGGTTGGCTTGTGCTCTACAAGGGAGATAAGCATACTAGGCTTTCGTCGGTCTGCCAATCGTTGTGGATACCTCGCGTGCTGCACCCTCCCATCAGCATGGCTGACGCTCCATCCGTCGCGTATCAAACGAGTTCCAATTTGGGTTTATCTTCTTCACAAGATGGTCGCTCCATCAACTCACGTCCAGACACTCGCCGCTCCACTACTTATGATCCCTTAGTTTCCGAAACGACGCAAGACCCTCAGGTTGATGGCAAATCGACCCCGGGAAAGCGCGCGAAACGGAAGAAAAAGCATCGAAAACGTCATAATCGTCGACAATCTTTCATCAGTGCCGAAGATCCTCATGCCGCAGCTCCTACTACCCCGGGGCCCGAAGTGGAACACATGGCTATAATGGCGGATCAGACCAAGTCTCGAGGCGCGCTTCCGTTCTACAAGCTGGGGAGAGACTTAAGTAGCACTAGTCTGGAAAGTGAAGCTTTACTGGACCATAGGTATGTGTTGTCTTTGATGCTATTGTCTCTATGAGGTCTATCACTAACCCATGTCCCGAACTGCCCAGAAATCAGCCCATGATGCGGCCGCGCAGAGACAGCCGACTTACTCAATCTTTTCGGCCCGGATCCTTGTCCACTACAGTCCGTACCGGTGATTTGGGCTCTCGTAATCAGCCGTCTGGTATAAGAACTTTTCCAGCCGATGATGACAGCGATGGCCCTAACCCTGCGGATGATCGGACACCGTTGATGCGCCCGTCATCCGCTCATAGGCCCAATACTTCTCGATATGGAACCGATTCGAAGTCGACACCATTCAGTTTTCTCCAACGACGTTCATCAGTCCAAACGGACTCGTCCCGATGCTCACCTCGTCGCATCCCAAGCCCCGGGTTTCCCGAACAGGATCGCGATTATGATATCAACAATCCGCCATCGATGCCAACTTCACCAAAGCTTGGGGCCGACATGGGCTATGATGATGCGGTGGTGACGGGGACTGATTTTGACTTCCCGTTGGCCAAGTCTATCGACAATCGGATGGAATCGATGCCCCGATCACACGACATGGTAATCGATGTTGAAAGCGGTACCAACCGAATGCGGAGCTCTCCTCCATCTTCCGTGTCGCCGCGACATCGTCCTCCGCAAGAAGGTCTCCTTCGACGCCGCACTTTGCCTGTCGAAGAAGACGTTTGTTTTCCAACGGAGGAAGTATCTGAACTGGCCGATGAGGACGCAGCAAGGGCGCCGCGTGAAACCGAGCGTCGGAGACGGCGGCGCAGAGAATGGCCTGACCTATCAGTTTTGGAAGAATGGAGCCGAGAGGAAAAGGAAGATCGTACGGGTGATTTTCGAGCAAAGAAGATTAGCGAGCCCGTCCTTATCGAAGGTCGTTTGCGTCCACAGTATCAGCTTTGGCGACGCGAGGAAGAGGAGGCACCTTATCGATTCACATACTTCAATGAGGAATTCCAGAGTACGATACACGCCCAAACAATATCTGAGCTGGTACAACCGGGAGGCAGCTTCCGCGAGCTTTTCATCCCCGACCCTCCGGAATTGGAGGTTTCTTCAGACGAGGAGACGGATTCCGATCATGACCCTGAAGAAGAGGCCTTTGACAATAAACATCACAACAACCACGACTATGATGGAAACAGGGCTTCGCCATTTACTAACGGTCACCATGATACTTTGAGCGGTCCTAAGCAACAACCTCGCATGTCTATAATCAGCGAAGCTGTTTCTGAAGCACGCACGTCAGCAAACGCCTCCCCATCTCGGCGGCCGCAGCAACAAACGAAGCCAAAAAAATATGGGCCCCGGCCAACGTTCTGGCTTGACGTTCTTTGCCCCACGGATGCAGAGATGCGAGTGCTTGCCAAAGCCTTCGGGGTCCACGCGCTCACAGCAGAGGACATCATGATGCAAGAGGCACGGGAGAAGGTTGAGCTATTTCGGAATTATTATTTCGTCAATTATCGAACCTTCGATCAAGACCCAAATAGTGAGAACTACCTGCAACCAGTGAATATGTACGTGGTTGTGTTTCGGGAAGGAGTCTTGTCCTTCCACTTTTCTCAGACACCTCACCCGGCGAATGTGCGCCGGCGAATCCGTCAACTAATGGATTACTTGATCCTGAGCTCTGATTGGATATCGTATGCCATAATCGATGATATCACTGATGTCTTCGGCCCGTTGATCCAGTCGATTGAAGATGAGGTCGATGAGATTGATGGCATGATCATGAAAATGCACTCCCCTGAGCCGGTAATGGGCCAAAGCAGCAAGCTAGAGGACGATGGAGTTGAAGCCTCGACTACGCTAGCTCCGGGCGAGGTACTTCGAAGGGTAGGGGTTTGCCGGAAGAAAGTGATGGGCATGTATCGACTGCTGAGCAACAAGGCAGACGTTGTCAAAGGCTTTGCCAAACGTTGCAATGAGCAGTGGGAAGTGGCGCCGAAGTCGGAGATTGGCCTATACTTGGGAGACATCCAGGATCACATCATGACAATGACGAGTAGCTTGACCTACTACGAAACGTATGTTAGGATTCCTCCTCCTAGAATCTTTAACTGACCGACCATCAAGGCTTCTGTCCCGAGCACATACCAACTATCTCGCACAGATCAACATTCTCATGAATGAGCGCCAGGAGCAGACTGCGGATGTATTAGGCAAGTTGACCGTGCTGGGCACAATCGTTCTTCCACTTAACATTATCTGTGGCATGTGGGGAATGAACGTCAAGGTACCGGGTCAGGATATAGATAGCTTGACATGGTTTTGGTCAAGTAGGTTTCCCTTGCTTTCACACAGCTTCCCATTGCTCTGATGCCAGACTGGCTAACATCTCGTCCTTTGATTAGTTACGGCTGGTTTGATCATGTTCGCCTTTGCGTCATTTCTCATTGCCAAACGGGTGTATAAGATTGTGTAGCTCGCAGTGCGATAACGTATTGCACCATGGAAACCGGTTTACGATGTGTCTGGTAATCCAGTCTACATTTAGTTAAAGCAAAGGGGGCTTTGGTTTTGCAATAATTGGCCCCCTGGATTGAATCTATATGCGATCATGTGCTACTGGTTAGATCTGTTTCGGGCTGGTATAGAGATCACTTGAGGGGATTCCCCTTTCCCTTGTCCCTCTTTTCGAAAGAAAGGGGGGAAGTACATAATCAAATAAATACACTGAAATTCAAGAAAATAAAAGTAAAAATAAAATGTATCTTCCCCCCACCACCTGTATTATGAATTTGGCCATGGCTGGTTTCCCCTGCAACTTCAATTCAAGGCTGTGTGGGGTTTGTTTATATGTCTGTAACTGTATGTAACATCACCTTTTTTTTTTTTTTTTTTTTTTTTTTTTTTTTTTTTTTTTTTTTTTTTTTTTTTTTTTTTTTTTTTTTTTTTTTTTTCCCTTTGCTTTTACAGTTTAGCTAGCACGGAAATCAGATGGCTTCAAGAGTCTTTGGATTTGTCCATTCTCATGAGGTCATGATGACTGGGTGTAATTTGAGTAATTTTTAGGACAGATACACAGTTTTTTCTGGTAATTTTCGCGGGTGAATAACCTTTTAGCTTTTTGGGCGTTCCAGGCCAGGTTCTTCATGATTACCGCATCGATCTCCTCACCCTCATCATCCTTACTCTTTTTTTTTTCCCTCTCTCTCTCTCTCTCTCTCTCTCTCTTTCTCTCTACCCACGGTCACTTCCTTTCTCTACTACCCCATTCTTGCTGTATACTATCCCACACAATCTTTGTGACCTCTTCCTTATCATTCGCAGGTGTTCCTCCGCCCCGTTCCCACCGCTAACCCATCCTTGTGGGTGCCTTCCTGCCTGTGCGCCCCAGATCGTGTCCTCGGCCTTCCCACACTAAACCTTTCGTTCCTTGACGTGGGCCCCTGTCATTGGCCTCGGTTTCCCCCTCCCCTGAGTGGGTGGTCGATAGTCTAGTCTACTACTATTCTTTCCTTCCATTACCGTCCTCCTGCACCCGGTTTAGTCAACCACCTAAACCTCTCTGGTTGCATTCGCTTCGGCCCTGCGAGAACGACTGGTTTGAATTCGTGATTCCTTGCGTCTGACAGTTTGTTCGTACCTATTGGAACCGCTGTCGCCATTCCTGAGTGCTCTGTGAGCCCGAATCGATTATTGCCGATACCAACGACCCTCAGATCTCGTCCCCTACCCAGGGCCAGTTCAGCGGCCTTTGGACGTTGGTTCCGATCGACGGTAATTCCCGTTGGCTAAACGGGCTCGGAGCTTATGTTCTAGACGTTCCATCTCACCGTCTTCTGATCAAGTTATGTCCACGCTTGCGCCCGCAACTTTGACTTCGGTCTGCCTGGACTATTATTTGATTTCTTGAACATTGCGAATCATTCACCCTACTTGTTGTCGCCTACCGACAGTTTACGAAATCTTGCTTTTCCCGTGGTATTCTCCCCGTCAGCATGTGGCCGTCGTCTATTCGTCCAACTTCCTCGGCCGTGTAACGTGTTTTTGTGTGCGACTGAAGATCATCATCGTGTCGAATCCGTCGACCTCTTAGATCTACCCTTTTCGATTCAAGAATCTCCTGACCTCTCTTAATTTTTCTAATTTTCTCTTTTTTTTATTTTACTTTATTGTTTTTCTTATTTTCCCCTTTTCTATCGCCTACGGTGGTGTCACTCTCGGAACTTGTCACCCTTTCACCATAGGCTCTCCAATTTTTTTTTTTTCTTTTGTTTCCTTTTTTTTCCTTTTTGCTCTCTTTCTAGACCCGCCGCTTCGGTTTCCTCTCGGATCTCCTGACTTTTCAAAGTCTTGTCATCACAATTTGACTCGACATTGATCATGGCAGCGGAATCCGAGAGGTTGCCTTACCGCAATGGTACCTCTAGTGGATCCAGGAGGGCCAAAAAAGATGAGGCTGCGACGTCTACGTCTCGGCGATCTACTAGTGAAGGTGACATGATAGAAGTGCCACGTTCAACGTTTAATTCCCAGATCCAGGCCTCCCTCGCATCTCAGATGCCTAAACTCACCCCTGCAGTTTCTGGGTTGTCAGCTCCAGCTTCTTCAACGAATTCGGCTATATCCTCCCGTGAATCCTCCCCCGTTCGCTCCACCCGCCGCCCGCGCAACTCCGCCTCAACTTCTCGCGTTTCTTCTCGATCACATAAAGCCAGTGCTGGTCGCAGCCCGAGTAGGTCGAGTTTTGGTCAAAGGTCGGGCTCAGACACGCTTCCATCCACAACTGCCGTGCAACGGGCACTGTCCCAAACCAGCAAACCTCTCATCATCAATCCTCCATCCAATGTCGAACGGTCGACCGATGCTACGAGTCCGGAGAAACCCAACATGCCGTTATGGGCCACATCCCGTCGGGTGGAACAAGAACCGACCCTCCCGAATATGTCCAGCAAACGATCTTTACTGGTCGACGACTCTAAGTCCGACCGCAGCGCGCCTCGCTCCGTGAACAGGAGCATCAACGGGCCAGGCTCTGCCCTTGAGACGGTACAGGAAATGGCCAGTGATCAATCAACACCATCGACAGAGACCATATTAAACCAGTCGGCGCTCGAACAGTCGCAGTTGCAGAAGATCGATGAGGATAGCACGCCAAAGGCGTCTAGGCAAAATGCCGAGAGTGGCAGTGATAGCGGAGGGAACAAGAGCCCGGAACTTCGAGAAGAGAGCCGCCGTCGTGGTTCGGGAGCCAAGGACTCCGATAACCTAATCCCAAAACGGTCTTCTACATCGCTTGCGGGTGCTCGCGGCAAGCCGACAGATGGATCAGTTAGGAACATGATCGTCGAGACAGAGACGGTCAGTTCCATCCCTCAGGTCTCCCTAGGCGTGGTGACAGGTGACCGGAGCAGTTCTGGTCGTGTAGATGCAGGCACTCTTCGAATGAAGCCTAGCACTGAAACTATTCGCCCGAAGAAGGAAAAGAAAAGGACGCGCAAGCCAACAGCCTTACCTAGCGGGGCTGCATCTTCCAAGGCGGATATTTTCGAAGCCAAAGTAGCTAGCGCTGTAGATGAAGCTGATGTATCTGATTCTGATGAAACCTTTGTCTACGAATCGAACCCACCGGATCCATATCCAGTGAGACAGAGTCGTTATCATTCACGTACGCCTAGCGCGACATCTATGGCCAGTCAGGTTGACCAATTGGCTGCTCGTGGGCGTCCTGGGATGCGAGACGGGAATCATAGTGTTACAGGCAAGCGCAGCATGAAGTTCACCAATAACACGTACGCTGGCAGTGTCGATGGGGATGCAGGCGAAGACAGTGCTCGGAGTCACTCAAGGGTCGAAAGTGGCGGATCTCATACGCCCCGCCACCATCATACTGGGCGATATGGGCGCAACAATGCGTATCATTCGTTGTTCGATAGCGACTCCCCGTTTCCCCAGTCCCAGGCGTATCCAAAATCTCCTCGACACTTCATCGGGGGATTTCGGCAGCCGCGGCATCCCGCCGCTCGTGGCAACCCGAACTATCGCACGATCAATAACACCAGAAAGGCGGGCGAGATATATGGTTACGATTTTGATGCGGAAGGTGCAGACGACGAACGGACTCCCCTGGTGGGCTCCCCACGCGCAACTCGAAGTCGTCACGGTAATCGACGGCCCGGGAGTGCCAGTTTGCGTCAGATCGAGTACATGCAGCAGCGACAGCGTGGCTTTCTTTCACGCTACGGCACCTGCGTCATCATAAGCCTTTTACTTTTGGTTATGATTGGAGGGGCTACGTCCTTTATTGTTGGTATTACCAAATCGCTTGTGGATGTCCAGATCCTTGCTATCCAGAATGTTCTCGCGTCTGAACAAGAGATCATGTTGGACCTCAGTGTACGCGCCACGAACCCCAACCTCTTTCCCGTTGCAATTGACGATATGGATATGAACATCTTTGCAAAGAGTCGATTTGTTGGGACCGACAAACTCTGGCGGGATCAAGGATCCGACTGGAGTGACTTTCCCCGTGTTGGAGATAGCAGGAAACGAGCCCATTTAGCTCGTCTAGCACGTTGTGCCGGAAGCAGTGGTTGCTTGCTAAATGAAACCGGCTTATCAGAGCGTATCGCACACAAAAATGGTGGTGTGGACAAAGGCACCGATCCTATCCCAACTGACCCGGCGGGTGACCCCCAGACAATGTTGCTAGGCCGTGTTTTCCGCTTTGACTCACCCCTAACCTTCGAGGCGTCACCATGGAACTATGTCCCATCCACCTCTAAGGGCCAGATCCGTCTCGCCCGACCCGGTAATAAGACGGAGGAGGGCGGTACAGAGCGGTGGGAACGGGTATTGCAACACCCATTTGAGCTGATAGTCCGCGGTGTTGTGAAGTACCAGTTACCACTGAGCTCCCGATTCCTTTCAGCATCTGTCAGCTCCAGTGTTCAAGTGGTGCCCGATAAAGGTGACAACGGCACTGGAGATGACAACAAGCCTGAGCCTGGCGACAACGACACTGTTACCATATCCATGACAAGGTTATTTCGTCGCAGTCTTCCCGAGCTGCGTCAAACTGTGACTAAACGCTCAATGGCCGATTTAGTACGAGAAGCCCTTGGAATCACCCAATGAGTGATCACAGCTCGATTTCCGTCGATCCCAATAGTCAGTCAGGGCTACACCGTGTCATTTTCGCCTCTGCTCTTGCTCTTTTTTTGTATATTCTTTTGCCATGGTTAGAGCCTCTGCCTATATGTCCAGCCTTCATTTTCTTCCCAACTCCTACGGCGAAGATGGCCCTTGTTGCTAAGGCGTGCTAATCTTTTTGTTTCAACATGAGAAGAGCCCTCCTTAATCTGGAGTTACTTCATTTTGCGAGGAGGGGCTGTCAACGGAGGCTCATAATACCCACCTGGTTGTGATTCGTTTGACATAATGACTTTTTCCTTTGTCGACTTACGGCTCCCCTTTTCTTTATACCTTTGCTACAATTCCCCAACGATGCGTCACGATGATCTGATATATTACCACGAAACAAACAGCAAAGCATGGAATGGCACGTTGAAAAAAGACTTTGATTATGTATGCATCAGCCCGGCGCTTTTCTGTCCATAGTTCTGGGGTTTTGTTTTGTGTTGTTCTGGCTGGGTGTTGCTCAATTAGACTTTTTGATTTGGGAATAGGAACAGGCGACCTATTCTGTTAGCCCCCAGAGTCATGTCACAGCTGGATTGAATCCATGCTTCCAATTTGTGTATGTATGTCTGTACATAATATATTATATCAGCGCACGTAATGTGCTTACTGTTGTACTTCTTAAGTCATCTGAAAGTTTTCGGGTTTGGAGTTCAGATGGGGATCCATATTCGCAAAAGTCTTGATTGAGCATTGGTTAGATACCATAGTACTATTTAGTCGAGAAGAACATCTGATTTCTAAGCAAAATCGTTAAATCCATGATCAATATCATCACATCATATCGTCCCAAAATTTTCCATGTCATATATCAAGAACTTTCATGAATCGTAAGGTCATCACGTCAAGCCAAAGCCCTAAAAAGCACATAATCACCAAATCCACAACAGTATGATAAACCAATCAGCTAGACAAAAACTTTATTAAATCCCCTCAAGAGGCTGTCGAGCCCGTCGGCGAACATATCGCCTTCGCGCTGGGGCAGAAGTCGGCCTTGTGAGTCGAAACGATCAGGTAGGTCAATTGTCGAGTCCGAATCTGATTCTATCTCTTTTCCAGAAGTATTCGATCTCGGTTTCTTTTCGGTTGCCATGTGTTGAATCTCTGATTCCGTTCTGGAAGAATGGTGCTGACGGTGCCCGTGGCGACGAACCCCGCTTATCGAACCAATCGTCGAATCGCTATCGTCAGTTTCATAGCCCGGGTCCAGTTGTTGACCATCTTCTGAACTGAGATCAAAAGCAACTGACTTAGACTGAGGCGACTGACTCGCAGCGCGTGATCTTCGTTTCTTCGCACGGGGTGCCCTCGACGGAGACTGGATATTTAAACCTAGAGTTTTAGAGTTAGAATTCCTCCTGATGCATTGGCGTTCGTCCCTGAACCCACCATCATCCATATGAGCTTGGGAAGTGGGAGGGGAAGAGTTCCATGCAGCACTCACATTCTCATCTGCCCTGCGGGGGCGAGACACGAATGACTCGGGTCCTGGAGGGGGAGGATAGCCATATGGCTGCGAAGGTGGAACCGCGCCGGGTGGAGGAGGATAATCAGCCGGGTTGTACGGGGCTGTGCTTCCAGCTGGTCGAGGAGCGGACCCCGGAGGTGGTGGGAAATAATTGGTATTAGGGTAGTATTGCTGTTCAACCGGCTGTGGAGGCAGAGCAGTGTGATGATATGGTTCAGGGCTAAACGGTTCGCCATACGAGTCCTGGCGTGTGTCCTCGTCAAAACCTGATCCAGGGATATTAGTACGACCACACTGTGACCCTCTCAATCTGCTACGGCCACTCACTTGGCCTTTCCCTCTCTTGTTCCGCCTTCTTGCGCTCTCTCCGCTGCGAATACTTGTGAGCCGCATAACCGACGCCGGTTGCGGCCAAAGCAGCCTCAGTTAAGTCACGAGACCGGCTACGATGCTTATCTTGTCTCCTTCGCCGTCTTCTGCGATCGCTGCTGTCAGACCCAGACGGACTACCACTGTGTCTTCCACCACGGCTCCGGCTGCGGCTGCGGCTAATGCTGCGACCACGGTGTCGGGACGAGCCAAATCCCGTGCCGCTCACAGCCGGGTCAGAAGCATCAGAGTAATAAGCCTGTTGACTAGTAGGCCGCCCGTAGTAGTCTGCCGTGGGGATCCTTCCGTGGACCGGATCCTGACCATACTCGATCAAACCAGCCGAGTCCCGTGTCGGGTCAGGGTAGACTTCGGATGGCGCCCTGCTTCGAGATCTCGATCGTGCCCTGCGGTGCGAAGCTTCGCCCTCTTCTTTCTTCTCCTTGTGCTTTTCGTAAAGCCCCGCGGCGGCAGCAGTGCCCAAGCCAGCCGCTACGACAGGGAGGGCTTTCCTGAGCCTGCTATGAGATCGCGATCCACGCTTACGAGAGCGGGAGCGACTGCGTGCCTTCTCCACGAGACCAGCCACCGCAGCGCCAGCCAAGCCAGCGCCCGCCATATGCTTTCTGCGTTGCGACTCGCTGCGCTTTTCGCCATCGGTAGTCCTTCCAGACCCGACAGAAGATGAACGGTGGTGTCGGGACCTACTTCGATGGCGAGAACGGCTTCGTCGCTCATCTTTAGATTTGTTACGAGCAAGGGCCACGGCGCCAGCAATAGCGGCAGCACCGAGGCCAAGTTCTGCCAAAGTTCTCGCTCGGGAATGAGAATGAGAGCGGCTGCGGCTGCGGCTGCGGCTGCGACGGGAGTGGCTGTGACTGTGATGATGATGGTGGTGATGCGAGCGTGAGCTTCGATCATCGTCAAATGAGTGCGAACGATGCCGGCTCTTGCTACGATAGTAATCTCTGGCTCGGGATGCCGCATTCACTGCTACAGCACCCAGGGCACCAGCACCAATATCCCGTCCGAGACGACCCACACCACTCGAGACGTCTTCCCCTTCCTTTTTCCGACGACTGCGGAGTAATTCTGCAGCACCAATTCCCACCAAAGCACCCTCGGCAAGATGACGTCGATGGTGTGGGTGGTCATCATACTCACGGGTCTCTTTGCGGATGTAGACCATGCTATCATCGCTGCTATAGTCGCGATCATCCCGGTCATCCCGACGACGGGTAGTCTGGGACACTGAGTCGCTCGGGCTAAGTTCACGGTGAAAACGACGATCGTTGTCATATTCGCGAACACGGCGATGATAATAGTACCCGGGTTCTCGGTCCACTTCGGAGCGATGGACAACCTCATAGTCGGATTCCCGCGGGTTGACGTAGACAGGACCTCGAGCTTCAACCATAAGTACTGGTTGTCTCTCAAGAATGACAACGGGGGTAGGATCATAGCGATGGAGCTGTTCAGGCTCTTTGTACTCACGTTCGTAATAATCCCTCTCGGAACGGTAGTCATAGCTGCGGGAATCGTAGTCAACATCGCGCTCGTAACGCTGAAGCATGACGGGCTCCTCCCGGTCAGTAGACCGCCGAATCACCATCTCTCGGTCACCAGTCAAGGGATCTTCGCGTCGGTAGAGAACGTCTCGCTCTCGCTCTCGCTCTTCTTCGGGGGAGATGACGTAACGTTTGATCGTAACTGGAGAACGAGGTTCATCCCAGTCGCGTTCTCGTTCACGCTCTCTGTATATGTATGACATGAGGATAATTGTAGACAAATATGAAAGAAAGAATAAAGAACTGCCTCGTAATGGATAAAACGGAAGGTAGGGTCGCGAATTCAGTTGTTGGAATGTGAAGCCGGATGAGGGGCTGCAAAAGTGGGGGAGGGTACGGAGGAGGCTGGAAACCGTGTATGAAGAGGTAACGGTAAAAAGGGATGACTTAGTTAGAGGCTGATGGACGGGAAGGATGACAAAATGCGGATCGAAGCAGCAGAAGATTCGACACAGTTCAGGAGCCCTTGAGTGGAGGGGAAATCCGGGCCTAGCGACCAAGAGGGGCAAATCAGATCCCGCACGCGCCCGTCAGACTACTGATCACTAGCAACATGCAGGGGCTTGGATAACTGGCAAAAACAGAGGGATAGTTATTTTTAGGATCTGCAACACATCAAACAATCAATAAAAAGTGGCATATAAGAAGGATCTTGATAAACATGATGAAGATTGACGACGATGGATGAAGAGGGTGGAACGGGAAAGTGAGGAGGGTATAGAAAGAAGGGACGAGAAGGACAAAGAATGACTGGGGGAGGGGAGATAACCCACGTGGAACAACTATCTCGTGATGAAGCAGTCGAGTCACGAGTGTATGATTGATCAATACGGATATCCGATTCAGCAACAACGCGGTATATCCCATATCAATCAACTACGACGAATATTCCAGTCCATGGTAAACCTGTCAGTTTGGGGAAATGTGGATCATCATCCGAGGAAAAAACCACGGTACCGTGATATCTATCCATCTTATACTCATTCTCTTATTTACACTGGCCGAGTCATTGTTCGACATAATGATGACCTCATCGTGGATATGACACAAACTGAGGCTGAGCGCCCCGAGTTGCCCGACTCGGCTGTACATGCTGAAACCCTGAGTAGTGAGGCTCTGCCTTCCACCATCTTTGGATGGAATGGCCCATTCATTCCTTGGAGAGTTCCAACGGCATTTCTGGAAACTCGTGGGGAACGGGTTTCCGTGGATCACGGGGTCCCTGATTTCCTTACCGCCCATGGTTTGGAAAAGTGGGAGAGGTACCTGAGTGAGTTGAAGCAAGTATGTGCAAAGATCGGGACTACCACATGTAAATAGTCAACAAATAGTGGGATAATGGAATGCTAATACTTGCCAAAGATAGTGCTTGCGATCGTCAATTGTGACTTTAGTGTTGGACCTATCTCATGTTAGTCCCTGGCGCACGGGGTACGGGGCGGTTCTAGAAACCTTCCTTTTCCAAAACGCGTGTTTTGTTTCTGATTCATCATATTATCAACGTCATCATCGTTGTGACCACAAGATCCCAGGAGTTCGGAATAGCCGACAACCCTACCATGAGGACTCAGAACTATTTTTCTGCCAGCCGAGTTTGTCAGCCGGTAGCTTCTTTATTGTTAATAGTATTATTATTTATCATTTTGGCAACCTCGTTATTTGCCACGCGGGCAGTAGTGCGACGCAACACGAAGCGCTCCAAGGCAACTAAGAGGAGGACTGAGCTCATGCATGTTACATGCAGGGTGAATGAAACACGCATCCAATTTGCCTCCCTTCATCCGGGTTTCCGGTCGAACTACGCACCGTCGTGAAATAAACCAAACTAAAATAGGAGGAGAAAAAAAAATGTTTTAGATCGCTTAAATGAGAGAGTCATAACCCATTGGTCATTTTAAGGATCTTCGTTCTGGCTTCTAGAAAATCGACTCCCACGATGATTTACCCACACCTGGATATTGCATCTCATGTCAAAGCGTCGTTCTACCAACTAAGCGGTGTATTAAATTCACGCTTCGGTGGCGATTTTGCTCTTTTTTCTACCTCAGCACAGAGTAATAACTGTCGTTTCCAAAGGGAGTGTATTGTCCTAGCGTGGAATGTTATTAGTTTCTATTTGATTTTTAAATTCTGATTTCAATTTTTTTTTTTTTTTTGTTTTTTTATTATCCTCTTTACCTTCCTTCCTCTTTCTTCGGCTTGATTTGAATTTTCAAAGTCTTGCCAATCTGACAGTATATAGTGATTGTAGTCGTTATAGTAGTGAGGTATCGGCTTGTCTGCCAATAGGATAGTCGGCCGGAAACTATCTCTATGGGTTTGCCGAAGTGTTTGCCGGATGAAGGGGCTTGGGCGCATATTGTCTGGATGGTATGTGCATAATGGACACTGCCGTGACGTCCGTGAGACGGACAAGGGGATGATAGGATGGTCTTCCATGTACCGATGAACCCTGCAGTGCTGAGTTACACACCAGCATGATGAGACATGTCACTACTCCTCTGACTACTCCGTATACTAGTACGGAATACACGGAAATAATCCGAATAAATCTTGAATCATGCCGGCATCTGTCAATCGCATCTTCTTCTGGTTACTCACAAGATGCCGAGTCTCATCCGAGGGGGCAAAAAAAAGAGGCGAGGGAAACGAGACGAGTCTATTGTCTAAGAAAATATCAAATTAAATAAAAACACATTGACTAGTTGATTGAAAATCCATAATAATAAAAGGAAAAGAAAAAGAGCGCCGCAATTTAATGGGTGTGGAGATGGTACACCTTTCTTTTCTTTTTTCCTTCTTTTCTTTTCTTTTCTTTTTCTTTTTCTTTTTCTTTTTTTTTTTTTTTTTTTTTTTTTTTTTTTTTTTTTTTTTTTTTTTTTTTTTTTTTTTTTCTTTTTGTTTCCAGCGTTATGGTCGCGCCTTCATCTGCAAGCCTTCCCTTCCCCCACACACACATCCTTTGGACGAATCTCCACTTGGGGATCAGCCCCAGCGGATCCTAAAATCCATTTCTAGCCATTGTCAAATAGTTTCCACGTTGGCCATGTTCCTTGCTCCCTTTTTCGCGTGGCAGACCGTCCCACATGGCACCAATCCTGCAATGTGAAAAGTTTAAGCGGATTGAGGCTGGCCACATGGTTTTTCGTTTTCTAGAAAGCATGGTTGCATGCCCCTAGAAGGTCAAAGATTCCGTTCCTGATTCGACATGTAGCCAACTGTCAGCCAACTAGGAAAGGAAGCCTATGTTCCAATTTGTTGCAGGGTTAACTCTAATGCTCATTGCCCATTCCTCATACCGACAGCGCATGGAATGGTGGTCTTCATCTCGATTCGGTGTAGCTCATCTACCGATTTAGCTCGCAGATCTTTGAACAAGGGCGATTCCTCTCCAGTTTAAAGGCGACCGGAATTCTCGAGTTCTCGGAAGTGTGCACTCATCTCTTTCTCCATCCAAGACTGTGGACACCATCATAGGGTGTGGATTATTTATAACCTCTCTTTTCACGCCCCAACCCGTAACGGCCTCCACTTGAAGTCTTTTCGTGTGGACTTGGCTAGACCACTCCCTCTTCCCTCTCCGTCGGTACTATGACTTCATCAAGTCGTTCCACTGGGAAGAGACTGCCAATTAGCTGTCAAGCATGCCGTACAAGGAAGATCCGCTGCTCTCGAGACGGCCGTCCATGCCAGACATGCGTCCGACGAGGATTAGGAGCAGAAGACTGTGTCTACTTGGGCCAGCCTCGGTTATCCTCTGAGAATGCCGTGACGGCGGACGCGACTTTGCAAAAGGAGCTGCTGGCGCGCATCCGCAATCTTGAAGATACACTGCACAAGCAGGCCGCCAGTTCATACATGAGTGATTCCCTTTCACCTCAAATGTCGCCGAGTGTGGCCGGGAGCTTCTCGGAACCAGACAGTTCCCTCGGTCTCAGCCAGCCTGACATCAGAAGCCCGTTCTTGGGCAACTTTGGCACCCTACAGACATTTTCTTCAGGCTATGTCCGTTATCTCCCGCTGGCATCTCAATGGGGTTCAGTGACTGGAAGTGCCGTGCAAGACGTTGATGCCGACATCCCAGAGGAAGGCGATGATTTGCAGATTCCCTTTGCCAAAAACAATATCTCTAGAGAGGAATTGCTGGCAGTGCTTCCTCCGGGCCGATATTGCGACGCGCTAAAAGACGTCTACTTCCGAGTATTCTCTCCTGTAGGTCCTACCCTATCTCATCCCTCTTCAAGACTTATTTGTTAGCGAGGCTCTAACTAGATCGAATCAGATGTTCCATATTCTGCATGATTTGACATTCGAGGCTGAGTATCAGCGATTCTGTCACGATCCAAGCAGTGTAAGCACGGCATGGATTGCCCTCTTATTTATTATTTTGGGAATTGCAGTCACCGCCCTTGATGACGATGATCCACTGCTATCCGACTTGGGCCGTGAAAAAACGGTCAGCCGCAATATCAAAGTCCTATCATCGCGCTATCGCTCGGCAGCGCTGCGATGCTTGGCAGCTGATGGCGTGTTTTCTCGCCACTCCATCAATTCTCTCCAGTGCCTCGTCCTCGTTAACTACGCAAGGATCCACCGTGGACTACCTACATGGACCTTATTGGGCTTTACGCATCATGTGGCAATCTCAATGGGGTGTCATGTTGACCCGGAACGATTTGGCCTGGGGCCCATCGAGCGTGAGGAGCGTAGGCGTGCCTGGACCGGCCTCATGATCCTCTATATTAACCAGAACAACACCTTTGGCGGCCCCGATCAGAGACTACACTCTCAGGATGTAAAGTTCCCGCTGGAGATCAACGACGTGGACTTGCTCACAGGAGGTGCATCAGAGGCTACAACGCATCCCACTCAGATGACCTACCTCCTGCTCGAATACCAGCTATCCAAGGTCTCTTCGATGATCTGCGAAACCCTCTTCACATTCACCCCAAGATTCAGCATCTCGCAGATCGAGACTGAGATCCTAGCGATCCATGAAACCTGCGACAAGCGGTATCAACTCGACGCCAGCGGTGAAACACTTCCAACCCACCATCTGGCCAACTTAAACACCCTGTACGGCCACCTCCACCAGCTGTTTCTTCTCGCCCTCCGGCCCAACCTATGCCGCTACTTGCAAGGCGAGGTTACGCCCGAGACATGCGCTGCGAGAACCAAGTGCGCCGCATCTGCCAAGGCAACTCTGGCAATCTACCAGTCCCTACACGACCTGCCCCAGTATTCCACATACAAATGGTACAACAGTGGGCTGGGAAGCTTCCACGCATTCCACGCAGTCGTTGTTCTCTGCGCTATTCTCATGCACCCGGACAGCCAGTTCGAATTCAACGAGACCCACGACCTCCTCTGGCGGTCATTGGATGCCTTCGCCGCATTGTCGAACCGCAGTAATTTCTGCAGTAAAGCCGTGCCGGTTATACGCCAGCTTCTGTGAGTAAACCCACTCGTACAACCCCGTCCCACCTCCAGGCAGTATCAAACTAACAAAAGATATCCAGCGACTTCGTCAGTGCCCGAAGCCAGCAACAACCAAACCTAGTACCAATGGACAACACCGGCCCGACCTCGGCTGCATCATCCTTCATCCAATCCTACCCCACTCCACCGGTGGAATACATCCCGGAGTCACTCTTTTCTCAACTCCGTGCCCAGAACTGGGTGAGTCCGTCATCGGTCCAGTGGGATGGCTGGAACTTCCTCGCGCAGGAGCAACGCCTCCGTCAGTCAGGGCTGGGGTAAATTGATGGCTGGGGCCGCATTACCAATACTCGATCTCATGGTTCAGTACAAAAGACCATGCTATTTCCGGCTAGAGAGACCGAGCCCGGCTCTGGTTGTGGAATATCCGCCGTTCGATCTAAGATCGACTCAGTCTAGCTTTGCAGAAAGAAAGCTAAAGCGAGGTGGCGGGAGCCCCGTCGGAGTAAATCCGATGTCACGACCTCCTCGTATACGAGTCAAGCATGAAATCAAGCAATCATGCTTGTTTGCTCTTGGGGAGGGAGTCAGTCCCTAAGTAAGTTGGGGGTGACTGCAATTAGGTTCTCTGGTGCGAGTTACCCCGCGTCCAGAAATCAAGACCTTCGTGGTCTAGCACAGCTTTTACAATTGGCTATATTCGCTGCAATTGTGATATCTGGAGAAAATGATCTGGATCATTCTCTCAACGTTCTTTAATACTCTTTCCTTGTCTTCTGTATGGAACCGTCTCACGACACGTCTCTGTTTTCTTTTGTCACATAGAATAGAATTAATCATTGGAAATTTATTATGTCAGACTATCTCAAGTAACTAACTGGTTATCAAATTATTGCATTGGAAGATGTCATCAGGCAACTTCCACTTGCTCAGATGTAGGCTTTCCAGCGTCATCCCCATCTTTACCATTCTCCCCAGGTGCAACAACCTTATCACCAAACGAGGCAGCGATTTCCTCGAGCGTCTTCTGCTTGGTCTCCCTAGTAGTCATCCATCAGTACGGGATCTCAAAGCAACAACTCATAAATGAAACAGGGAACAAAACACGTACGGAAAGTAAAAATAAGCCACAACCAGGAAGAAAGCCGTGCAAGCGACGAAGACGTAATAATAATTCTCCCCGATATTAGCAAACGCACTTGGGCCAGCCTCAGTGACTGCAAAAGTTTTCGATCCGAATCAGCACCTATACTCAATGTCCATGAACAAGGAGGGGGGGGGAGGCAGGGAAAACGAACTGGCAACATTGACGATAAAGTGCGAGGCAGCAGCTAGACCCATGACTTTGCTTCGGAGGGATATGGGGAGGACTTCGGCGCCGTAGAGCCACGTTGTGCTGTTTAGCATTCCGTCTGTGTGTGTGTGTGTGGTTAGCTTTTATTTTGCTTCGGGGTGTCTGTTGTTCTGCACGGCTCACAGTAGGTTACGACGAAAAGGTAGATGCCTAGAACGGCGAAGCCCTTTCCGACTTGGTTGTCTGTGTTCTGGAATTCTCGTTGCATGACTGCGGCGTAGATTTCGATGACTATTATCCCTGCTAGACCTGAGAGGATCATCCTATTTTGGGTTGATTTCGTCAGCGGGAAGGGAGTGCTTTGGTAGATACTGGATGGACAAGTGGGAACCCTTACTTTCGACGGCCCCATTGGTCAGTGAGGTATTTTGTCGTCAAGCAGTTGACGAGGAAGGCAATGGTACCGTAGACTGCGGCTAGAGCGAGGATGGTGTGGGAGTCTATGCCTAGGGATTTGTATAGAATTGCTGGGTCGGGTGTCAGGAAAGGTAGGCTTGGAATGTGGAGGCGAACTTACTTTGATAGTACTGGTTGCAAATGTACCTAGTTTAGTATTGTCCGGGTAAATAATAACCTGGCAATGAACGCACCTGAATGACATTCACACCAGTAAGACTTGTCATAGTCTGGACGGCGATCGATCTAGATATACTCCGTTAGATGCACGATATGTAACCGTGGAGAAAGAACGAAGAGAACCCACACTAGCACACGATGTCTAAAGAGCCTGAATATTTCCTTGTACGATGTGATCTCCCGTTCCATCTCGTATTCGATCTGCGCAGCCATGATTTCAAACTCACGATGCATTTCATCCGGACGCAAGTCCCTCCGGATTCGTTTGAACTCGTCGCGCGCTAGCTCGACCTTTCCATTTCGAATCAAGTGGCGCGGCGAGTTCGGCATAAAAGTGATCAGCCCGCAGAACATAATGATCCCCCACGGAATCTGAATTCCCAATGGAAGTCGCCATTGGACTGGCCCATACGGGGCAAAGCTACAGGCGTATCCAACCCAGTTGGAAGCCATAGTGCCGAGGGAAATGCCGCATCCCGAAATACCACCAATGAGACCGCGATAACGGGGGTCGGAAATCTCGCTCAGGTAAATCGGCACTGTAGCAACGAGTCCTCTATAAAGCATCTGTTATTACAACCCAGGCCGTTGGAAGTATCGGAACACATACCCAACAGCATAGCCGGCCAACACGCGCCCTGCAAGGAACATCCCAATGTTGACCGAAGCAGTCTGGATTACAGTTCCGATCGTGACAATGACACACATCATCTCCATGAATCGCAGGCGGCCAATTTTATCGGCGATGGCTGTCTGCGTAAGAGCACCGACTGCTTCGCCAGCAATATAGACCGCAACCACCTGTCTAGTTTAGACCACCGGTCCCTTCGCGAGCGGTGCAAGGTCAACTTACAGCCCCAGTAAGTCCAGCGGAAGGGTGTTGCATATAATCAATCCAACTCTGATGAGCGATTGCTGAGCACGGCATGAGTTTGCTGCTAGCAACTGACAAGTCTTTTTCTTGCACTTACTTGTGGTCGCAATTCCGGTATCAAAGCCCTATTGGCGCATCAGAATTCATTCAGTCATACGCTTTGAAGAAGAATATGAGCTTACGAAAAGGAATGTGCCGATTGCGGCGAAAAAAGCCACGCCTAGGGTATACCAGATAGCCATCGTTTCTTGCGAAGGGATAGACTGAAGAAGGCAGTAGTGATTTCACAGTACTTGGAATACAGGCTCTAGCTTATATATACCATAGCCAAACTATCATTACACACAGGTGACCAGTCGACCGAGGTGCAAATCCATGGACTAGTAGCTCGGAGCATAGCCGATCCAAGTGTCATTCCGTGGGGGTGCTGGGAGATTATTGGAGAGAATACGGGTAGAAGGACGATCCGGGGGGGAAAAGGAGGGGGGAGAAGCGCGGGGGAACCCAAGAAGGCAATCCCGTGTTGTCTCAGCTGCAGCTATTCAAGTTCCTGCAACTGATGGCGTCAGTTCAAAGCTAGGCTACATGTCTTACTGATTAGACACTATGGACCCCAAGGTAAGATTCTCAGGTGCGAAAGCTTCTATCGAACAAGGCTAGTATCTCTATATTTCCGCAGTTTGCCAGCAACAAAGATTCTAAATCTAAGCCTAGAACAATCAGTGTTCTACACTGATCTACGTTACAGCTGGCATGTTCAACTTATTCTGATATGTCCATTCATACCACTATTTCGAACTGAGCAACAGCATTTAGGCTACATACAGCTTAAAGTCAGGCGAGGTTGCAAAATTGACCCAGTCTCCAATGTTGTTGTTGTTGTTGTTGTTTTGGGCTGTAGTCAAGAGCGAGATCATGGCGCTGTGTTGAGAACATATATAGTTAGTTAATTGTCGTGCCGTTCCGTCAGTTGTACCAAGTAAATATATACATACTATATGGTCCAAGCCTTGACTTAGAGACTATCGCGTTTTCAAAGTCTGAAACTACTTACACTGTTAAGTCCAAGATTACACTACTAGTATTGTTTCAAGTTAACTAAGTTGATCTCTTAGCATGTACGACAATGTAAGCATCAAAGACATATAATAAGGATATGACTAGTAGGGGTTTTCTTTCTCTTAATATGATTAATTTACTTTGATTAAGATTAGACAGGGTAGGTAAGTAAAGTACACTTTAGTAGAAGCAATCAATCTTTTCCTAGGAACAGATCTAGCCTGTTAATGTATGTTTTCAGTGTTGGTTGTGGGAAACCTTGCGTACAAAACAAAGTCTGAAAGAAGGCTTGGCATAGGGCATTTGTGCCTGGTGGGCAAGGGTTGATTCGGTTGACGTCCCACTGCTATTGATAGCAGATTTGGAGCTTGGCTTGATAGCCGGGTGTGTGGAGACTACATGAAATACTGCAACACACTGCCATTCAACAAGGCTGAGAGAACAATGCGATCGCCACAGCATTAACACTTGCGGTACGGAAGACTAAAGTCATACGATGATCCAGCTGGTACGGCGTAAAGCTTGGTAGCTTACACGGGCACAGTGAAGGAAGGTATCTTGCGACATTCTACTTGTCATAACGGGGATTAATTCATGAAGAGACTCATCAACTAGGAGTCATATATTCTTTTTTTTTCTGAATATGAAGTCCTATTCATTTTCCCATTGCCCAATGTCATGTGCCCCACCGCGGGAGAAGCGGCCTGTGCAATGCAGGAAACCCAGAGCCGAACAAGGAAATCGCAAATTTAGAAAACAAGAGCAGCACCCTTGGTCTTCTTGTCACCACTGTAGAGATTGTTAGCACCACATGTTGGTGGTCCACAGGCCGGATGTTTTAGTCAAGACGTACCCAAGCTCGAAGTGCTTGCAACGCTTCAAAGAGAGCTGCTTCTTCTGCTTGCAAGCAGTGCACTCAAGACGCAAGACGATCTTCTTGGTAGTCTTGGCCTTCTTGTGGAAGACGGGCTTGGTCTGACCACCATAACCGCTCTGCTTCCGGTCGTAACGGCGCTTACCCTGGGCGAACAGGGAGGCCTATAGATATCCATCCGCATCAGCAATTGTCGTGTTGGTAGGAACCGGGGCGTTCGGGTATGTTCACCTTGCCAGCCTTGTACTGGGTGACCTTGTGCTGGGTGTGCTTCTTGCACTCCTTGCCCTTGCAGAAGGTCCGGCGGGTTTTCGGAACGTTGACCTGGTTGGGGAAAAGATATCAGCGCCTGCGGTTCGAATGACTTTTGATAAAGCTGCATCAGGATATCTGGATTCCGGCCATCGGAGAAATGTAGTTCGACATCTGATCGCTAGAGGACATCGAGGGGGGAAGTGAATGGTATGAAGACTTTGTATCGCGCTTGTCGTTATCTCGAGTGCCGTCGGAAAAGATTCTAATCTCCTTGACGCGACCGCACGAAATCCAGTTTGTGTAGGCACTATTCGCACTTCAAACCAGGACATATGGTCGCCCCATTTTCCGGTCAACCCACACCGTTCGGGTTTCCCCTTTATTGATTTGGGCAATTTTGTCGTCTTTCTCGATCGTAGGCGTTTCGTCAAATCCGGTATCTCTCAGCCCGTCGAGTCCTCCGCAAGCATCACCAAAATGTCGACCACATATCTCCAATGTCCAGAATTTCCAAATAACAACAGCAAGCAAAATAGAACAATAATATTAGGCTCTTACCATTTTGACTGACTTGGCCGGGGCGAATTCGGTGGTCGTTGATAGTCTCTTGTCGGGGAGTGATCGAGTCGGCTGCCCGTCTGATGGGTTGTGGGATTTCGTTTCGCTTAGGCCCTATTGCACCTATTACGGAAGTGCGGTCTAACCGCTTCTGGCGACGCCAAGACCACTTACCACCTGTCTACTCTAATGCCTTAGGCATCGATAAGCCCACATCCAATCAGTGTCGTCATTTGCTCTTCTATCTTTAATCAGTATGGAATGTATAGACTTAAGGGAACCCTTTCCCTGTGACAACATTCTCTCCTCCACCGTAATATGATCTACCCTTACAAAGTTCTAGTCCTTTTCCTTGCCCAACAATCCACTCTCCTTTCGCAGACATGGGCCCATTCTCCTGCGGCCAATATTTTTGCCGCAGTTTTCCATTAATCTGTTCGATCCTCTCGACCAGCGCAGCGACTCGCTCCTGATCTACAACCGGGACTCCATCTGGCCCTGAGCCTTCTACTATAAATCCATCGTGTGTGATAAACCGCGCAATGGTAACATGTGCTGAGGGAACAATATACCTCGGTTTCATGAGTAAACCGGTTGCAGTCAAGCGATCAAAAAGATCACGTCGCAAATGGTGATAGGTATACCTATCGCCTTCATCGCAGTATGTCTGGTTTCCAACGGCAGTTTCCTCCCCAGCCGCAGGAACGAAGCTCAAGGCCATGGCACTCGCATCATAGCTAAGAATGGGCTTAACCAACCTCGTCCGATGATGGAATGTGTAATCCACCAGGTCTGGTATCGTGCCACTTTCTTGTAGATGGGTGAGAAACGCCTCAATATCGGCTTCTGTCCGTCCGCTAGCCATTTCCATCACGGTAATGTGCAGGGAATCCGGCGGTGTCACCCAGATGGCTAGGCATTTGGGATCAGTATTGGCATGACTAAACGGAAGATCATGAGTCATATGAAAACGAACCTGGCGCAGCATCTTGAATATCCGCTTGGATCTCAGCCACCAGGTCTCGGATCTCTGGTGGCGGTCGGGCATAAAGCGTGAAATTGTTGCGAGGATCAACAGAGGAGGGCTCATTGTCTCTTTGTGCGTTGGTCCCCTGTGCGTGCAACTTGCGGAGGATTTCATCTATCTGCCAGCCTGAGAAATCAGGGCTGAGAAGTTTGGCCTTGGATTGTGCATTTCTATTTGCACGGTGGTTTTCATAGCGGTCTTGTACTTTAATCTGTTATGTTCCATTTTCGATTAGGTTTGTGGGGATATTATCTGGAAATGGGGTGGAATAAACAAAGTACCGGATCATGTTCACAGTCAGTAAGAATCTTTTCAAAAGGATTGGGTATCTCTGGTTTGCTGGACGTAATCTCAGACATCTTTGGTCATAAGTACTGTGGTGGTGTATCTGCCTTTGCAGGTTATTGGTGGTGAGGGTGTATTGCTGAGACTTGGGGTGAAATCCAAAAACAGGAGGCTTTAACGCCGTCGGTATATATCACAGTGCTCGTACCAGTGATCAGGGCTACATTTGCACACAGCGAGGCTAATCATATAGCCTGAAAGTACCACGAATACAGACTATGCACTAGACTGGCAAATTTCTTACGAAGAAAATGACAAACAAAAAAAAGTCGAGTCATACGGCCTGTGTCCTTACCTTCTATAGACATACAGTTCTGTCCTTTAAGCTCCACGGAATGTATTCGATTTTATTGTCCGCCCCACCAAAGGCCCCGCGCCACGGCGCAGCTTTCCGTCACCATCTCCAGTCAACCGCCGTAGTTGAGCCTCACTGCCATTTCTCCCTCCCCTATTCCTCCCTGAGATTTGATATCCTGCCCGTCTAGATACCGGTTTTCAGTTTAAACTTTCCCCCGAGTCTCGCATTACACACAATATACAAAGATGTTGATTAAGTGAGTCATGTGTGCCGTTGTGCTTAGCCCCCATCCTTGCATTATGGAGATCCGACCAAACAGCCACCCTGGTGAAAGTGAGGCCATAGGCTGACCGTTGAGCGTTGCTGCAGAGTTCGCACCCTTACCGGCAAGGAGATTGAGCTGGATATCGAGCCTGATTACAAGGTATTGTCTCACCTCTGGTTACGGTTTCTTTTTGACCACATCGTATCCGTCGATCTCCGCATGGCCGAACGATAAATTATTTTCGCTCGAGCCACAGTTAATAAAATTACGCAGGTGTCCCGGATAAAGGAGCGTGTCGAGGAGAAGGAGGGTATCCCACCTGTTCAGCAACGATTGATCTTTGGTGGAAAACAAATGTACTTGAACTCCGGAACGAAGCCTGCCATACCGAAGACGTGAAGTTTCGCTAATACGTTTGTTGTGGGTGATAGGGCCGATGATAAAACCGCATCGGAATACAACCTCGAAGGAGGTGCGACGCTACACCTCGTTCTCGCGCTCCGTGGTGGATCTCTGACCTTGTAAACGCCTACCTTGAGTCCTGAACATCGTACTCCATCGGGGTCGCGAATAGTGTGCAGTGTCTGAATAAGCTGGGTGGTTTTCTGCAGTTGACACTCGAAGCCACGCCGATCATTGTGGCATGAACCCAGCTCATCTATATTTTCGTTCACTATACCCTGGAGGTGGAAGCGGGCTGTCCAGTGCTGGCTGCAAGCGAATGGTGTTTTAATATCAGGAATGCGTCCTGAACCCGCATAGCATGTCTGTGTCACATGCATGTCGCCCCCGACTCAGAATGACTCTTAATGTGCCACACCAACGCAGTAATGATAAGCTTCACGAAAGAATTCTCAAAACACAACATCGCAAAAAGAGGATAGAGCAAAAGATGTAGTCGTAATAAAGAAAATGCTTGTCAAGATTTTGAAGAAGAATGTAACTGGATATACCTTGAAAACGGAGACTTGAGCAGCAAAAATGCACATGCGTTTGCATCACGATCATAGACCTCGTAAAGATCATGCGGTTCAAATACAGATACACCTCGAGGTGTTCTTCGAGAAAACTCCATTCAACAATGCCAAGTGGGGGTGTTGAGTATACAAAGCCAGAAAAAAGGAAGGGAAGAGAAGATGAACCCAGGTCAACATGTAAACGCCCATCGCTAATACCGTCAAAAAGACAAGCTACACTCCAACCCCCTGAACTGATATACCTTCAGAGCTATGGCTATTATTTGGGATTTTGGTAACATCAGGAATGGAGGCCATGACAGTTTCGAATCCAATATGATGTTAGTTAACTTTTCTTTTTTTAGGTTGCATGAAAACATTTGGAGGAGGTCGTTTTCGAATCATTGCAGGACGAGGAGCTTGTGCTGGGGAATCTCTGGGCCCATCGGCAGCAGTACCGAGCTCCACTTCAGCAAATCGATGTCTTTCCGTGTGTGAGCGTGCCGGAGAGCTAATTTCTGCAGATGAAAGCTCATTGCGACTATTTGAAATATGTGTCTGGGTATTCCTCGACTTTGAGCTTGCAGCAGCAGGCAATTGCGACGAAGCAGAGGAACCGGGGGTGCTAGAGCCCGGTCGTTGCCCGGAGGCAATAGCCCGTAGCCTTGCTTCCCTATCCCGTAAGGACGTGGATACCACTGGCTTTTGATTTCTCCGATCGGGTATACTCTGAAGGTTAGACCGCCCGGGTGCTCTCAATGCAGGAGGGTTAGTCCGCCGAGGTATGGCAGGTTCTGTTGGCCGTCTATGCTCCTCGATCAAGGAACGAGGGGCTTGTCTGACTTGTGTGGCTCTATTATTCAGGTGTTTCGTTGGCACAGCCAGGGCATTATTCCGTTTTGGAGCAGTAAATATACTGCTCTTTTTCTTGGGTGGAGGCGTCGGTCGCTCAAAGGACCAGAGAGGTGATCCTAATGGGTCTGATGAACCGAGAGTATTCCTCGTAGATGTATACATAGGTTTGATGCCGCCCATTTTTCGGTCATACGAAGCATATCGTTGCTTTGCCGTTGGCCTTTCTCGGGGTAGGCGAATATCGCGGCGGTCAGGGACAAAGTTAACACTATTTTTGGCACGTTCTGAACTGATCCCATCTAGGGCCAGCTTCAGTTTCTCGGCATCTTCATCCACTTCCCTCTGCACACGTTCCCGAAGATCGCAATATACGTCATACCAACAATCGGATTGTTCCGGTATATCATACTCGTCCCACCTAGGTATATCTCGCTTTATAAACTCGAGCCAGAGCTCTTTATCTTCGTCTATAATATGAGGGGATTGCAGTTCTAGTGTTCTCTATCAAGGCGGCAGTGGTCAGCTAAGGGGCTAGTCAACTGGTCCTAGAACGACTCACGAGTTTCTCAGGACTTTCGATTTTCAGGAGAAAAGGGCGCGCAAGGATATACGGGACATTTCCAATATCATTTAAATCTGAGGAAGTTATGAGGTTAGTATGAGGATTCCAAGCACAAGTTCAGCGGGATATGCGCACATTTCACGTTCTTAACAGCAGTCGCTGTACATAGTTGGAGGAGCGAAGGCGGCGGCATTATCGAGTATGGGACCAAGAGGCAGCCAAGAAGGTAGCATGGGTAGATTGCGATATATCGAGTTCGTAAATGTGAATGAGAAGAGGTTCTGAAAATATGAGTGATATGCCCAGGGAAGCCCCAAATGGTGCATTAACCCAACTCGACTATTACAGGGGGATGATGTGTTGATACAGGTGGTTCAAAGTACAATGAATGGTCCCTCCAGCGGATGACGCTTATCACATGATTTGATTGGCCGAAAGCGCTCCGGGTCGACGTGGATGACCTTATCCGTCTTCCCGTATGTATAAACCAATAAAACAACATTGAAATAGTGTCTGATTTCTTGTACTAACTAACATACAGTACTTTGTAACCATAACAGCATTCGATATCGACATAAGAAAGACAGTGGGTATTACGAAAACAAAACTGAACAAAATAAGGGAAAGAACGTCAAAAGAAAAAGACAAGACCAAGAAAAACAAAGAGCAAGGACTGCAAAAACATCAAGATATGGAAATGGCTGAGTCACTTGTGGAATAATGGCATATCTCCCCTTGGTCATATGCTTAAGGAGTCAGGTGTGAAGCTTTAAATCCCCAGGTTCGTGGCAAAGCCTTCTACTTTCGTTTACTGACTTCACCATTCGCAGGCACCTGGCCCAACCAGGATGGCGGGCTGATGCCAGTCTGCTCGTGGATGGTGGTGAGAAGAGGCGGAAGGCCTTGCATGATATTTCGGACGGGGGCCATTGCATCTCCAGAGCCCTCTCCTTGTTTTGAAGTCAGCTTCTCATCGCATTGGAAATAGCGCCTACGAGTGATACTCACCGGTGTTCCACGCTGAGATCTTGGGTGATAGTCCTCTGATAGCATCGCCGTTGGCCTTGGCTAATTTCTCATATGTACCGCTCTCCATCATTCTGAACTGTAAGAAGGCTTGGGGTCCTCCGAGGACGTCAATAAGGGCACCGTATGCCTTAGACATCTCGAGAATTCCTTCAGCCTCGCGCTTTTGCTGATAGAGGGTAGCATCGGCTTCTTTGCTTTGACGATAATCTAAGTATATTTAGCGCAGGGACTCTCTATCTTCAAGAATCTAGTGAACTTACAGGCTGCGTCTGCCTCCATCTTTTGTTTATACAACCGCGCATCAGCTGCTTTCTGTTCTGTGTAGTAAGCGGCATCTGCATTCTCCTGTGCAGACTCGCGCTTAACCTTGCTTTTAGTGACCTCACTGGCCCTAAGGCGTTCCAGTTCGGTTTCGGCACGCTTGGACTCCACTTGCTTTTGTAGCTCTGCATCTTTCATCTCTGTCTGGCGCTTGGTTGTAATCTTGCTGATTTGAACACTAGCATCAAGCTCAGTCTGACGGTTCATGAGCTCGGAATCTGCCTTGGCTTTTTCGGCCTTCCGTTTCGTCTCCAATACCGCAGTATCGGCATCGATTTTAGAGATCTCCTGCTTCATTTTACCCTTCTTCTCTGCCTCTCCAATCTCACCTTTCATCCGTGCCTCAGCAACATCGATCTTTGCTTGATTAAGAGCTCCTTCGTGCGCTTTTTGGCTTAGGATGCTGAAGTATTCGCTACCAGGAGTGTCCTGGAGCTCTTTGACATTGGCGTTGTAACTGTGCGTCTGTTAGTGGAAGGGGCATTCCTTGAATCATGGTGGCTTACATTCGCAGGCCAAATTGCTGAAGTTCCTTCTGTACGTTCTCAATCACTGCCAGTGTGCAACAGCGTTAGCTAAGTTGGGCTAGCCCGGTTGAATTGAAGCTACAGACCTTTGTTTTTGAAAACCTGCCGTTCCTTGAACACCTCCTCCATGGACATGCTGGAAACGATGACTCGAGTTTCACCTTCGATAATGCCTTTCACGATTTTCTGAACATTAGTTTTGTCATCAGCGTTCTCCGCAAGAAGCCGAGCGTAATCCTTGAGTGCCTCCAGTTCATTGTCGGCACCGATAGTGAAAACTGCCGGCAATGAAAATTGGAGCTTTTCCATAGTCATGGCCTGAAGATTGAGCGCCAAATCAAAGGGCGTCACAGAGATCCTCGCGCACTACTCATGAGATAAAACCGTGCCGTCAGCATTGAACTGGTTGGCCCTTGGAAAGGGAAAACATACTCGCTGGAAGGGAAGTACTATAGCTTTCTTGCAAATGCGAATGTCGTCTATCCCAGCTCCAGTGAGCACGAGATATTCGCTTGGCTTTGCAACCGCATACCTGTTCGACGCTGAGTTAGCCCAAACAATTTGAAGACGAATGTTTCTTATAGGTAACGGTATATCACATTTTGAACGTGTTGTTATACTGAAGTCTTTAATCCTGCCCGACAAAATTCGACAGAATTAAGGATGTCTAAGTTGTCTTAAGCCGCAACCTGGACGTTATTTATATAGCGCGGATTACAGAGCCTCAGAGCTACGATTACATGATAATTACAGGTACACCCCATGATGACGCCTGACGATATGCCCTGCGTTCCATAGAACTTCGGCACATGTTCCGGATAAAGCATTGTTCTACGCAGGAAACTCGGGGCAACCCCTTATAGTGAGGAGGCGATGCGGTTGGTGCCATGAAATACGAACGCCCGACGGGGCACAGCAATGGGCAGACACAGCCTTGCATACATGAGCTAAAAGATTAGCCCATTGGCAAGTCCAATACTAGACTAGAAAGACCCGCATCAATCCATGTCAAGGCTGGGCGAGCCATCGGCTTCCGGGGGTAAGCTGCGAGTTACCTAGGTTGCCAGGCTTCCGAACAGTTGGGGGATAGCCATGCTCGTGTTAAGTGACTCAATGATTTGGCCGCAAGGTAAGAATGCTCCGGTTAAGCTAGGGAAAGCTAAGGTAAGGAAAATTGACATCTGGATGCATTTATGATTTGACTCATTCCGGAATAGGCAATCGCAGTTCTATTAGCCTTGAGAAGTCATCTATGAAATGAATATCTACGGCATAATGCCCCTGTAAGGCTGTACCACTGTCAACTGGTAGTGTCACGTGCGATAGCACTCCACCCCACCAAGCAAACAATGCAAAATATCTTGGATAGCATCATCATTGCGGAGGGGCAAGAAGACCACGGTGAACTTCTTCAGTGCGTGTTAGCATCTCCCTAGAAGAAAAAGTTTGCAAATTTACAAGATAACGCATATTACAAGGTATCTACGTTCTGCATGATTCTCATCCTAAACAACCACAAACCCCAGTCAAAGCCGAAAGGCCTGCAGCGGAATACATGGCAGCTCCTTTTTTTGTTGTCCAGGATACCTGGTCCTGACTACAATTACGCTCCTACCTCTTGGCTTCAGATATAAGCTCCCTTCAACATCACCGACTCCGAATAACTCAACAATTCATACTTATTAGATATACCGACTCCTACTGAGCTGATCGCTAACAGGTCTTTTAGACGTAACAGCAACATGGCGCCACGCACGCAATTGGAGATCATTACTTCGTCTGTCTTGCGCCTGGTTAAGGAAGAAGCATCTTACCACCGCGAATTACAGGAACAGACAGAGCGCATTAGGAAACTAGAGAGTCAACAGGGTGGTGATGAGAACAAAGAGTATATGTTGAGGCAGGAGGTATCTGCAGTCATGGAGAAGCTCTTATGAATAGATTTGCTAACCCTGTTAAAGCGTCTTGCGCTCGAAGAAACCAAGAAGGTCCTCCCAAGCTTGAAACAGAAGCTCGAAGAATCGATAGCGAAGCTTCAGAGTCTCCTGGTTAGTTCCATCAATTGCGCTCCACATGATTTGTTTCCCTCTTGCTAACCCTCCGTGGCAGACCGAGGAGGGCAAGAAAGGACCTGAGAGTAACGTCGAGCATATCAATGCTGCCAAGGACGCTATATCAAAGGCCAGGACGGCTGAGAGAGAGATCGCTTGAGGGCCATCAGCTGGGGGGTCAATTGGACATCAGTGCAATGCATATGCTACCATGCTAATGATACAACCACCTAATGTCAAATGAAAAGAAAAAAAAAATTTTATAAATCACGAGAAATTCCATAATCGAACGCCGTCCAAGCATAACTCCTTACCTCATAAAGGATATATCAATAGCATGATAATAAGAGATGTATGTCGCTTACGTGATATCCATTCTGTCAGGCACTTCTTCTCCCTCCTCTAAGTCATCAGGATTCTCTCCATTCTCATCTCCCGTTACTTCACCTTCGTCCACCATAGTAGCATCCTGTTCTGGCGATTGATTCTTTTCATCTCCAGCCATGGTGACTTGCCGTAAGGGCGATGCTCCCCCCGCTGCTGTCAACCTCTCTGCATGTAGGCCAGCAGGTGAACGACCCGTTTCGTCGTGCGCTTGTTGAGATGGAGTAGCGCTATCAGATTCATGTCGTGGTGTATTTGCTCCACTAGACTTTCCCTTGGAAGGAACGTCGCCGTCGTCTCCATCTTCGCCCTCTTGCATACCTTCCCTGCGTTCAACCTCTTCCTTTTCATCTCTGATTAGACGTCGGAGCTGCATTCCTTCTTCCACAATACGGCCGAATTGCTCTCGTCGTTCAGCCCAGGTCTTCGCATAGTCTTTGCTCTCTTTCTCGAGCTCAGTGATCTCCGCCTGTAGCTTCTGTAGGTTTGCTTGCTGGTCTTCCCGCGGCTTCAAGAGACGGTTGCTGGTGATTTTATCGGCCAAGTCATCGTAGCTTTTCCGCAGTGCTAAGAGCCGTTGTGCTTCTTCTAACTGAACCCTCAACTCGGCTGTGTTGTCGCGTACGGCTTGCATGGTGGAGAGAATCCGAAGTTTCTCGGCTGCATATCGTTCGCGTTCCTTCTCATTGCTTGTCAAGAGAAATTGAATGCGCGCGATACTACTCTCGAATGCAGCAAAGTCCAGTGTTACGTCTTCACGAAAATGGCGCCATTGTTCAAGCCTTTTCTGTTTCTCTGCTTCTGCGACGGTGGCATCGTCGTCTGTTCCATCTGGCGGCGGGGTGGGAGGAAGGGTTGCATTGGAGACAACTAGCGAATCGGGGTTCAAAAGTCGTTTGGATATACGTTTGAAAGGTTTCTCTTCGACGTTCAGCAGGCGCGACTTGTGGAGAGCATCTGGAAGGCGTTAGCGTGGTGAAGTGGAGGAAGCTTGTCCAAAGTCAGTGACAACGCCGACCTTCTTCCGACTGATCTAGTAAGCCGTAAGACGCCATTGTACGAGCAAATCAAAGTATGATTCTTGCGATTGACGCCGATAGCAGACGGTTGAACAAATCGGTGGTTGCTTCGGTCGCCGAGGAGGTTGGGTGCTTTAGAAAAAGGCTGATGCGAGCGGTCTGGGGATCCGCGCTAAGGCCGTTTCTTTCTTTCTTCAGTCTGCCGCCATAAATCTTGCTACGAGGGTGCCTTTTATGGTACCGTACTTTCACACCCAACTCCTACTAACTGTTATCGCTGCCAACAACGCCGAGTGAGCCAACCAACCACGGCCCTTTGGGGGTCAATGCTAACTATTCATCCAGTATCCGCTGGAATTTTCTATATTTAGCGATGCCAATTGCCCCCCTATTATCTAGGCTTCGTGACAGGCTGGATGGAGCCTTCTGAACATGCTTCTGGTGCTTATACGCAAACGACGCCCGATCGATCTACGAATTCGACATATACAAAAGCCTATCAGTCTTGACTAGTTGATAATGTTTTACTGATGGAAACGACTTGCAAAACCCCTCCGTGCCTGTCCCATCTGCGGCACCTTTCGTTACCGTCATGACGGAGATATACTCGGGGCTCCATATGGGCCAACAGTTCACCTCGCTGGAAGAGTTCAAAGCATTGGTACGAAGTATTTCGGTCAGGCAGCATTGGGAGCTTCGAGTGACAAGGAGCAACAAAAAGAGTGTGGTGATAGGCTGTCGATCGTCGAACAATTGTTTTTTCCGCGTCGTCTGTCGCGCGAATAAGAATGCGACGTACATTAGCAGCCTTCAAGACCGCCATAGCTGTCGAAGCAATGCGACTTCCACCATCAAGACACCTGTTCGGTCAGAAGTGTCGCATGTGCGGTTTCTCCTCAACGAAATACCGAAACTCTTCGATATGAGGAACGACGTTAAAGCGCAAGAGGTTGTGGATGCCGTTAAGCGTTACCATGGCTATGAGATATCGATACGGCAAGCGCAGCGTGCCCTGATTAGATTGCAGCAACAGCAGACACAAAACCAGGAAGAACGAGCTGACACTCTCGACTCCAGCGGAGACGACCAACAAGGCAGCCATCTACCCCAATCTGAGGAACCGGCAGAAGGTTCAACTTACAGCAGTCTTTCTGGGCCGAGGTGGATCCCAGATAATATGCAACATGGCATCATGGACGCCGAGGGCATTCAGCACAGTGGCATGCAGCGCAACCATCCTGCACTTCAAGCTCCACAAATCCACGGCGAACCTTTGCAGTCGCACGCTCAACTAGAAGCTTCGCATCAAGTACAACCAACAGCTGCAGTACATCATCCACCCAATATTCAGTCCCCGGAGCAAGCAACTTTAGGCAATCCTCTTAATCAGCCGATCACACCTCACCAGGCTCGTTATGCAGTGTCAGCCCCCAACCCTCCGTCAGCGTCACAGACCGGGCAACCCAAGCCCCAAAGACGGCTTCAAACGGAGGGGCATCCTGCTGCTGCGCAACTAGTTCTCACAAACTTCAAGATTGAGTTCACATGCACTACATGTGGAGCCTTGAACCAAAGCTTTTTTCCAAACCAAGGAAACGTTACTGGCGGAAATTATCTGCCTCAGCCTCCTATACCTGGTCAGAGCTCTGCAGCAGAAGGCACAGGGCGCCCGACACAGTCTATTCAAGGTAGCAGTGGTGCTAGTCGCGTGGCTGAAGCCCATGGGTATGGGGGAGACACCGCGGCTGGTCCCCGCGGCGTACATTCACCCTGGACGCCAGGTACTCTAGATGTTCCAATTGCGCCTGCACACACCTAATCCACGTAGAATGATTAAGGGTGTCATGGCTAGTTGTTACTGCTAAGAGGTCACTTGTAACTTTTCACCAGACATGTTCATTCAAGTCTCTGGACTGACTTGCTCTAATCAAGTACATAAGCTAAAATGGGTTGAGCCTAGAAGCCACTGGAAATACACCTCATTTGCTGAAGGACACTCCTGATCGTCATCAGAACCAGTAGGTCGAACTATTCGTCTTTGAATGTCAGTACGCCTCCTGTGCCTGCTCCTCCAAGAATGTGAGATACCCACATTGTTGATTACGCGGACAAGCAAGTGGGCATTTTCGACCAGGTCGAATGTGAAAAGCAAACGAATACGTTGTTCGAGTAATGACGATAAGATAGCGATGAGTACTATCTCAGACAAAAATCCGGTTGTACAGCGAGTGAAGGAAAAGGGGGAGGGGGAGAAAGAGATAATCTAAAACATAAATCACAGCATAAAACACAGGAAAATGAATAGATCAGTGGCTTTGATAAACGCTGAGTAAGTCCTTGGGCCATTGGACGGAATTCGGCACGCATCCGACCAAGCTCTCGGACCTCCGAACAGGGCTTGTCAATTTCCGACAGCAAAGATCCACCACATCCCGGATGGTTTCCAACGAGGAGCGAGAATCAGGGCGGAATGGGTCCCGCACAACTATCCACGGTCTAGCATTTACCAATAGCGTCAATGCTTGAGAAGAAGTGGATAGATTCCGCCAGCTGGAAGTATCTGTGCAGTTCCCTGGGCAATAATTGGCTTTGGTTCTTTGCCCTCGCGTCGAATGAGAAGATGTCGGCATATAATCCGATGCTTGTTCAGCATGAAAGATTACGGCAATGGCAAAGATGATAGAATGCGTCACACTCATTAACGGCATCAGCAAGAAAATTTTTCTCTTCTAGTTTCCCAATTGATTAGGTTGCTGCGCGTCCTTGCCTTATAGTTCCATCATTCTGTGCCCTCCTTTATAAAAGAAAGGAGAACGAAGATCTGTACTCAGCCACACATTCCCTATCAAAAACTCCTTGATCCCAATGGGTGTCAAACACGTACTATACCTTGTGAAGAAATAGCATCTGCTGCATGATATCTCATATTCCCCGATCTGACGCTGCTCAGCCTCCAATGCAACGACCCAAGCATTGTTTGAATAGAACGCGAAATGATGAATCGGCAACAAGCTGCAGAGAAGGCTTTGCATGATCAGACTAATATTTTGCCACTTGGTCAACTACTGATTGTTTTTGCTGGCCTGGCAGTGTCACTACTTATCACTTTCGTCGACCAGAACGGCATCAGCGTTACTCTCCCCACAATTGCCAAAGATCTCCATGCTGAAAATACTATCTCCTGGGCGGGGACATCGTCCCTCATCGCAAATACTATGTTCACGGTGCTGTATGGCCGTCTTTCCGATATCTTTGGCCGAAAGATAGTCTACCTTCTTGCGTTGGCCCTGCTCTGTATTGCCGATTTGCTCTGTGGCCTGTCACAGAATGCCCCTATGTTCTATGTCTTTCGGGGACTGGCAGGTGTTGCAGGAGGTGGTGTTACCTCTTTGACCATGATCATTGTGTCTGATATCGTGACCCTTGAACAACGAGGCAAGTACCAGGGAATCTTGGGTGCCTCGCTTGGACTTGGAAACGTAATTGGTCCCTTCCTTGCAGCTGCATTTATCATGAAGGCGACCTGGCGGGCGTTTTTCTGGCTCCTCGCTCCGTTATCAGTATGCTCTATAGTGGTGGGATATTTTCTCATACCAAACAATGCCCAGAAGTCTAGTTTCAGAAAGAATTTGGGGCGGATTGATTATTACGGGGTCATTGCGTCGTCTATCGGGATTATCTTCCTGCTCATTCCCATATCTGGTGGCGGCTCTTACTTCGAGTGGGACTCTGCAATGGTGATAAGCATGCTAGTCATCGGTGGTTGCTCTTTGATTGTTTTCATTTTCATAGAGTGGAAGGTGGCTACGCTTCCTATGCTTCCCAGTGCGTCTTTCATATATCTACCTTGCGGCGAAGACTAATGTTTCAATAGTGGTTATGTTCAGGAATAAAGTGATATGTACTTTGTTCGTGCAGAGCTTCCTTCTCGGGGCTGTCTACCAGTCGAACCTCTATTATCTGCCTTTGTATTACCAAAATGCTAGAGGATGGTCTCCAATCCTCTCTGCAGCACTAACGACGCCCATGGTAGCTTGCCAGTCACTGGCGTCCATCTGCTCTGGACAGTACATCTCTCGCCGCAAACGGTATGGGGAGGTGATCTGGGCAGGCTTCGGTCTTTGGACCCTGTAAGTGCTTACCTTATAGAGGAATCCTTTCAGATGATAGTCTAACAATATACGGTAACAGTGGTGCCGGCTTGATGCTTCTCTTTAATCGCCGTACCAGTATTGGAGCAATAGTCGTGATCGTTCTCGTACAGGGCATAGGTATAGGCTTCGTCTTCCAGCCTACACTAGTGGCATTCCAAGCGCACTGCACCAAAGCTCACCGGGCAGTTATAATATCGAACCGCAACTTCTTCCGCTGCCTGGGCGGTGCTTGTGGACTTGCTGTGTCGGCCGCGATACTACAGGCGGTTCTCAAGTCCAATCTGCCAGAGGGATACCAAAATATTGCTCACTCATCATACTCACTACCATCCAGGTCAGGCGTTGCGGACGCAGATTGGGAGCAAATCATCACTGCCTATGCGAAGGCCTCAAGGGGAGTTTTTATTTTGCAAGTCCCGCTGATCGGGATTTGCTTCCTTCTGTGTTTCTTCATCAAAGATAGAGGACTAGAAAGGCCCAAGGACCCTGGGGAGGAAGAGGAGGAAAAGAAGAAACAGAAGGATGACGATAGCCGTGGAGCCCAGGAGCTCACAGCCCAGGAAAAAAGTGTGCCCTCAGATCTTGAGAATCAGTCTGCATCTGCTAATAATGCGAACCGTGGGGGTTAGCCTGATGACCCCCGATATTGGTCGAGAAATGTTCATATTGTCTGGGATAGTTTGCATATACGGCGTTTAGGTGTGTTCATAGATCAACGTGCTTAGGGTTAGGTTCTGTATCGCAGCGTACAAAAGTGGGTTAGGGCATTGTTCGATTAATGGAATAATGAGAAATATCTATGATTTCCTCTGAGTAACCTCTGTCAATAGTATGTACTTCCTACATTTGTAGTTCAGTTACTTTGAATGTTGTGCTCTTATCGATAAGGACTCCACGTGTCTTGGCTTCCCCATATCCCGATTCTACTCCAAGTCTCCAACACCCATCTCCCCACATTGCTGGAATCTACTGGCGATCTATTGTTTGATGTGAACCATGACTTCACATAGATTTCCAAGTTATGGATTTAAATGAATTAACGGTGCCTTCTAGAGACTCGACTCCGTCCCAGGAATACAACCCTCGAAAGCGCGCCAGGACAGCATGTACGCGCTGCAAAACGAGGAAGCAGAAAGTTAGTCCCATCCTAATTTTGAGTGTGGGAAAATCGCGAGCGGAAATCCTGACAATTGTGTAGTGTGACAACGAGTACCCAATTTGCTCCAATTGCCAAAAGGCCGGGGCTGCATGTGACAAGGCCACCGTGCGACAGGAGAGCGGCCAACAAAATGCGTAAGCCTATCCACTTCAATAGCATTCTTTTGTCTCCAATTGCCCTAATGCAAAGTAGGTACACTCGTGCTCTAGAGGAGCGTATCGAGTATCTCGAGTCGCAACTTAAGTCGGGACGGACGAGCAGTAATGCTAGTGGTGGTGTCTCAAATCCAGTTGCGGCGTTCTTATCACCTAATAGCCAAGAAGCGGTCCAGCGTAGTTCTCCAACTGGCATCGAGCATAACGCGATCGGGGACCTGGTGGGATTTCTTGCACTGAATTCCTTAGAGGCTCCTGCGTATGTGGGGTCGAGTTCAGGAGTCTCTCTGGCAGCCAACCTGGGTGAAATGGTTCAGACAACGGTCTGGAACCAAGTCCTAGCGCCACAGCGAGGTTCCGAGAACGCTCAATCTGCTGGGAATAGTGTAACTACGAGGAATGCAAATTTGGGTCTTTCCTATCAACCAGCTAGTGCGAGACATGCCAGTGATCGGTCTCGAGCGCCGAGGATGGAGGAGCTACTGGCGAAGGGTGCTGAGCCACCGAATGACGAAATGGGATCGCGAATCATGAATGCTTATCTGACACGACTCCATACCCGGTATCCATTCCTAGATAGGAGAGAGCTATGGCGACTGCACGAAGCCCGCTGGCAGTTAGCGAAGAAAAAACGCGAGGAACTTTCTAAAGTTGAGAAATTTGGAATATTTCAACTATACATAGTCTACGCGATCGGAGCGACCTTTCTCCAACTAAGTGAGCGGTACTCATACATCCCTCCCGAGGTAAGTCGTACACTATGAGTTTTCGAAATATAGTCTAATTGGTGGAAGCGATTCTATATGACCGCCCTTCAGCAAGCTTCAGCTATGTGCGAGGCACGGTCCATTGAAAATATAAAAGCCATGACGCTTTTAGTTGTGTACCACCTTCGCTCGGCGTCTAGCCAGGGAGTGTGGTACATGATAGGGCTAGCTATGCGTACTGCTATTGACCTGGGGCTCCACAGGAAGGCGAATGAGGTCAATCTTGACCCATTTACAACCCAACTGCGGCGAAGACTATTCTGGACAGTTTACTACTTAGAGAGGGTTGTCTCCATGTCCCTGGGTCGGCCGTTCAGCATTGCAGATAGGAACATCGACCTCCCCTTGCCCTTAGACGTGGACGACGACGTACGGGACTCCGCTATTCTAACAGCACCTCCCCCGACAGATAGACCAACAACGATGACATTTGCCTTATACCTAATCAAGGTACGTCAGATTGACTCCAAAGTTCAGCATAAGATATATCGAGCAGACCGCCCACTCCACGCCCTTCGGTCAAAGATGGACCGTCTATTCCTCGAATTAGAGGAGTGGAAACAATCGGCACTGCTTCGATTTAGTGGGCCAGATCTCGACTATCCGATGCTACACTATAACCGGGCGCTACGACTTCTGATCCAGCCTTTTCTGCCATCGCTTCCTCTCACAGACCCGTATTATCATATCTGTCTCCGCGCGGCTGGCGATATCTGCCAGACTCATAAAAGATTACACCAGACGCTCGAATACGGCCACTCTTTCCTAGCAGTGCAGACCGTATTCATGGCAGGCATCACATTGTTGTACGCCCTATGGACGCACACTAGCGAGGTATGGTCCGTACAAATGAGCAACGACATCCGCGCCTGCTCCACGGTGCTATTCGTCATGGGCGAACGAGCAGCATGGGTCAAGAAATATCGGGACGCATTCGAGCTCCTCGTCAACGCAGCCATGGAGAAGCTTGAGGGAAGCGACGCAGCCAAGAAAGTTGGAATGGCCGAACTGATGACAGCCCAACATGGCAGTGCCAATCCCCGCAACACTGCTAGCATGTCCAAGGAGGATCCAACAACCGGTCCAGGCATGCCCGATGTCAACTCAGTACAGATGGATCCGACAGCGCAGGATCATGGAGTGCGCATGGCGTTCCAACTTGCCCCTTGGATTGATCTAGAGGAGGATTGCCCGTTCTGGATGCCTGATTTTGAGACTTTAGAGAGCTTATCCGGGAATCTCTGGGGTGGTGAGGATCCTGTACTGTTTGATCCTCTGTAATGTATGACCCAATATACCATAGAGAAAATTATAAAGATTATATAGTAAATTAATAAATGAATATCTCCTTTAACACTGTATTTCTGTAAGGGAAAACTGTTTGCTAAATTGAGTGAAACTATAGAAGAGCTGACTGACACAATACTATGCGTACTACAACAGAATATGGAAGATCATAGGATATCATACTCTTCAACATAAAACCCCTGTAACGTATTTTCTTTTCTTAACTGTTGTTCAAAGTGACTATTCTTCTACAGCAGATTCGCTATGCACATACCTACGAAATCAAGGACAAACTTTGATATCACCGTATAAATCCATTCTCGTACAAACTCAGCATGAACCAACAATGCAATAACAGAAACAAGAACGGGACAAATTGGCAGCATAGAATCACCGATATTAAGACTGTTGTGCAGGCAAGAATCTGTGACGTCTGGCGTTGACTAAAGGTCACGTCTAGATGACGTCGTCGCGATATGCATAGATCGAGAACAAATACATCATAGTTCTACATCCGGATAGATATAAATACTGTCTAAATCAACGCAGTGAAACAGTTCACCAAGACATATACAATCTATATTATCTAAATAACATATACAATTCTCTAACAAAAATGCTACAGCAAAAGAAACAACACACGGTAGCCGTCATCGGCTCCGGAAACTGGTACATACATACATACCCCCCAATATACAACCACAGCAACTCAATACTAACAACCCCAAAAAAAGGGGCTCAACAATCGCCAAGATCCTCGCCGAAAACACAGCCTCACACCCCGACCTCTTCACCCCGAAGGTCCAAATGTGGGTATTCGAAGAACAGATCCAGGTCCCGTCCGACTCCCCCCACCACGCTAGATACGGCGATGAGCCCCAGAACCTAACCGAGGTGATCAACGCCGTGCATGAGAACGTAAAATACCTACCGGGGATCAAGCTCCCAGAGAACGTGGTCGCGAACCCGGACCTCGAGGACGTGGTGAAAGACGCAACAATCCTGGTCTTCAATCTCCCGCATCAGTTTATTGAGAAGACGCTGGATCAGATCAAGGGGAAGCATTTGCCGTATGCGCGGGCGATATCGTGCGTGAAGGGCGTGGATGTGACGGATGGGGTGGTGACGTTGTTTTCGGAGTTGATTATGGAGAAGCTGGGGATTTATTGCGGGTCGTTGTCTGGGGCAAATATTGCGCCGGAGGTTGCGGCGGAGAAGTTCAGTGAGACAACTATAGGATATGATACGCCGCCGATGGATGTCAAGGCTGAGGATGGAAGTCCGGCGGACAATAAGATCAAGATTGATGAGCAGAGGCAGGTCAAGACGAGGCCGACGCATACGAAGCTAACGCGGGTGCCAGAGGAACTTGTGGCGGTTGATGCGGAGCTGTGGCGGATGTTGTTTGGGCGACCGTATTTCCATGTCAACGTGGTGGATGATGTCGCGGGTGTTGCGCTGAGCGGTGCCCTAAAGAATATCGTGGCGTTGGCGGCAGGTTTTGTTGCTGGGAAAGTATGGGGAGAGAATGGCAAGGCGGCAGTTATTCGGGTTGGAGTGGTGGAAATGGTGAAGTTTGGACGGACTTGGTTCCCACAGTCTGTCAACGAGAGGACGTTTACGGAGGAGAGTGCGGGCATTGCTGATCTGGTAGCATCTTGCTCTGCTGGAAGGAACTTCCGGTCTGCGAAGCATGCCGTGGAGAAAGGGGTGGGTGTAGACGAGATTGAAAAGACTGAGATGAACGGGCAGAAGTTGCAGGGAACGTCAACAGCGAAGTCCGTCCATGAATTCCTTGAGACGCATGGGAAAGTGCAGGGCTTCCCTTTGTTCGACGCTGTATATGGTGAGTTTCATCTATGATTCTGGGGGCTGTTTCTGCGAACTGTGGTTGCTAATATCTGGTCAGGCATTCTCGAAGGCAAAACCAGCGTAGACAGTTTGCCAAAGTTGCTGGACAAGAGATTCGCTTAGATTGATATTGAATCTGTAAAGCTAGAACGCTCGCATAAACTGTATATAAATAACCGGGCCCCGAAGGCCTTCCAATTGGCACTGATAAATAGTAAAAGGGCGAGATAAACCGGCCTTGCGCTGTTCAATAAATCCAGATCCATGGTATTAAGTGTATTCATATAAAAACATTACAAGAAGCACCGATGGTGCAATCAAACAGACGGTACCATGGTCTTCAACCCCTTTGCTATCCGTTGAATCTGCCCTCCGTAATATGCCTGCTCCGATTAGCAAGCCGTCTCTTGAATGTTAATAGGATGCCTTACAGTTTCTAGCCCAGCACCTATGATCTTCGTAGGAAGGAAACGAGTATAAAATGGAGCCGGAACCTTGTTCAGGAGCAACTGCGCCTTCTCATCTGGAACACTCTCATCGAGGAGCAACTGAGGGAACTTGGCATCAATAGCTGCCGGGCGGCCGATTCCAATTAGATCGCATGCGTTCTGCTTGATGGCGTATTCAGCACCTGTACGGCTTCGAAAACCGCCTGTCAGCATAAAGACAAGATCGGGGTACCGCTTGCGGGCCTCGGTTGCAAATTCGATGAAGAAGGCCTCGCGGGCTGCTGTGCGGGCGCTCTTCTGCGGCTGTGTGCCTCCCATCATCTGTATGCGATGAGCCTGTGTGATAGACAGATGGATAATGGGGCGAGTGCGCCTACGCTGGGATCTTCATAACTTCCACCACTGACTTCGAGGAAGTCAATCCCGGCCTCTACCAGTAATCCGATTTGAGTCATGGTTTCTTCAAAGGTTGATGAGTTGTGGTCTGCAGAGTTAAGTTTGATGCCCACACAGAACTTCGATGGAACGGCTTTTCGAATTTCGGTAATGATATCCAGGACAAATTTTGCTCTTTTCTCCAGTGTGCCGCCGTACGCGTCTGTTCGAAGATTTGTCTGTAGCCAAGGTGTTAAGTAGCGCTTTGGTAGTTACCTGAGCCGGGTCGTTACCTTGGGGTTCAAGAATTGATCTGCGTTATTAGCAACCCATCCTTGCGATATTCACCGGCTCAGAGAGACATACCAATTAAATATCCATGGGCACCATGCAGCTCAATGCCGGAAAATCCACTATCGGCCATTAACCGAGCTGTATCAACAAACTTCCTCGTCACAGTGTCAATATCCGCCTGTGTCATCTCTCTCGGTGCGGGGAATGTGATCCTGCTAACAAACCAATCCAACCAGCCATCCCCAATCTGCACCGGAATCGCACTCGGCGCTATAGTCGGCGCAAAGAGACCACGGTTGCCTGCGCCGCGGAATGACTGCCGACCGGGATGACTGATCTGCACGATGGCAGGGGTTCCATGCTGTTGACATGCCTGAGCATATTTGGCCCAGGTCGCAACGAGGGCTTCGTTACCCTCTCTGCCGGTATATTCACCGTGCAGAGCAGGGTCGAAGGGACTTCCGAGGTGGTCTATGTCAACCTGGACGTTTCCTGACCGATCGCATTAACACGTTGATATGGTAGGTTACACAACAAGCTATTGAACGCTTTACCTGTGAGCAGAGCGCCCCACCCTCCTTGACCCCATTGATTGTAGACATCAAGCAATGACGGCGTCGGATTATGCTCCCATCCCGCCAACATCTCGGCCATTGCAGCCTGGCAGCACTGTTAGAAAAAATAGTTTTGCGCTTCAGGTAGGTCTTTACCTTGACAAAGCGATTGGGAAACACCAGACCGCAAGGTAGTTTGACGGCGTCGCCTAGAGGGGACGGCATTTTGGTAGTATATACTCCGTAAAGCGAAATGATTTGGTTGGGCCAATGTGACCCGGTGCCAGAGGACATTCAGGATTGATATACTTTCCCGCAGATCGGATATGCACAACCGAGGCAGATAGTTTCCACTTTTCTCATGGTGATGGGCGGAGCAAATGCAAGCCGAACGGATAACATGGGTCGTCGTGAGTAGCTTCACTAACTATATTGATTAGTGATAATTCTTAATAATGGTACGGAGAGGAGTACTAATTGGGTGATGCCCCTTTAGCAATCATAAACGAATCTTAGTAATAGTAATATATGGAATGACACTACGGAGTAGTGTATAGAAAAGAATCGAACCGAGATGAAATAACCTGGCTCGCGCATGGCATGCTGACAACTGACATGTATACCTTTGCTGCTATCGTCATAAGCTCTTGTTGCCTGGGGAAGAAAAGTCATGCCCCCAGTCCGGTATCTTCAGGTTTACCAGATGTGGAAAAGCCACGTGGAGCGGGGATCATATAGCCAATGGTGTTGTTAAACCAACCCTGACAGATTTACATATAGGGGTTTTGTTTTTTTTTTTTTTCTTTTTTTTCTACGTATTTTTTTCCCACATGTTTCTTCCAAATGTCCACTGTGGCACTGTTAGGGACTATTCAAAGTCCATCCCAAATCCCAATCCGACATCCATTGCGAAAGATTAGATCCGCACAACCTTAATCTTAGCTCCGCCGCCGAGGAGATTCAAATCCAAACCTCCGCACCTTCCCCTCACTTCACATGTCCATGAGGGGAAATGCTTGCGAGGGTCCAGGTGGAGAGGCTCAAAGCCCCAGACAGATACCCCTGCCTCTACCAATCTACTGCAAGGGTTGGAACACGAATCACGAAAAACAAGTCCAATGTTATCAATTGTTATTCAATTTGCCCGAAATACCACAATCATGGACCATTCTAAAACGAACCGAACAAATACCCAAGTCCAAAAATGTGTGACAAATCGCAATTAGGGATGAACGGGGTATACATGAACAAGTGCATCCTTCTAGCCAACGGCTGTGAGGCATGAACAAAAAAGCGCTTCAAATCAAATCAAACCAGCCTGGATAGTCCCAGGATTTTAGTGAAGAAAGATTGCTCGAAGTGGGAATGCTACGGAGTCGAGCATGGAGAAAAGGGGGGGGAAAGGATATGAGGGAAGGAAGAACAAACAGAATGCGAGCGTTTACAGCTTGGCATTCTCATCACTCGACAGCCCGTTCAAGACCGAGGATGGGTTCAGGTTGTGCAGGAGGGCACCAACTTCCCTCTCCAAGGCCAGGACTTCGCTGTGAGCGTCATACATGCGGGCCTTGATCCAGGCATCAAGCGCGTCATCGTTCATGGAGCGCAAGGCAGTCTCACGATCAACCTTGTCTTCCTGTGCGGCACGCATGACCTTGCGCGTCACCACAACACTGACCTGGCGGATCCGGGTCAGGTCGGGATAGAGGAGACCGCGCTCGATCTCCTCCGCAGTCAGGGCCTGCGAGAGGGCCGCACCAGAGGCATAGATCATGCTGTCGGTGATCTTGACCGCCTTGGAGAGGATAGTACCCAGGCCGATACCAGGGAAGACATACATGTTGTTGCCTTGGCCGGGATAGTAGGTGCGAGTCTCTCCAGCAGAGTTGGTGAATGAGACGGGCTGGAAGGGGGAGCCAGAGGCAAAGAGAGCCCGACCATCAGTGTGAGTGATAGCGGTCTCGAAGTCACACTCGGACTTGGAGGAGGGGTTGGAGAGAGGGAAAATGATAGGAGCGGTGTTCCAGTCAGCCATCTTGCGCAGGATCTCTGGAGTGAAGACGCCACCAATGGTTGACAAACCCATGAGAATGGTTGGCTTCACATGGTCGACAACCTCCTCCAGGGTCTTGTACTGTTGGCCGCCATTGTCCTCCCGGGCGAAGTAGACCTTGTGGTCGGCGAGCTTGTCACCACGGTCAGAGGTGACGAGACCCTTGGTGTCGACCAGGTAGAAGCAGGACCGAGCCTCATCCTCAGTCATGCCCTCACGCATAAAGAAAGCAACAATCTGTTTAGCAACGCCGACACCGGCACTTCCCGCACCGAAGAAGACAGCACGGTGATCCTTGCAAGGAAGACCCGAGCGCTTCACGGCGTTGATGACTCCACCCAGGATGACGGCACCCGTGCCCTGGATATCATCGTTGAAGCACGTGTAAATATCGCGGTAGCGCTCCAGGGCAGGGAAGGGGTTCTTGAAGTCTTCGAACTGAATGACAATGCTGCAGGGCGTAAGCCGTTCCGTTAGCGCCCGTAATATCGGAAGATGTTGGGTCGATCAGGTGAGTCACTACTTACCCAGGCCAACGCTCCGTAAGAGCAGCCATCAACTCATCCATAAACTCCCGCTCCTCTTCCGGGGTAATCTTGTCACGGCGGCTACCCATGTACAACGGGTCTTCCCGGAGAGTCTTGTTGCTTGTTCCCAGATCCAAAGTCAAAGGAAGGGTGGCCTCGGGGCGAATACCTGCACATGCAGTGTAGAGCGCCAACTTGCCAATGGGAATACCCATTCCATTGATGCCAAGGTCGCCGAGGCCGAGAATTCGGGAGCCATCGGTGATGCATGTGATCTCCACATGGGGTTGGGGCCAATTGGCAATGACTGCAGCAAGATTGCCGCGATCTTCCCAGCTTAGGTACATACCTGGTAAAACATCGTTAGCGGCCGGGTTTGATTCGTCGTGGCTGGGCTAGACAAGGTTCTGAAACTCACCTTCCGGTTGCTGGTAGATCTCGGACCATCTCTGGCAAGCTTCACCGACGACCGGGGTATAGATCAGAGGGGTAAGTTCCTACTGGATGTCAGATTTGTGATCTACGAAAATATAGCTTGCCAACATGGCTTTCACGATGCAGCTTGTTTTCGTCCCCACTTTCTGCACATACCCTCAGATGATCCGTCACCAGACGGTAGAACAGATGCACATTGTTCTTGCGAAGAGTGCTCAGGTAGAGAAACTTGTCAATGGGGGTTTGCTTCAAGGCCAATTGTGCCAGACCTGTAGCACAATTAGCTTCTCTCATTCCCGTGAGCATCCGGCGCCCTAGTATACATACATCTTGTCTTCTGAACCTCGTAGGATTCTGCGCGCGGGGGAGTCAGACCGTACGTACGGAGGTACTTGCGGATGTAAGGAGGGTTCGCAGTATCATAGTTGGCCTCTCTGTAGGGTCAAAAAGGTCGTCGTCAGCGAGCATTTCTTTCATACAAGTGCTTGTTCCACCAGCCGGGGGGCGCCGTTGGGGTATAGATAGAAGGCACTTACACTGGAGCGGCATGATTCACATACGACGTCGAGGTCGCATGGACCTGACGGCCTTGCTGTGAAGGGAGACGAGCCATTGGGGCAAGCTGAGTCACACTACTATTGGGGCGAGTACCTGCAACGGAAAATGATAGTGAAGAAGACGAGGAGGAGACAGAGGAAATGGTTGCACGAGATGACAGAATGATAGGAAGCAGTCTGTTTTTATGTATGCGCGCTAACATTGAACCCCTCTGAGGAGTAATCCACAACATTCCGGTGGTCATAACACAGAACACCCGTTGTGATCTCCAGGGAGGTCGTCGCGAGGTCTAAGAACCAGGGCCGTGGAGTGATTAGACGAAGGCTCAGACTCATCAATCGGGAAGACTCGGGATCCAAAGGGCCAGTCAGGGAGGTCGGGATCGCGACGGTGGATATCGGGGAGGACGTTTAATGGTTGCATACTTTTAGTCCGAGTCTCACCAGTGGGAATAGGATACGAAGCTTTTTGGGAAATTTGGGGACGAATTGGGATGGGTGTGGAGAACGGGAAGAGTCTCCGAACCCGACAAATGCGGAGAAACAGAAATTCAAAAAGACGAAGCGAGCGATGCGAAGTGGCAGACAGGGCTGAAAGCGAATGAGAAGGAGGTAAACTGCAAAAGGAGTTGGCCATGGATTGCGGCTTTTTTGGTCCAGGACGATAACTACCGTGTAGTACGGAGTACAGGTCGGGACGCAGGTATCAAAAAAGGTGATCATCTAAGTATAAAATTTCACGTTTGCAAATTCCGATATATCGACTAGTGCGGAGACACATTAGTAGTGGGTTTCCAATAAGTAGAGTAATACATATCCTATTTTTTTTGTCACTTTTTTTTTCTTTTTTTGTTGAGATTTGCACCCGACCCCTTGATTATGGCCTTTTACTGGACGTACGCAAATATGAATTGCGGTGTTTTTTTTTTTTTTTTTTTTTTTTTTTTTTTTTTTTTTTTTTTTTTTTTTTTTTTTTTTTTTTTTTTTTCTCTTCCTTTTCCTCTCGTTTTTTTATTCCAATTCAACTATAGCTCCGAAGTACCCCCATCCATGCATACAATGAAAACTGCCTACGCGGTGTACACCTAGACTCAGATAGGCAAAAGTATACTGTTACCTAGTCCTATTCTATTCTCTCTTTTCTCTTAACTCCGGAATCCGATTACGAGTTCCCCCTTGAATGGTAGTAGTTCCGTGTAATACTGTGTACCCACGATGATCGTTATACTCCGTCGGACCTTCCTTTCCCCTGAAAAGTGGTGTAATATTAATCCTCTCGAGCCATCAGGGTAGAGGATCCCGTAAGCAACGGCTTGTATCCGATATGGCATCCCGATATTTTTCATCCTGTGGAGCTGAACCAAATAACGACCACACGACCCTTCAGACTTCTGTGGACAAAAAAGTGGATCGAGTCTCATGTGGCAGAAATTAGCCTAATGTACAGACGCACTAACTAACCTGGTCGTGGAGCTCCAAGCTAGGTTCCAATCCCAGTAAGTCTAACTGCGAGAGGAAGGATTCTGGACGGAAGCTACTGATCGATACTCATGGTTCTCGACACTCTTCAGCACTTTTAGTGTCTTTTTTTAGGCTCCCCGCAGCGAAAACGCGGCCCGGAGACTGGCCGAGTTCGGGTTCTTTAGTCAGTGGCGGGTTTCTGATTACCTCACCTCGCACCTAACCTCTAGAGGTTAAGGTATCTTCTTACTCATAGCAACCGTTGTCATTACTATTGCTGCATCGGGAAATACGATAATCATTCAAAATTGGAGATTATACTCTGTGGCTGTCAATGTCTTAATGACGCATAGACTTTGCGTATGTATGTATCTTCCCCCCTACATACATACAGACCAACAAATACCATGCATATTGTATGAGTACGTGTCGGTACACGTTTACCTGAGCCATCAGAATGCGTGATTTTTTTTTTTTCGCCTCCTCCTTCCTATTCTTTAGCGTGGGCATGTTCTTTTCGTCTCAACCCTTTCGAGTCTTGACCTCTCCAACTTCAAAATTGTCACCCCCAAAATCCTTGTTTCGCTGCCCAATAGTAAGACTTTGAAACAGCAAGGCTCCGCCGATCGGGTCCGGCCGATGGAGACATCGGATGGAGCCCATTTCCTAGCTTGCGTACTAGTCACCCTAGCCTTCCGAGCTTCAAAACTGTGACACAGTTCTAATGAGAAACATTAGGCGCTAACGCCAAGCTTCAAAATTGCATTGATAATACATAGTCGGCGTAGTCCAGATCTACCGAGTCATTTATGCACAATTCCTCCGGATGTTCCAAAGTGACTCCTCGCTTCCCAGTCTTTTACGAGAGATTAATGGCCACATCTTCAATCCAGAATGATACATACCGTTACCCACCCAGCCAGTTTCCCCGGATTCAAGTCGCATTGATCTAAAGCTTCGGCGGTGCCGATCCTTTCTTCTTTTAATTCGCATACATCTGGTCACTCGGCCGAACAGTATGTTTTATACAGTGTAGTATAGGGACTGGGATTGAAGATACACAGTACTCAGTATACTGTTGGGATTTCCGCAACTTTGATCCCTGCAGAGTCTTTGTCTTTTCGGAAGCGTCGCTGGAATTGATGAGAAGCATTCTTGAATTATCGTGCATTTCCGACTTTGTCCATACCCCAGCACCATCAATGCGTTGGGATGTGTGACGTTGAGACGGTGTTCGGGTTTCTCGATCGATCTAACGGAACTTAATTTCCGTGGTTATAGAAAGTTGCTTGTGTAGTATTCAGCTGAGTTACCTGTGTCGGAAAATGTTCTGACATATTTTTGGATTATATTCTGTCTAGTTTCCTGGTACGATAACACATCGCCTATCCGGTTAGAGTTAGAATTGGTTAATATCTCGATTGAGGGTCAGCGATCCTTGTACGAGATGGAGCCCTCCCCAGGCCTTCCATCTCGTACTCAAATGAAGATTGAAAATTACTAGTACCATTATTGATTTAGTATACTGGAGTCCATTCTTAAAAGATACCCTTATTTTTCCCATTCATTTTATTTTTAGTGTTTCTACTCAGTCTCAACCCCTGACCGATGTGCAGTCATACGGTCATCAACTTGTTAACTGACAATAAACATATGGTATACTCGAATCTCGGTAAATAATAAAATAAATAAATAAAATATTCACCGGTCATCATTTGAGGACAGGACTTAACTGAAGTATATACTGGTGTCCCTGAACAGGTTGTTCGATCACGCAACTGAAGTAGAACTAAAATACACTCGATCATGGAATGGAGATCCTGTCGGTACTCTATTGCAAAGAAGAAACATCAGGTGAGGCTCAAGGCGACTATGTCGATCTAGTGTTTCCGGTGTGGTAGAATGGGTCCATCCATATGGGTGTCAAGCTTTTTTTAGGATAGTTTGACATCGATCAGGAGACGTCATGCCTATTAATAGAGATCTATATTATCATCCTATGTTGAATTGAGAATAGGGGACTTATGTTTTGTTTCATATTGGGATTCTATGCCCCGACAATGGCTCCACGCAGTTGCCCGCCCTAGAATTGGTTGACAGATAAGAACCACAGCACGTGTGTGCTTTGTATATTTTATTCTGATGTCTGCATAAAGTATAGAGATGTATGGATGTTGCTGACCAAAGGTCTGTCAAACAGACCCTAACTAATTGTTGGGAAATGATCTTATGGAAAGAATAAACCAATTGTTAATAAACTATAGGCAGTTTAGAAGCACCAGTACTTGATTCTCTTGCTATGAGATCATACCGATTGATAAGTAGTACATACATATCGAAGGCAGATCACCTGATTGGCTAAAGCGGCGGGGGAACAGTGACGCAAGAGTGAAGCTGTTAAGCGCGGCAACCATGTAGGGAGGAGCTCATCTCACCCTATCATGCAACCCATCCCTTCCTTGACCTCAGCTCCTTCTGGGGAAGGTTGAGTTAATTGAGTCATTGATTCTCTCGCGGAACAATTCGGGTAGTCTACGGTGTACATACTGGGACTTGATAGTCCTTCGGTCAATCAAGAGAGATACTACCGTGGTCGACGGCTGCCTATCTACCATGTCGCAAGAGACCGAACCCCTCCTTCCTCGCTATGAGGAGGACACGACCCTCCAGCGGCGGTTGCATCAAAAATTGCACTCGTTTCAGATGCTGCGTGCCCTCTCGGAGGGTTACTTGCCATCTACCGACCAGGTCATTATTAATCTCCGTACCTTGTTGGCCTCCGATATCCTGAATCCTCGTACCCAGGATATCGGCTCTGTCGGTCGCCAGCTTATCCGAGACTGTCGTATCTGGATACAAGTCTTCATCGAACTATTGCGCGACAAAAACAGTGATGATAAGCTTCAGGAATTCTTGTGGCATCTGTCCCGATCTAGGGTATCTCTTGATCGTGGCCAGGTCGCACAGCATGCCTCTCATGTGAAGGCTAGACAAGATACCAAAGCCGGTAAAATCACACGTATACTTGATGTAAATGTAGTAGACTGATGTTGGAATAGCGTATGATAGTCTTCGCACTGTGGGAAGCCTTCTTCTGACCAATGCCGACTTTCGTCTCTTTGTTGATGATTTAACCACCGTTGGCCGCCAGATTTTCTCTGACACGGCATATTTCCTGTCAGATACTTCGAAACAAGTTGGGGAACAGATCAAACCATCACAAGAAGAGGTTGACGTGGTGCAGGGCGCAGGTGCAGATGATGGTCAGGCCCCATCAAGCGAGGAACTACGCCAGGAGGTAGCTCAAGTCGTGGAGGCGGCCGGCAATGGAGCAGCCCGCACTGGACAGGAGGCAATCAAGAGTGCCAAAGAACATCTCAGGGCACAGGAAAAGGATACGTTGATCTACCGGTTGAAGCAAGCCGTCCTGAAACTGCGAGAGCGATCGGACTATTCGGACTCGGTAGCCACCCTTGCTACACTGGTGCAGCGTTACGCGAAAACCTACGCCAATGCGGCCTCAGATATAATCACAACGACTGAAGAGGAGGTCGAGGTGAATGAAGATCTAAAGCAAGCGATGCAGCAGTTCTGGGCTTTGGTTCAGTCGCTGGGCGATGCCGAGCAATGGAAGGCCCTAGAACAAAGATTCCAGAAAGTGCTGCAGCACGCTCATAGAGACCCAGAATTTGAAAGGCTGATGGGAGAGTTAGGGTCTTCGGTGCAGCAGATGCTGACCGATCCCAGTTTCTTTGACTCTGCTTCGGAAAAACTCAGTGAACTCGAGGAGAAATCCAAGAAAGTCGTCACCGAGTCCAATTTGCGGCAGGACGTAGATGCTTTTCTAGAACAGGCAAAACGAGCTTTGCGTACAGTCCCTGAAGATGCCGCAGTGACCAAACTGCTAGATGCTACCAACAAGCTATACAAAGATGCATGGGACGGCTACTATGAAAGAAAAAGCGAGTTGCCCTCAGACATCCTTGAGGTCTTTTTTCCTGTTCTTCTTCGAACCATACAACATATTCCAATCCCCCGTCTGGAGGTGATGGCGCCTGAGCTTGACCTTTTATTGGAGAACTTCATCCTGGAACCAGGCCACACTGTTAACTATTCATCATTTCTCCCATATCGTCTGCATCTCACCACACGGAATGACATCGACGTCTTAAAGAGGCATTCAAAGAGAACTACGGCCGACCTCAAGACCACGTTTACTGCCACAGTCATGGGACTCAATGTCAGTGCTTCAGAATTTGGATATTGGCTCCGCACCCACTCTGGCCTGTTTCGTTTCCATGATGAGGGTATTGCCAGTTTTTACCTGGATAAGCGGGGCATTGATATCTCCTTGGATATAGAAGTGGGTCGGGAGCGCCTGGAACAGATCTTTACACTTCGCGGCGTGCGGGTGGTAATTCACAAGCTCGATTACAAGGTGCATCGCAGCAAGTGGAAGTACCTTCTATGGTTGACTAAGCCCTTCCTGAAGCATATGCTTCGTCGAGTCTTGGAGAAGAAGATCGCAGAACGAATCGTTGCCGCCGCTTTTGCACTGAACCGAGAACTCGTGTTTGCACGGGAGCGTTTGCGAGCTGCACGTATTGCCAATCCCCAAGATCTGGCGACCTTTGTGCGGGCGGTGCTGGCACGATTGCAACCAGTCTCAGACGTTGAGACTCGTATCGGCTTTGATGCACCTGGAAAAGGTGTCTTTAAGGGAGTCTATGCCCCTGGAAGTCTTACGAAAGTTTGGCATGAGGAGGCCCTGAGAGCTCAAGAGGCCATTGAAGAAGGCGATGAGAGCTATGGTCTGAGAAGAACATGGCGAAACGACATATTTAACGTTCCGACACGTAGCTCATGATTGACGGATGCGTCGCTTTTTGCTTTTTGCTCGGGGTTTCTTTCCATCCACTGACATATCTCACACTTATTTCACACATTCCCTAGCGAGTTTTCTGCTTTACCAAGTCTATGTATGCGCTGGGCCGTCCTGTTACTTACTATATGCGATATATGTGTAATGATCGCCATTGACAGCAGCCGCTCATTTACTGCCAGCATGCCTCAGCTGTCTACATATTACGGTCCTTAATGAACTGCACAATTTTATTACGTAGCAGACATCACCGAATGAACAAATTTGCTGTATAGTGCTGCCTAGCTGCTGCTTCCAATAAAAAAGATGACAATTGTATAACCACACGTGATCCGGCCCGGTTGAACCATTCGCCGTGTTGCGGCCACCTAATCGACAAAGTTATGGTTTATTTGGTTGACAACGGATGGACATCTATTTAGTTCAGGACAGCAACAAAGATCCAATTCCACCACACGCTTTATGAGGTCTTTGTTGATCTCAAGGCAAAATCTACGTGTACTTTATGGAGTGTATGACTGTGCTTCCATAGTTCAAAAAGCAAGAAATTAGCGAAATAACCACTTTTCTTTCTCTCGCCTCTTATCTACTTGGAGATACCCGCACATCGACAAGACTCGTGCACCCCCGATTGCAACGATAGCGCCGCTAACTAATTATCACCAGACGCACACGAGCTGCGCGGAAGCAGCTCGTAGAAGATGCTATCCACAATGCGCCTAACTTGCGTTTTCCTCGCCATTGCACTATGCTTGGTGCAGCTGGTGCTGGCGGCAGAAGACTATTACAAGACTCTAGGTTTAGACAAATCAGCTTCAGAAAGGGATATTAAAAGGGCATATCGAACATTGAGCAAGAAATACCATCCTGATAAGAACCCGTACGTCTATAACTTACCTCGGAAGTACTAGCACTCTAACGGCCGTTATGCAGAGGCGACGAGAACGCACGCGAGAAATTTGTCGAAATCGCAGAGGCATATGACGTGCTTTCTACATCCTCCACGCGCAAGATTTACGATCAGTATGGACACGAAGGAGTGGAACAACATCGACAGGGAGGCAATGCGGGACGACAGGCGCACGATCCCTTCGACTTGTTTTCGCGATTCTTCGGCGGCGGTGGACACTTCGGCCATGCGCCGGGGCACCGGAGGGGACCAGACATGGAGTATAAGATTGGGTTGCCGCTGCGCGATTTCTATAATGGCAGGGAGGTCACGATTATGTTAGAGAAACAGCAGATCTGCGATGCGTGCGAGGGTACGGGATCGGCAGATCGTGAGGTTATCACCTGTGATCGGTGCGCGGGACATGGAAGGGTCATTCAGAAGCATATGCTAGCACCCGGAATGTTTCAGCAAGTGCAGATGACCTGTGATAAGTGTGGTGGGCAAGGGAAGGTGATCAAGAAGCCCTGTCACGTATGTCATGGACATCGGGTCGTTCGCAGAGAGGTGGAAACAGCGTTCACTGTAGAACCTGGAATGGGGAAGGGGTCACGGATTGTATTCGAAAATGAGGCCGACGAGAGTCCCGACTATATTGCTGGCGACCTCGTGCTGATTTTGGATGAGCGGGAACCCGAGGCCAGCGATTACCAGTGGCAGACAGACGGTACCTTCTTCCGAAGGAAGGGTAAGGACTTATTCTGGAGGGAAGCGCTATCACTGCGGGAGGCATGGATGGGCGAGTGGACCCGCAATATCACTCATTTGGATGGTCATGTCGTCCGGCTTGGACGCAAACGCGGTGAAGTCGTGCAGCCCTTGTCTGTGGAAACTGTTAAGGGTGAGGGCATGCCATTTTACTCAGACGGTCATCTCCATGAAAGCCACGACCAAGATGAGGAACCGGGCAACCTGTATGTGGAGTACAGTGTGATCCTTCCTGACCAGATGGAGAGCGGAATGGAAAAGGAGTTCTTTGCGCTGTGGGAGAAGTGGCGCAAAAAGAACGGGGTCAGCCTGGACAAGGACATTGGTCGGCCTGAGCCATCAGTGAAGGATGAGTTATGATATATTAATTAAATGCACTGCATCAAGCTGTTTGGATGATCTACATGAGTCCGTGGCTTTGTATATTACTTCATACTCCATTAGATTAGACATCGATCTGCAATGATTAAAAGCAGCCAAACGCTGCACCAGCTGAAGATTGGCGATCTCTTGCAGATTGTGTCGCATATACAAGAAAAAAAAAAAAAAAAAAAAAAAAAAAAAAAAAAAAAAAAAAAAAAAAAAAAAAAAGAAATTTCAATCGTTTGATCATTGTACAGCGGAGTGTGTCTGTGAGTTCCTGAGAGATAGAAACCTATGCCGGATAATTGATTAGGGTACAGATAAATGCGTCCTTGGCTGAGTTCCACGTGAGTTGTGGATCAATTTGCCCATTCTTCATGTGTCTAATACACATAAACGGCCAGGTCTGGGTATATTCTGCACATTATTCACTTTTCCTCTTCCTAGAAGAAAAGCTTTGCATTGGAAGCATATATTCTCATTTGGAATCGCCAGTCGCCCACCTTTCGAATTGCTGGTGGGAAATACAAGGTAATTGTCCACCCATGACACCAAGCTCTCCTATAGAGCAACATGAAGAGGAAGATGTGCTCGGATACAGCTCTTCAGACTCCCCAGGACCCGATGAACATGACTTATTCACAGAGGTTATGGAACATATACAACTGGATCGTCTCGCCAAATACGCCACCACAATCCGACAAAGCACCCAACACAGCAACCCACAAAGTTCCAGGGCAATTGAAATAAAGCCGCCAATATTCGGCTCCTACCATGTGCTCTTTCCGGTGAGATTCCACGATGGCACTCTTTGGCTACTCAAGGTCCCTGCAAATGGGACCCGGGAGAGATTCCGAGCCTCCGATGCTAGAGCCATACGCTCAGAAGCACTGACGATGCGCTTCCTGCGTCGTGAAACTACCATCCCAGTCCCAGATGTTCATGCCTTTAGCGACACATGCGACAATGAGCTCCATTGCCCATTCATTCTGATTGACCATGTTGAGGGAGTCTCTCTGTACAAAGTCTGGTTCGATAACGCTTCGCCCAAAGAAATTGTACAGGCACGACGGACTCGATGCTTGCGTGACCTCGCGGCTGCTATGGCTCAGCTGGGCAGATTCTCCTCCCACACAGGGGGGTCAATAGCTTTCGATGACCAGGGGTTCCCATCAGGCATCGGTCCCTTACGACTAATAGATACCGCAACGATGCGGGAGCGGTTAAGAGCTGGCGACCCCGACCAATCGACAGTCTACTTGGAGACGGGGCCCTTCTCCAAAGCAAAAGACTACTACACAGCGCTGCTGGACTGTCGAACAGAGCCAGACACGACTTTCGAAAGGGGTGTGCTTGGACTTCTCCGATTGTTCATCGACTGGATTCCGGAGCCAAGTGATGAGCAGGGCGCGTTCGTTCTGGCCCATCCTGATCTTGATGTTCAGAACGTGCTGGTTTCCCGAGACGGGGCATTACAGGCCATCATAGACTGGGACGGGGTGGGGGTTGTCCCACGAAGTGTAGGGAACGAACGTTTCCCGAGCTGGTTGATACGAGACTGGGATCCGGCGATATATTGCTGGACCGAAGAGATAGAGCGGCGTGCTGAGCCTCTGGGTCTTTGGGAGGATTCGCCCGATACGCTGAGATTCTATAGATCTGTATATACTGGATTCATTCAGTCTCACTTGTTGTATGATGATCCGGAGTGTGCTAACCTAACTACAAGATCTCTCATCCTCAGGAATCTACTAAACGCTGCGAATGATCCGTATGGTACAGTGGATGTCGTGCAGAAAGTCTTCAATACAGTGGTTAGCCTTGCCCAGGAGGGTGTGTCGACTCGGCCAGATGCGTCTAGTAACGGCAAAGGTTGTCAAGAGGAAGAAATAAAGAATATGGAGAGTGGACTTGAGGACTTCGACTTTTATCATGTTTCATGCGCACTGGCCGAGAAAAGATTGAGTGAGCATCATAGAAGATACTTGAAGCTCGGATTTGACATTCTTTTATCACGAAGTAATACAATATAGTTGGAATATACCATAGATATAGTCATTGCTTCTCTTTTGGAGCTCTATCCCACCCCGTAGTCCATAAGCATATTCATTGCTACAAACCCTAGGATAATCGCCAGCGCTATACTAGTAAGTAGAGAAATGAGTAGACCACACTACCGTCAAGCTATTACCACCGAAAAACAAGATATATCATGGTTTCATATGCATCCATCCATGATCCTGAATATATCATACAATTACCTATTCAGGAATAGCACAATCCATACTTCATGCCTCAGGCAGAATGCCCCAAAAAGCGGTACGCCCCCAAAACCAGCAGAATCGCACACCGCCATCCAATTTTTTCCGCAATCAACCAATACAACCACCGCAACAAGAAACCCCAAATACAGAGGGGAAAAAAAAAAAGAAAGAACACCGTCAAAATGGTCCGTCAGCTAAAGTATCACGAAAAGAAGTAAGTCGATCTGCGTGCAGCTTCCCCGATTTCGCAAACCCCAGGGCGCACATGTATATCCCGGATCCAGCTTGGAAGATACACAGAACCCTATCTTCAAGTTGATCAACAGCTCGACTGGGATGTCATTTTTCTTCTGCGTTTACTCTACGAGAATCGAAATGAAGGTTTACTATGAAATGGAAATTGACAAATTTGTTAAAACAGACTCCTCCGGAAGGTCGACTTCTACAACTACAAATCCGATGGCGGCCATCGCGAACACGAAGTCCGTCAGCGGTATTACCTCCAGAATGACCTCGACTATAAGAAGTATGTTCCTCATCACCTATCTAGCCTCGTATAAGTTTCATATGGATATAGAAACCTAACATAAATACTCAAAGATACAATGCCCTCTGCGGCTCCCTCCGTCAACTAGCGCATAAGCTCTCGCAGCTCGATCCGGATAGCGATCCGACTCGGAAGAAGGTCGAAAGCGAAGTCCTGGATAAACTCTGGCGCATGGGGATTCTGAAACAGAGCCGGGAACAAGGGGCTGGGCTGTCGAGGGTTGAGCGTGAGGTGACGGTTTCTGCGTTCTGTAGACGTCGGTTGGCGGTTATTATGGCGCGGACTGGGATGGTGGAGAATGTTAAGACGGTTTGTTTCCCCCTTCTTTCTTCTTGTTTTGTGGCTCTGGTTGGGGCGATTTGTATTTGTGCCAGGGCTAATCTGTTTCAGGCTGTTACTTTCATCGAGCAGGGACATGTGCGTGTTGGAAGTGAGGTCGTGACTGATCCCGCTTACCTGGTGACGAGGAACATGGAAGATTTCGTCACTTGGGTGGATAACAGCAAGATCAAGAGGAACATCATGCAGTATCGCGACAAGTTGGACGATTTCGATATGCTGTGATGGATGGGAGTGGATTGTTAGACAAAGTGGGTGTGTGCTTCTGGTCGATACCCTTCACTATGATTTATATTATCTACATGATCTGCATGGCGTTACAAGGTGGCGATCTTGGAAAAAAAAATATCTCTCATTTCTTATATCAAGGCAATCTGATTAATTTTGATGCAAATAGATATGAATTCGGTCCAGTCTATGGCTTGTTGGGTATCACAATTTCAAATCTCCCGCCCATGCAAGGGAATAATCAACGACAGTCTCAAGTCTCACGAGAAATCTGTGACACGTGTTCAACACACCTCACTCTGTGAGAGCGTCACAACTCAGAACTTTGGAAAGCTCCAGGCTTTTCTTTTTTTTTCTAAAGAATGTTACACAGCCAGTGGCTGTCATTGTCGAAATGAGAACGGTAAAGAACCAGCGTGGCATCATGACTCGGTTATTCGCTTTGTCGACGACTGCTCATTTTAGTCGTCACCAACTTTTGTTTCAGCTTCAGTGCCCGAATGGCATTCATTTTACGTTCCGGGACAGGCTCGTCGGGGAGGTCCATTCGAAACCGTCGGACACTACCCTCGTAGTTTCCTTTGCCGTCTTTTTCTTCAAAGAACGGCGTGCGGTCATGTCCGAACTGGCACCACTTGGGGGCAACCCGGCGCCAGAAGCCCCTTACCCCACTACTGGCACGGTCGATCTTTTTGTATTCGCGCCTCCGCGTGGACGGGGACGTCCAGTCAATGACAGTGACCGAGGCCTGGATCGAAGGGATATAACTTTCGTCATGGATGGTGTTGGTGATGGGTGAGGTGTGGAGCAAGGGCCCCTTATGATAGTCTTGATCCGTCAGGTCCTCGCTCACCGTAGAAATTTGGGTCGGGAAGACTGGGGACACCGGGGGTGAACCGGTCTCTGACGATGTGCGGAGCGTGTGTGGCGGACTGTCGTGGGTAGTGAGGGGAAGTGACGTTCTTCTATGCTGAGTCGGGATCGTTCGTCCACTGTCTTGAAATAGACGGCAGGATTCCCGGTGCAGGGCCAGAAGATCTTCCCGCTTGGTCTCTAGATCTTTGCTAGGAACCGATGGCGTGAGAGGCGCGTGACGATGAGAGTGTAAAGAGCTATGGCGAGCCGTCTGTTCAGAGCGACGGGTGCTTCGAGATGATGAACGACGGTAGTCTCCGGGACTTGTCGACGAGGGCGACGGTGGTGATGAAGTTCGTTTCCGCTTTGAAATGCGAGGGTTGTCGCCAACGGGAGATAGTTCTGGTGTGGCGCTTGGATATGTGATCGAAGATCCTTCCATGCTCAACCCCATATCGTCGGCGATTTCAGGAGTGACTGGGGAGGTGCATGTGTCCACAGTGATTTCAGTGAGTTCCAAGGTGGCTTTTGTATCGGGCAAGGCATTCAGGTTGGGAGAAGAAATCTCAAGGGATGGAGGTAGCTGGGATCCAGCCAGGCACGATGGAGTTTTCCCGGCGCCTGGACCCAGAGCAGTTGGCATAATGGTTTGGACTATGTGGAGAGGGCGGCTATTGTTGCTATTATTATGGCGATGGTCGTGCGGCAGGCTGTAAGGATAGCCGCCGTGGGCATGCGATTGGCGATGGCATGTGATGGCGTTCATGGTTGGCGACAATCAGCTGCCGAGTAACAAGTGGTCGGGATTGTCGAAAAAAAAAAAAAAAAAAAAAAAAACAGGAATATCCAGTGAGGCGCAAAAGATCGGGTGGATCAACCGACCATGAGACTCAGTCTCTGACCATCAATACATGACAATAGGAACAGTGGTTCTGAAGAAGTCAGTACTATATACTTCATGCGGGCTCCACCCAAGGCCATTTATCGCCCGGAGTACATCGCCAACATACATGTCTACATACCGGTACAATGAAACATCCTGACGGGGACTCCAGCCCATCAAACTCGAGAGAGAGAAAGCATAGGGAATAAACGAGGGCCAAGCAAACAAGAAGGAGGGAGGAGGGGTTGAGAGGGAGAGGGGAGTGTGTAGGCCGGAAACAGTTGATAGTGGTTCGCAGGATGCCGGAGTCGACTTATAAGAATGATAATAAGTATAGTAAGAATACTAATAATCACTCCATCAAATATAAGGAGAGTGAGTTCGAAGGGATAATAGGCGAACTGGTTCTTCACCGACGGGGAACTTCCACTCTTTTGGGCGAAAAAAATGAAAAACGAGAGATACACCACAGACGATCGGTGGAGAGAATCGGGCCCTTTACCCTTTCCCTTCGGGAAGAACACGAAGGACCAGAAAGGTAAAAAGAAGAGAGGATGGAGAGGAGACGATTGACTAGGGCAAACAAATTGATCCTAGTGACTAGTCTCATAGCCTAGTCCCCTAGTCCACTTGTAATCGGCGCTCCTTCCCTCTTGTCAACTCGATACGGAGGGCGTCAAAAAACAATTTGAATTAAAGAAGAATAACACTGCGGGGCCCTCAGGCATCCAGGCAGATTGGATTCCCCTGCAGGTCGAGTCTGGACCTGCAGGTTGACTCCTTGACGACTCCGCGCCAGACCAGTCATTCGCCCCCCTTGCCACAGGCTACGCTCTTTTCGTATGACTATTATTTCTCCTAACTCCAAATTATCTCCATCGGAATGATAGGCACCCATCTGATGTAACTTCTCTGAACCACATGGACTATCGTGATCGATTATTGACGGCAAGGGGTATTTATTCCTATATATTCGAGGTAAATAGTCCACACAGGAAGAAAAAGAAAAGAAAAGCGGGATCGAGACCCCCAGCGTGTAAATTTAGACTACAGTCTATAGTAAGTATAGTAAGCGAGCGACCAGTCATTTGCCTGGGAAGGAGAACGAGACATGGGTCATTCCGTGGATGATCTCCCCCACCATGTGCCCCCGCTGCAACCAATGTCCGCTTCCGCGCCCCACTTGAATGGCGCACTCCCCCATCCCGACCCCTCTCATTGGTCGCTCATTTCTCACCGCCAGTCTTTCGCCTGGGAAGGCGGTAACCCACGACAGTCTAATCTGCTGGACATGAGCTCGTTTTTCCAAGACATGATGATGTTCGACTAACTCCGTACTTGAGTCTTTGCACAGAGTTTGAACAATGACAGATATCAGGTGATGTCATGAGCAACACCCCCCACCACCGTTGGCTCATTCCAGACCGAGTGACATCCCGACAAGTGGTGCATCTCTCTGTCGGAGGATTCTACGAAGCCTCATTGTTCTCAACGTATTTAGCGCTCACACTAGGTTGACTCTGTACTCGGCAACCGCCCCAAAAGTGGAAATGCACCCATTGCGGTCACTCAGGAACATTTTGCGCATTTGCAAATACCAGGAATGCTTCTCTCCCACAGTGCACGTTCATTGACCTCGGTGCTCGTCTCCATGTCGTTTCATGTGCACCCAAATACGGACTGACCTCCCTTACTGATTTGAACGGCGATACATTCCACACCATGTGAAGGGAACTGTGTATGCGCAAAACAAAGCACCACGAGGACTCGACGACTGACTGGCTGATACCCATTTGAAATTTCTGACCTATCTGCTAATGAAACATTGCATATTCGCCTCCGATTTCTAGTCCCTATTCTGTTCTTCATACACGGACCACATTATCGTTCACGTCTCCTGAGCGTATCCATCCAACCTAGTAGAAAATCGCGTGGGAATCCCCCCTCCTCATAGTACCGCGGCTTTCGTATCGTCTGATGTGCATGTGCATAAACTATTCCAATCCATTCTGGTAGATCAAGGGCTGAGTGAAACATGCATGCTGTACTCTTTCGCAGATCATGAACTACGGCGACGACGTCTTGGGCCGGTCAACAACTTAAACATGAAAGATCATCAAGTTGATTGAAAACAGCGACTTGTATCCATGGGAAACAGGAGTAGTATTCGGCAGTAAGATGACCAAATAGCTAGCTAGCTAGCTAGGATTTGCGAACAATGAGGTCCACTTGCTGAAGGGAGCTCTTCACTCTCTGGTTCCCATCCATCCCTCCCAGAGGCTGCATTTTTCATAACCCTACGCGGCTAGACCTGTAATTCCCCTCAATCTTTTTTTCGTACCTCCTCAGCAGTTCTAGCAGGTCCCTCGACTCTGTTTCAATTTCCCTGACATCCGGGGGTTCACCCGTACATCCATTGGGAGTGGCGAGAAACGATCGGCTGACTTCCCAGATGGCATCTCTCTCCGCCTCTTCATAGACACCTGCGCCAAAGGGTACAATACATAAACGCCTTAGTCTCTGAGTAGATTGTTTTGAGACGATAAGACCCCAGATTCCTCTAGCAAGGGTTTCATCAGTTGCAGCATTGATCAACGTCTCTCTTAGAAGGGCAGTCCAGCCATTCCCGCTGCTGAAGGAGTCTGACCAGTGATAGCAACCTAGATTTATGACCAGGGTATGAAGCTGTGGGAATTGACACATCGCCTTGTATATGTCGCACTCCGGCGGGCGGCCTCCGTTGCGCTTGATTGGAAGGCGAAGCTCTTGTAAATTCGGGCAACTCCGTGACAGTTCAGTGATATCTTGACTGTAAAAGAGCGGATATAGGTATCGAGTATACAGCCTAGAGTCTTTATGGTTCATATCCCATGGTTCGATCGTGAGGCCTTTCAGCGAGCGGCCATGCTGCATAAGAATACGATGAAGAGACTCTCTTCTTCGCAAACCTCGTAACCATAAATATTTTAGCGGATTGAAAGCCTGGACTGCGGCTATCATATCCTGGTCATCTGTAGATAAGATTGCCGCACGCACATTCCATAGATCCATTGCCAAGAACAGTCTTTCCAGACCTGTCAAGATTGAGGCCGCTTACCTTAACAATGTTGAATCCGAGTGAACCGCTATATCCAGCGACCGAAGCCGAGAAAGATCGACAGCACTGGCCAGTTTCAGCAGCGTCTTCTCCCAAGCTCCATAACGAGCCGGTGACGTGAAAGAGAGTGAATCCAAGCATGCGACTGGAATGGGTTTCACAGCAGTAGTATTGTATTTCCCCGCCAGTCTCAGCAAAGCCACAGAGCTGAAACCCCTCCCGCGTATGTGAAGATGTTTAAGAGTCCGAACCATGCATAAGATCAGCAGTGTTGTATCAGAATGAACCCAAGACTCCCTTTTTCGTCCATAAAATAGTCCACAGCAACAGTATGAAGCCCCGATGAACGAAGGTCGTCAAGATTCTTGAAAGCGCAAGGGCATTGTGTTTGTAGTAGAGTAGACGAATCCGGCTTAAGCCTTGGAAAGTCCAGATGTTCAGCCGGCACATTGGATGATACTGGCGTAAGACTTGGTGAAGTGACAGGGGGTACATGTTCTTAACCACATAATTTAGCTCGCTGAGGCGCTCTAGATGAGCTATCAGCGAGACAAGTGGTTGCCACTCCTCCTCCACATAATAACTGGGCCCGGGAAAACGAGACCAGAGCCTTGGATCTAGACACTCTTTCAAGCGGTATTCGAGAAAAGTGTTCCCCGAAGCTGGAGGGCCGTAGTGAACGGACTCCATACTCTGATATTTTGAATTTGGGACAAGCCATGGCTTGTCGGTATAGTCCCAAAAGCAAACTATATCTAACCGTCGAGCATGCCTCAGAAAGAGTCGCCCACGCCCACCCTCCTTCAGCTCTAAGGCGACTTGCTGAAGACTCGCACTACCTCGAAATCTAATTCTGAGGGTTTTATAGAGTATAGGAGCCGTGGCATCGTGCCAGCTTCGACTTGTCAGGTTAAGGTCGGCCAGGGTACCTAAAGGGTCAGCTTTAACCTAGACCTGTTTAGTAAAATTCCACAAATCATTAAAGTGACCCAAGGAATCACACACAAAGTGACAGATGTGCCACTTGATCTCGATACGAAGAACCTCCATGGCGGTCGTATGCCGTAGAGATCAGCAACCTTGCTAAAGCAGATAATCAAATCAACCCTTTGGATCGACCTCAAACAAAGGCTATAGTCCATCCGTCGGTCTTTCAAAGACAGCTTTTCATTCACGAGCCTTTACATAGCTTCTTGCCAATCGCAAACACCTTTGGGTAAGTGAATTACTGCTTCCTCGGCCGAAAAAGCAGGATTCGCGTAACATGACGTTCGTACAATGAGTGAATTGGGATTTCAATGACGGCCTAACCAGGCAACCAGGCAGGTGTATGCAGTGAATGCAATCGCCTTCCCAATCAGGTACCAACAATGCTTTCTCATGTCTCGCTAAGGAAGTAGTGGCCAGGCGGCCTGGGGCATAAATACTTCCTCCCCCCGCCAAGGTTCCCTCTCTTTCTTCCTTCTTTCTTCTTCGTAACACTCCTTCTTCGACATACCCATCTAGACCAGGCTGCCCAACGCACATCTTCTTGTTTCCTTCTTTCTATTTGCTTGTTCTTTGCTTCGATCTTCTATCTCTATATTTGGTTCTCTCGGTTGCCTGCTTGCCCATCTTTTGATATATTCTTGCCTTCTCTTCTTCTATTCTTCTCAACTTTATTTCCCCCTTTGTCTGTACATACATATAACCGTACTTCTATTAACCAATTTTTCTTCTAGGGCACCGGGTAGTGGCAGGGTGGGGAAGAGCAGAGCAAACAGCAGCTAAGAAAAAACAGAACAGAAACAAGAACAGAAAAATACCTACTCACATCAAATACTTACTGAAAAAAACACACTGATACAAAACAAATTAACAGGGTACTCCAAACCGAATATGTCTTCATAGACGGGCCCTTGGTTGGGTGGTTGGGATGGGCCTGGGTTATCAGGCAGTTGTGTGCTGTCTGATAACGAGTCTTTTCTATCTTCAAATTCGAGTGAGTGATGCCTTGTCCGATTTTGTTTGACTAATATACTGACTTAGCGGTGAAAACGGCTCGAAAACAGATCTTTCGTGTAGGATTTCCTCCCCTCTCAGAAACAAAGACTGACAGGGTATGTGGACAGCGGAAGATGGGAGCATCTCGCCTTTATCAACAGGCAAGCAAGCCTCTTCGATACTTTGTCTTGAGGATCAGCCCGGCTAATGTTATTGACAAAGACAGACAGAGTGATATTGCCTTTTTCTCTTGCCACTTCACACTTTCTTGGGGAATAGCCACCGCCATATACATATCTCTTTCGATGCCTTGAATTCCTGTGTATGGGACTGGGATTGTTGCGTGTGAAGCAGACGACGGGCTGAGAGGACAAGGGAGAGCAATTCCGGCGAATGCTGTATTTGAAGCCTGCACGGTTAAACGAAGTGGAAAGGGGATGGATCTGCTCAGTGTATATACCAAATTGTCCTGATTGAATAGGTATTACGGTTGGCCCTATTCCTTACTATATCCCAGCTCTATTCAACAAGTGGTAGTGTAGGCCGGTGATACCTAGTATTCCCCGCTGAGGGAGAAGCACATCAAGGATGTACATACATGACTCTGCCGAGAAAATGAACACTCGTAATTCAAATACCCAAGACTACGATATGCACCTGCTGGAGTATATGTTTCTGTGGCACCCAGGCTTACAATAGGCAGGAAACTATGACGCTGCGGGCTTTTCTCACCATGCGCTGCGCCTTACAGTTTCACTATTGGGCTTGACCAGCCTGTCCCTCGCACTCTTGATAGTTTTGCCGTATTTAAAGGTCATAGAATGGAATACAAGGAATCCGTTAAACATTTGGCAAAAATGGCCGATTCTGGAACTCTAGCTGTGCGATATTTGCCCAGCGATTGCCACTACGGGAGCCCTAATCGAGCCAGTAAATCCCCTTAACCCGGTCGTTTGTAATGATGCTGATGGTAATAGATCTCCCTACTACATTTCCCCAAAAACCACATCGCGTCGCCTAGAGGCGCATATGTCTGTTCGCGCTCTCGGCTAGCCCTAACCGAGAAGACTATCGGCGAGCTGGAGGGAACAAACTACCAAATGCAAAAAGACATTTCCAATCCAGCATATCTGCCATAGGTGCCATCATCCAAGGAAGGACCAGCGCTCGGCTCCCCCATACTATCTGCATGATGAGTCTTTTACGACAGAACGCACAGGTACCTCCAGCAAGTGGCACCATTATTTTGGTTGCAACCTGCACCGTGACATTCGTCAATGATATCCCGACTGAACTGGTGCGCATCCTTGGGGAATTGCGAAAACACTACCAAAGTGAAGTGGATCGGGACGCTGGGTAACACAACGTTAGCGCTGGTGGGTATCTGAGCTGTTGCGTATATCACGGTGTCACCTCATAGCAAGAGCCCATTGCTTGTAGTGGGCACTACGTTCTTGTCCTCATGTATCCCGAATTAAATTCACTGAGACATGGGGCCGATATCGTTTTGCATTCCGGGACCAAGCTACATTGACGGACAACTACATTACTCAATTGAGTGTTTGTCGGGTAAACGTATGTGGAGATGCCAAGTGGACCTCCCAGCAGGTTTTTTTTTTTTTTTTTTACCTATCATAGAAGACAGTTGAGATACTGCGAGCCCTTACGGTCAGGTCATATGAATGAAGCAATATTCAATGTTGTACACTGGTCGCTGATGAAGGTCATAGTATTTGCAGAACAAAATCATGATCTACAACGAATAAACAAGCTCATGGTTCTCCCAGTCAGTCAGATCCAACCATCTAGACCCCGTTAGCGACCTATACTTTATGATAAAGGCAAAATAGGGACGACACTCACTCTTGATTCTCCAGTCGGACATATCCTGGGCTCTCCCTGATCTGGGCCTTCTTGGCATTTTGTTTGCTATACCACCACCAGATGAAGGCCAAAATAAACAAACAGACGCCCCAGCAGACAATGATCGTAATCTCGGCGGGAACATAGCGAGGGGCATCTTTGGGGCGGAAGACTTGGGGACCTATGCAGAAGTTGCAGTTAATCTCTGCTCGTATTTAGGTCCGAACGATACGGACATACCAATGATATTTCCGGCACAGTAACCGATTAAATATAGTGCAGCGACGGTGGTCTTCTTCGTATAGCCGGCGACGTTGGAGGAGACCATCGAGAGCAAGGCCACGAATGGGGTCGGGCTTGCTTGGGTCATGTAGTAACCGATCAGACGTCCGACGTTGTTTGATAGGGGAAGACCAACGATGAGGGCCATGCCCACTATGGCAGTGAATAGGCCACCGGTGCTGCAAAGGAGTCGCTGGCCCGTGTATTGGCCGGCGTAGCCGTTGAGAATTAGAGCGATAACCTCAACCGCACCGCCGGGAGTACCATATAGGAGACTCTGTTGGGGAGTGTAACCAAAACTGGTAATCTGGCGGTAATTTAATTAGTCATAGAGTCTCAGTCCAGAATGGAAGGGGTCACTCACTAGCTGGTTGAAGAAGTTTGTAATACCACCATTTGGGATATCAGCGATGAGCGCATAGAAGAAAAAAGCCCAAGTCATGGGGTCTAGGAGTGCTTCCTTGACCTGGTAGAGCTTGAAGTGCTTGTTTCCGATACCCTGCTGGTTTTCTCTGACGCGAGCGACGGCGAGAACACGATCCTCTTGTTTTAGCCAGCGGGCGTTCAGTTGACTATCCGGGACTACCCAGAAGAAAATAACACCAAGCGCAACGGTTAATAGACCCGTGCAAAGGAAGACAATTTTCCAAGGCGCGATGGCTGAGCCATGCCTTTCTGTGCCAACTGCGATACCGTACGCCACAAAGCCGCCTAGAATCTGGCCCCAGCCATTGAAGCTGAACCAGATGTTGACACGGCTGCCTTGTTCACTCTTGGTGTACCACTATGCGAGAGATGTCAGAAATTGTTGTTGTTGTATGGAGGGGCCTGAAACGCACCTGCGAGGTCAAAAGAGCAAAGCCTGGTGTAACAGAGGCTTCGAAGACACCAAGGAAGAAACTAAACAGGGGTTGTCAGCCATTGTTGATGATTGTGGCAGGGTGTGGTCTCACCGAATCGCAACGGCCCCGGGATAGTTGCTAACAGCAGCGAAACAACAAAGAATCGATCCCCAAATGATGATGCAAGCTGCAGAGTATTTACCCAAGGGGAGGCGCTGAAGCAATCGGTTGGTGGGGTATTCCCACGCCAGATATCCTACATTTCAAGCCGTGTCAGTCTACCTCTTCGTATGTTTCCACTATGGGGCCATTGTTTAACGAACCGAAATAAAATAAGCTACCCAGCCATTGATATTCGTCGCCTTTCAGGTTCAGATCTGGCTTGAGCCCCATGACACTGGCGTAGGATAGGGTCGTTTCTGTGCAGGGTTAAGTAAGAAATCTCGAGATTAGAGTCGAAGAACCACGTACTGTCCAAATAGTTCATTCCATATACACAACACATGATCGGCATCATATGCCAGTCAATGGTTCGTAAAAGTCGCTTGTTTGTTGCGGCATCGAGCTCGATGGCTTCGCCATGGAGTTCCTGAAAGGCTTTCAATGCCTCGTCTGCATCCTGGGCATGTTCTTTAAGCTTTGGATCGACGTGCCCCTTGACGTCTTTCTCCACGTCGACAATGGCAGGTGGGGAAGTCTTCTCTTCTGCCATTTTTTTTTTCTGGCTAATACTTTGGTGGGGGAAGGTATAAGAGGTAGGACGAGACAACAGAGGGCATTTCAAGGGATGGTGACATGCCTTACATATATATGTACGCGCGCCTCCTCATCCACGGGGGGGTCGTAGCACCAGAGAATGAAACGATTGTTATCTGACCTGGCAGATTAAACTTCATCGGCATCCAGATAAGCCACCGATTATCTGGGGTAGGCCGAACTACTCCATCCTAGTGCAGCCACAATGACGGCAAGTTAATTGTCCATGGCCAATCCCACGCAAGCACAGCGGTTTCGGTTCCGCGGGAATTCCGAACGTTGGAGCATCAGAGATGAGGGGCAAAGAGGAGAAGGAAAAAAGCAAAAGGTTAGGCGAGGCAATGGTTGATCCATTGGGTAAAATAGCCGACTATCTCTATTGAATCACGAGAAAGACTAGTTGAATGGATGGGATGATAAGACAAACCACCACCCAATGTGTCCCCTCACTTATCTGGCGGACAATTCCGCTCCAGGGCTACCAAGAGAGCTTACTCTTTCCCGTCTCACTGGCTTGTCGATCTGCATCTGCCAAGAGGAGGAGAAAACGTTACAGAGATTAGGGTTGAGGAAATCGTCAATACTACCTCGTACTTTGTCCACGAGGCCAAGTCCGTCGGCGTTCCATTTTAAAGCCGGCAAACATCGGGAGATTCCTAACCTGGCAATAATAGCTAACTAGTCATATTTACTAGAGAGCCTAGTGAACTAAGAACTATGTGGTTTCTTCTTTTCTCCCCGAAATTTGATTGTACTATCTGCAACGTTTTAAGCTTATCAGCTAGACTACTAGTAGAATATTCATATCGCCATATCAATATCTCCTTATCATCCTGATCTCCACTTACCAACGTGATTATAGTGGACCTTTCCCGAGTATGCCTTTCCCCGTTTAGCAGCTTATCGATAATAGACCACCGAGACCAGTGCGATGAGTACTTGCGAACACCGCTAACAAACCGACAGGTTTGATGCTTATACTGTTTACTTCGGATGTATATATACCTCTATTAAAAAACCCCAACATTTTCAATCTGTCAGCAAAGACTGAACTAGAAGATGTTCGGGGAGGATATTTGTTGGAAAAGTCCTCGGGACGGTTCCCGCGGAGCCCGGAGCTTATCCATACTACTGAAAAAAGCTTCGCTGCCTGGCATCGATTGATTCGATTCTCATTTCCCCGACGTTGCTATAGTCTAATATGGCAATTGACTGTGCCCTGTCTTAGAGTGCAAGAACCTCCAAAGCCACATATGGTAATGCCTGCCAACACGGGAACAAATAAAATCAACGATTGAACATCCTCACAGCTGCCAATATGTCCGCCGAGCCACTCAGTATACTACTGGTAAATAAATTTCTACCCGCTTGGACAGACAGCAATATTAACTTGGGGAACTAGGCAAGCACAGCCGCATCCCTTTCACTAGATCTATTCATCCACCCCTTGGATACGATCAAAACCCGCATCCAGTCTCGCGAATATTCACAGTTCCTGAGAACCAACACTGGAACCAGCATATGGAGACACCCTGGGATATTCCGCGGCCTTTACCAAGGCATCGCGAGCGTAACCGCTGCCTCGTTTCCCACAGGTTCGTGCTACTCTACATCATCCCTACCCAAACTCTATCCAATGAGCGAAAACTAACGGGTCAAAGCTGGTGCATTCTTCATCACATACGAGTACGCACAGTCAGGACTCCAACTCATACATCGAAAGCTTGGAACGCATGATTCTAGCTCAGCTCAGGTCTTTTCCGGATTTTGCGCAGCCTCCGTGGCGGATCTTGCTGCTTGTGCAGTCTTTGCGCCGGCTGATGCATTGAAACACAACGCACAGATGATCCAATCACACCAACCAGATGCCTCACCACGTGCAGCTGGGGGAAAAATAGGTGGGGTAGCCCAGAAATCAACACAACTGGCTTTCAAGAAGTTTATCAACCCTAGACAGCTTTGGAACGGATACCCTGCTCTTGTAGCGCATAGCTTGCCAGTGTCGGCGATTCAGATGCCGCTGTACGAGGCTCTTCGGTGTCGCATTTCTGAATATAGATTCGGAGTTCGAGAGGAGGGGTCAGGAAGACTAAGAGACTATGGAAAGAAACAGGTCCATTTGACAATTGGAGAGGCCGCTTCGACAGCCGCGATAAGTGCTGCAGTGTCAGGCAGTGTAGCCAGCGTCCTGACAGCACCCATGGATATGGTCCGAACACGAATCATGCTCGATGCTGCAGACACAACCGCGCCGCAGAAGAAAAGAATGATCAATGCCGTACGGGAGATTATACGAACAGATGGCCCAAGGGGCCTATTCCGAGGGTGCGCTGTAAACACATTCATGGCAGCTGTCGGATCAGGATTGTACTTTGGTCTCTACGAAAGCACCAAATGGTGGCTAAGCTCTGACTCGATGGAAAAGCGTGTCATGTTGGACTAGGAGGTGATGGGAAAGCTTCTATGTAATTGTGATTTGTTTGTACGATAGTGGCCGACTGTACATTAGTGATACCCCACTCTTAAGAAAATAAACTACTCTTCAGTAAGCACCTTCGGGGAGAGCCGAGTCTGTGCCTATTGCCTTCGAACCAGCCTAAAGAACTGTGGGCGACTGTAAAATACTCGACCAGAGTGGATCCACTACTTAGTCCTTGTTTAAGCTGACTACAACCTATACCGCAAGGGTTGGTTCAGAAAATGATTAAGTAGAATAGCCTTTAGACACACCGGTACAAACTCTCGTCGATGTTGGAAGATTGTGATTCTATAAAATGACCCTTCCTGACTCTGACTTCTGATTTATCCATATATCGAGGTAGGCGTCTTATTCATAGGGAGAGGGTATCTCTTAGCATCAGTCTATCCTAGATACATGGTGGTTATTTTGAGTGCTGAATTTATTATTCGCATAATACTGGCGACATATTGCTATATAAGGAGCACGTCAGCTGCACCCTTCTTATTGCGCACCAACACGCTTCAGGTATGCATCCCATCCCTCCTTCTGGTACCGCTGCGCCGCCTCCACGGGATCAGGGGCAGCATAAATTCCTCGGCCAGCAATGATAAAGTCGGCACCGCGTCCAACAGCTGACTCAGGAGTCTGGTACTGTTGTCCCAGCTTGTCTCCCTTCGAGGAGAGGTTGACACCGGTCGTGAAGACGACGAAATCCTCATCCTCCGAAGGCGAGCTAACTTCAGACTGAACCTCGCCCAGGTGACGCGTCGAGACGAATCCCATCACAAACTTCTTATACTTTCGAGCATAGTCAACAGAAGAAGTAGTATATTGGCCGGTAGCCAAAGATCCCTTGGAGGTCATCTCCGCAAGGATCAAAAGGCCCCGCTCGGAACCGTAGGGGAAGTCCTCGGCCGATGCAGTCTGGGCCAGAGCCTCGACGATACCCTCACCGGGCAGAACACTGCAGTTGATGATGTGGGCCCACTCAGAGATGCGCAGAGTGCCACCATGGTACTGCTTCTGGACTGTGTTGCCAATGTCGATGAACTTGCGATCTTCGAAGATGAGGAAATTGTGCTTCTCCGCAAGGGCCTTCAGACCGGTGATGGTTTCTTCGCTGAAATCGGAAAGGATATCGATGTGAGTCTTGATCACGGCAATGTACGGGCCGAGTCCTGTTATACATTCCACCATTAACCATTACTAGATCATATGTAAGTGGCATCCCCGGTGCGCATACGGTCAGCCAAATCCAGCAGCTCTTTGGTGGTGGTCACGTCGGCCGAAACGGTGACATTGCTTTTCTTGGCCTCGGCAACCTCGAAGAGCTTCTTTACGAGGGCATTGGGATGTGCGCTAGCGCGTGCGCTGTAGGTCAATTGCGACTTGGAAGACATGCTGGCGATGGAGGGGTAGCGCGGGGTTCTGCAGCTACTGTATAAATGAGCACTTCGGGGAACTGGCGTATTCAGTAGATTAGTACTTGAAATTTTCAGTGAGTAGATGAAATAATCAGGGCTTCTAATGACTAACTCAAATCGTGGAATGAACGGTGAATACAAGCTGTACGATATTCACCGCGAAAAATTAAAATGGATCTACTCCGTACGGAGGGGAGCCATGCACTAGCCACACATTCCTCCGCCTGTGGGGTGAGCCACATGCCTCATCTGGGCCAAACACATCAACGTAGTCACATGCAGATAAGATTAGGGCCTATTCTTAGGGTATGTACAATAACCATCCGCGCGGGGATCACTCAAGGCAAGATATAGTCGTAGATTCCCATGCTAATTCAAAATACCATCATAAACTGGCCTAACTAGGAATCTGCTACATTTTAAACTACCCGAAACCTCATCATCTATCATATAGCAGCTCTCTGCGATATTCACATCTATATGACGTGTCACTCATCTATAACAAGACAGTTGATTCTTCGTGGGAGATTGGTGGCCATGCCTGGCTTTTTATGGTTGCTTTTTATATCCTTCTAGGGACTTAGCAATAAGCCCAACTCTATCGGCCATAATAATGTCAATACCGGCAGCGGCTTGGGCCTGGAATGTTGCATCAGCCATTAAGCAATTTCCATATCGCAACTTGAAAGCACTGAAAATTAGTATGGATACACTTACCTTGGCATTTTCTGGTGTATTGTTCTGAGATCCATAGGATCCACAGATTAATCCTGATTGTTGAACATATCTGATAAGCCTAGGACACATTACCAGCGCCTCGGAAGCAAAGATAAGACCAGATAAGTTCCACCTCTTGGCAAATCGAACAGCGGACTGTATGCTGGAGGCCCTCATTTCTCGATCCGTAACTGGAGGTTTACCGGCATTAGTGATAAACATTACAGGGTACGTCCGTTGTTTGATGGCCAATAACATGCATATCTCGGGGGTGAATGAGGATAGTATAATGGTCCGTTTTTTGTTGCCGTAAGAAAAGAGTTTCTCAAGCGCTTTGTCGATGAAGGTGTTGATTTCAATAGCCACGGGTGCTACACCTGCATCTATCGCTTCATGAAGCCTGGGGTACTCTTCGTTGAGACACTATTAGCCCTGTCTCACGAGTCGAAAACCATCAGTGGCAGCATTTAACATACTTATCTCGATATTGAAGCCAATTGACTCAGGCAGTTCTTCAAGCAGTTCTCCCAGTGTCGTAAAAGAATCTTGGATAAAGTCATCTCTGGTATTAGGCTTGAATCCCTTGTTGACAAAGTCTACTGTATACTTCATTCTATCGCGAATTTCCCAAGTTCCGCTCTCGTGGCCTTTAGTTAATGATTGAGATCGTCGCTTAGCCGAGATATTCTGGGTGGAAATAGGTTGTGCATTCGCGTCTCCAAGTACAGATACTGGAGCCCCTCGTGGCGACTGGATATTGCTTGCGTGCATGAACTTTGAAAGATGAGAATCAGTTTGAATTAAGCTCAGGGATACTGACTTGATCAAGACTTAAGTCATGAATAGGGATATCGGTTCCTGACTCGCTCAGAGAAAAGTCATGGTATATGACAGGCACGAGATCTCTTGTTAATTGTACATCTGAGTAGACTTTAGTACACACGCAAGGTACGATTTGTGAGATACTGTATTACCAAACTACCATACTTATTAGTCTCGTTCGCTTCACATCTTAGCCAAATCATTCTTACCTCAACAAATGTGGCGCCTTGCTTTGAGGCCAAAAGAAATGACTAGATACCATGTTAGGTATGTAAGGGTTTGGTTTCAATGGTTCTAAAATTGGTGCGTACTTCTATAGTATTTTCTCCTATCTGGAGATAGCTGCGGCTGGCTGTGTTTTGTCCAAAGCCTGACTACACGTTACTGGTCCATTATAGAGGAGGATGAAGTATTAACATAGTACATACCTCTATGGCCAACTAGCTGTACCCCTTCTTCAGTGATGGGAGGTCTGACCAAAGGACCCGCATGGTGGGATATTAGTTTAGAGAGGACGAACGTAAAAGTGACCTTCCCCAGAACATCAAGTGTATCTTTCTCAAGTATAGGAACGGTACGTTCTCTGATAATGCTTTCACGGTTTTCCCCAAAATGATCGCTGGGGTTTCCTATCAAAGCTGTACCACCCCCCAAAACGCTACGTTCCTTTGGAAGTGTAGAGTTATCGTGGAGTAACTTGAAGGATATCCAGGCTCTGTCTGGATCTGTAACTGGAAAAACAAAAGGTTCGTTGGTCATATCAGTCAGTAAAGGTAGTTCTACAAGATGGCTTATGCTTTGCCTCTCTGAGATTGAAATTTCCATCAAGAAGCCAGCATTCATAAAGATGAGCTCCTTCGGAGAGCGATCTCTGAGTTCAACAGCCTTTACCTGTTTCCCGCTTTGTAGGACACCCAAATTAATGATCAGGTGGTGACAGTCAGTTCTAAGTGACATAGCATTTTGAGAAATTGGCTGTTCAAGTGTGCTTGCAGGTCCGCCGAGAGGGTCCTCAGTACCCAATGAAGTGAGCATCCCAGCTAAAGTCAGATGGCCTCTTACTGCGGCATGCTCTTTAGCAGTCCAACCAGAATAATCATGAATATCCTGTTTTGCTGCCGCATTCAAGAGAATTTTGGACACGGCGTGGTGACCCTCCACGCATGCAATGAATAAAGGAGTCCAGCCATGAACAGTCTCTGGGATATCAAGATCTCGGTACCTACCATGCTCAAGTAGTATGTCCACATATCCTTCATTCCCACTGTGAGCTGCAACATAAAGAGCTGTCTCTCCATGACTAGCTTTTCCATGAAAATATAGGGGAAACTTGGCAAGCAGGAGGACTATGTCATCATATTGATATTTTATTGCAATGACAAGAAGAGTATTTAGAATATTGATCAAGTCGTAGTTCTTTGCTTCGTCATTTGTTTGCTGCATTGGTTCGAGGGCTTTCAAAAAAGCTTTTGTGACCAGTGCATGGTTGTTGATCACTGCGTAGTGCAGTGGCGTATGTCGTTGAGAGTCCAACGACATGATGAGGCGTGCAGGATACTCCTGACCCGACTTTCGAGACAAATCCAATATTAATCCACAGATACCTGGCAAACCATACATTGCACTGTAATGGAGTGGAAGACGCCCAAAAGCATCTTTTTCCAATAAGATGCCCTTTCCGCTGAGCGCGATTTGCTCAACGGCCAAGGAGAACGAGTTACTCTCTGGTTTACCACAAGAGTATTTAGAACTGCACTGAGAACACACCCTCGATGCAGTGTGTTCTTCAAAAGTCTGTTGCCGACCAAAGACTACAATCATTTCGTTCAATATTCTGTGGTCCAGCGTAATATGATATCGGGGAAATGCTTCTGAGAGCAGAAAGGTAGCAGCCCGCTTAGAACGACAGACCACTGAGCGCCCTGTTAAATCACGGAGGATTTCCTGGAAGCACGGTCTCGTTGTGGTGTTACATGTGTACATCTCTTCCAGTACCTTGGATAATCCTGGGGCATCATCATCTATCATAGCTCGATTCAAAGCTCTGATAGTGTCACTGAAAATGGAGGTGTGACTGAAGACATCTTCCATACAAGACTTGGTGTTTGAATGGAACTTCATATCAGAGCGGATTCGGATGAAGCTATCCATCAGTTTGTTCAAGTTTTCAGTATGTTTCAGCCATGATGCATCCTGATCAGCCTCCAACTTGATCCACTCCACTTTATGGGCTCCATGAGTCTGTCCGGTCGAGCTGCGAAGCTTCTCGAGCTTGGCATACACCCTCCGGACTGCTTCTTTGTTTACCCGATAAAACCATTGCAACTTTTCTGAATCCTTACGAAGCTCTAGCACTGCTTTGAGGATGTTTTCTAGCTTGTAGCAGTTTGAGTCTCCTATTGATATCAAGGCGTCTGCCGTAGGTGCCGATCTTTGGAGAAGCTCGTCACTCCTTTGTGTCAGGAGGCCATAGTTCTCGTGATGAAACTGGCTGAAGGAATGGATGCTGCATTTAAGACAGCTATATATGTCTTCAACGAATGTTAACAATGTTCCTAGGGTACAGATGATAGTAACGGACCTGTGAAATCCGGTTGCGTTTCTGTAGAGTAGACTGTTCTGATAGCCGTCTTTAATTGCCTTTTCAGTAAGGGATAAGGCACATAATGTGGCGCCCACTCCGGCACCTGGTATTGATGGTAATTTAGCCCGAATCGCATTATCACTTGGGGTACAGTAGACCACTAGGCAATATGGAGATGCAGTAAACGAAAATGAAATTACATGTGAACCGTCACCATCTCGGTAACTCACTAAAATCACATGCGTTACTGTGGGCCGCAAGAGATTTTAAAGAAAGGAGTAAAGTAGCTCAGGAAGTGGACTGCGTTAGTAGCGGCGGTGGCGTTTATATATAAAGAAATCGACCGGGGTACCCCTGTCCTTTGCCGGATTGGGTAACTTAATCTCCTGTCATGTTTAGATCGGAACCACTGCGCTAAATGAATCCAATACTTGGGAAGTAGCTTCAAGCGGATGGTTGATAATCAAATTTACTGCTGAATTTCTTGAGAGCTACCTCGAGGCTCTCTTAGCAAGCCCTAAGACATTTAACTCCGCGGTGGCTCAGATTACAGGGGCATAGGAGAAATAGGAGATTTAGATGAAGACTAGGACATGTTAAATGCCACTAAAGACTGAAGATGTAACATGAACTAGTCAATTTGTTAGAGTCAGGGATCCATAAGAGAACTAGATTATATATTGCAAAGATTATTTTCAGAGTTGCGACGAATATAACTTCGACAGACGATCAACGTATGGATATACAATGGCAAATTCCGATACCTATTTTACAAAGGGTGAACAAGTACAAAATTGTCCAAAGCCGCGATGAATCCGTCACTTGGAAGTAGTTTGTCTTCAGAAAGAGATTAGATCCCTTCCAACGCCGAATACACTCAGCCCCCACAGAGCACCCTGCACCAGCCAGAAAAATCCTCCAAGGAACCTTCCCTTACCCTGCGACTTGCCCGAGTACACGTAGCCATACAAGAAGAGCGAGCGAGCCACGAGCCAGGCGGCGCCAAGAGCCGTAGCCAGCTGGGGGTATTTCAGACCTGCAACGAGAGTAAAAAGCATGGTCTGGGGAGAATTTTCGAGGAAGTTGGCGTGTGCGCGCTGAGCGCAATTGAATTGTTCGGCTTTAGCCTGTCGGGCCATTTTCTGTTAGCTCATATCGCGGTTGCTTATGTCTGCGACACACACTTTATTCTAAAGTCGTGGTAAGTGGGACGGTGAGGGGAGAGTGGGGGTCTCACATTCGACTTGCACTGTTCGATAGTCGCATAGGTGTGAGGGTAGGGGACCTTGGCTTCCTTGCGAATGCCTGTCACCACAAATCCATGGATAAAGCTGAGCACAGGGATGGCTCCAAGCGCGACGCCGATGACGGCACTGAAAGCTCACAGTTAGTCAAAGGTGGTCTTGGTGCCATCTGGAGGGGGATAAATTTACCCGTAGTTGTCGGGGACGGTTATCGCAACCATTATGAAGAGTAAACTAAATATTACAGACTGTGGATTGATCTTTTGGTTGCTTCTCGTAGTGCCGTGGGATCTAGAAGCTTAAATAGTCCCAATTTCTTGACGTCAGGAGCTCGGAAAAGTTGAGTCCCATCCGGAGTCCCGAAGAACCGACACCCGTATTTCACATTGCTCACCAATCATCGTAGGCTGTAAGTTAGTTACAACACGAAGTGATTTACAACATGGGCCTCTCAGTTGCAGATTGACAACCAATTAAAGCACATTACGAGCGAAGACATCCATATGAGATACGTGTACTTTCCCGTCACACTCTACCGAGGGACTCTGGGAACAGTTCGATAGGGATGATAACTATTCTGCCTACTTGAGAAACGGTGGCCGACTGAACATCCCATCTATCATTGTTATACTTATGTACTCTAAGATAAGATCATCCCTGGGTCATTTTGCTGACGCTGCCATACTTCGCCTGCCAAGCAAAGAAATACAGCAGTGCCCCCAACGGCTGTCCAACCACGCAAAAGCTAACCCAAAATATTGAGTTCCCAAGCACTCTCCCGGAGGGATCTTTCATCTTTTCTAATGGGGCAGTGACGGCGATCAGCGGCAGCTGGAACAACATTCCTACGAGGGCGACGCCTTGTTATCGGTTAGCTTGGAACAAACATTCACAGGGTATGCGCGATTCTCAGTACCTATCATATTATGCGTAGGGATCCCCACAAGCAGCTCGTGCAAAAGAGCCGAAACTAGAAAGACAACAGTGCTTGCCGTCAAAGGACTGTATCCCCGCCCAATGAGAGGCGAATACACATGCCTCTTCATGAAGAGATAGACAGGCCTGTTCCAAGATCGCCAGTACATTCCAAGACTGGAGCTGTTCCACCAGTCGAGATAGAACTCTCGGTCTCCAAACCGCAGCACTTCAGCCAAGGCATTCAAGAATGACTGGAAAAGAGCGAAAAAACCAGCGAGCCAAATAATAAGGGAGATGGTAGATAGCTTCATCACGCGCTCAAAAATGGAAGTAATGTCCATGACAGCGATCTTGTCAATGGAATTTCGCAGGACGGGAGCAGCGTACTGGGCTGAGAGAAGCCAGATGAATATAGACAAGCTTATAAACTCGAACATGCGCTTGCCCACAAACGACCATCGGATTGCGGGTGACCTGGGATAAACCGGTTGATAAACCAGCGTAGGTGCCAACCAAAAGTACACCAAGTTCCCAAGCGTGATATTCCGTGGATAAGGGCATGAAGAGTAGATCTCCGGAAGGGCGGACTCGGCAGATGGATTAAGCATCGCCTCGCGGAGATCGCGATTGGTGAACGCATAGGACCAATTTTTGAGCGCTACAATGATGGCATGAACTTCGCAGAGCGTCCCGATCCCTGGATGATGGATGTAATAATAAACGACATAGCTCGTCACCGCCAGATTCAGCAAGGTATTGAGGATATGAAATGATAGGGCGAACCGCCAAATCGTCCGGAATTCGCGTTGTTCACGTTCACCCTCCTCGGCTGATTTGTCTTTCTTCTTTCGGCCAACAGTTTCTTTCACCCGCCCTGCTACAGCCAATTCGAGTATGTATGCGATAAACAGCTGACAAGGAACCATGACAAAGAGCATTGAGCCAAGGACGACATCTTGTTTCCGGTAGTCATGGCATCTAATGCAGATGAGGACACCATACTATGCGATAAAACGTTCAGCTCTGTTTACAACAGATACTTCGTTCTACGGTAACACTTACTTTCATAGAATTCTCAATAATCAATCGGAGATTCATCGCCACTAACAAAGGGGATTATCAGCTTCAAATCATCGAGTTACCTTAAAGAAAAACATCATACCCAGGACAATCACCATCAGGTTTCGAAACCCGAGGAAGCTAGTCGGAACATTGGATTCTCGACTTAAGCTTGAGTGTTGCAACTTCGAGTGGTAGGCTGCCACATGCCGATACTTGCTCCTCCTTTTCCCTTTGGGTACTTCGCTAGCCTCACCCGTAGGAAGCGAAGTTTCGGTATGAGAAGAACCGTTCATAACTTTAGAAGATAAGGAGGAAGCCGCGCCGCGGATATTAACATCGCTACTTGACGCAGATGCCTTATCTGTAACGGCCATCTTCATATAATCTCGGAGAAATCCGGCAGTAGTCCACAATGAGCACACAATGACCTAAGCCAAAAATTAAAAATAAAACCACGGAAGGGTTGGTAAAGCCGCGTGGAAGCGACAAGAGTTGAATGTGAGGTCAATTGCGGGGATAGCTTAGAATACAGGATAACAATCCCAGCGGCCGGGCCAGAGAAGAGTTGATCATGACAGGGCAATTGAGGGTATTTATAGCAGGAGAACAATGAGACAAGCCAGGAGCAACGCAGCGGGGCTGGCAAGGACGCATTGCAACGGTGTTTTAAAGCAAAGGCCTCTGAGGCGACCGGGGGTTGAGAGAGCCGTTTGGTGCTAATCATGACTTGCTCTGCCGCTTAGTGTCCCGCGGCCAATGATCATCACCGCCGCGCGCTCGGCCCAAAGTCAAGTTGCTTTTGCTCCCATTCAAATCATCGACCACGTTCACGACGAGAATCCATCCACTCTACCAGCCGCATGCACGCTATGGAAAGACCGTTCTAGCTGAAAACCCTGTAACCTCATTTGAGGGGTTGTTGTTTGTCATTCGCTGCGCTCCGCTTATCTTTCACCCGGTCAATGGTCGCAAACTTCCGTGAGCTTCTTTTCCTTTACACCCGAAAATAGCTTGCTTGTGATGGCATTTTATGACGAATCTGGGGCCGACTCCCAGCCATTTGGAAGATCTCAAAAACCCTATGAGGGTGGAATTGTCGGTCCACGGCGACCACGTACGTTTATTTCATTGCTTTGAATTTTGTTCCCCCCAGTATACCCGTCTCTTTTCTTTTCCCGTTCGTTCATGTTGCTCTATCATTCAACCACTGTGGAAAGCTAACAGCCTCCAACTCGATAGGGCTTGTCACCGATTATGGATCGTCACTCGTACAATGGATGCGCACACGGCGCCCGAGATACAAAGGCGGCCACCGGATGGAGACAGAAAGGCCAAGTGCAAGCTACATAGTTGATGTAAACAGCAGCGCCCTGCGTTAAAGACATCGACTAACTCACTTCCTTCTTTGCAGATGCTGCCGCCGTTAGCACGAATCCATTCCCCTGTGGATACCATCCCCGTACGGCACCTACACCAATCCATTGGAAAGTCAAAGAAGCCGATCACAGTCGTAAGATGGACTCCGGAAGGGAGGCGTTTATTGACGGGTGGGCACACTGGAGAGTTTATGCTATGGAACGGAACAGCATTCAACTTCGAGACTGTGATGGACGTATGGTTTTACCTCCCTATTTTTCTCATCTATACCAGTCTGCGATTTGCCTGGATCGTCTCTGACCACCAAGTTAGGCACATTACGACCAACTGCAAGCTGGAGTCACTTCGTTGGCATGGTCCCACAGCCATGACTGGTTAATTTCGGGCGGACAAAAAGGTGATATAAAATACTGGCGGCCTAATTTTAACAATGTCGAGACCATTGATGACGCGCATCATGATGCGGTTCGAGATCTTGCGTGGTCTCCCAGCGATACAAAATTTCTCTCCGCTTCTGACGATACGACCCTGAAGATCTTTGATTTCACCTCAAGAACCGCCGATACCGTCCTTACCGGTCACAACTGGGACGTCAAATCATGTGATTGGCACCCTACGAAAGGACTACTCGTCTCTGGTTCGAAGGATCACCAAGTCAAGTTCTGGGATCCCCGCACGGCAAGATGCTTGACAACACTCCATAGCCACAAGAACACAGTAACCGCCACGAGGTTTTCACGTGTGAATCAAAACCTTCTCGCAACATCGTCTCGCGACCAGACAGCCAGGGTTTTCGATCTACGTATGATGCGGGACATTTGCATTCTTCGTGGACACGAGAAGCCTGTTTCTTCTCTAACATGGCACCCCATTCATAGCTCACTCATCTCGACGGGTAGCGAAGATGGTTCGCTGTACCATTACCTCCTCGACGAGCCAAACGTGCCCTCTGGACAGGTTCCTACAATTGCGCCCTACGACAGTCCGGATCCTGCGAACACACCTGCGCAAGTCATCTACCCTGCCCACCGGGTCCAGTACGCACATGGCGCTACTATTTGGTCACTGGATTGGCATCCACTAGGCCATATACTTGCGTCCGGCTCGAAAGACAACTTCACACGGTTTTGGTCTCGAGCAAGACCGGGAGAGACTAGCTACATGAATGATAGGTTCCACATAGGGGAGGAGGCCGCTGAGGCCCAGGGAACTTGGAGTAGAGGTTTCGGAAGGCGACAAATGCGCGAGGAGGAAGAACAGGAATTACAGGATGAAGCCGAGAGCCTCGTTGATCAGAGGAAGCCGACTGGATCTGTTCTTCCCGGAATACAGATCGCACCTCCTGGCGGAACGCCTCACGACGGGCTAGGCTCGCAACTACTACCAGGTATTGGCGCTCCCCAACCGCCACCAGCACCATCAGCCGGTATACCTTCATCTATGCCTCAGATGGATCCCAACCGCCTAGCCGCTCTGTTGTCTACTCAAGGCCCCCCTCAACCCAATAATATTCCTCCGAACACGGGATTGCCTGGGTTTCCCATGCTTCCTGCCCTCTCCGGAACACCACCCGCCAATGTTGACTTTGCAGAGCTTCAAAAGCAGCTCATGTCACAGGGCATACCACTACCACAGAATTTCGCTCCCCAACACTTTTCTCCTTTACCGGGTACCGGAGGCCTCCCTGGTTTGCAGGGTAGCAATACGCCCGACAATCATTATGGAAGATGACATGCATGTTTGAGTTGGCCTAGGGGCGATTGGCGCAATGGCAGATAGCTTGTTTGGGTTTTCTGATAGCATCGGCATATGTTTGAAGAGTATCACATAATTCCTCCGGCTGTATTATAAATCGGTGTTTGAAGGGCTTCCCGATTCGTTCGATAGAGTAAAGATCGCATGCACACCGCATCGCGTTCGTCGTGTATGATTGCCATTATTCGAGGCATGTTTCAAATCTCAAGCCCATGAAGGGCGCATTGTGCGAAACCATATGTCTCTTCTCTGTATGGATTACAGTCCACCTTGCATTGGAAAGCTCGATAAAATAAGGACCAACATGTTGATGCCACCCCATATCATGGGAATCCACGTCGACATCCTAAAATTACCCGCCTCGTAAACGGAACCCAGACTGCTTCCCGTATTAGCTTCATAGTTCGGATATAATTCTTGGAGCCCGATGTATACTTACACCAAGCCGATAATACTCCCAGCTAGAAGCGCCTCCAATCCTGCTATAATACCGTACACTAGTGGAATTGCAATACAAATCCGCCAGCTCCGGCCCTGCATCGCTATGGCCCAAGCGGCCACCGACAAATGGCTCGCCAGGTAGAATATCAGGGTCCAGTAGAGCGTGAACCGCCAAATGTCCCGGGTATAGTATAAGTAGTAGACGGCAGCATTTGGTCGCGGAAAGGGATCATAGAGCGATGGAAACGCCGGTGTCTGGTAGTTGATCGGGACACGATTGTCGGTCATTTGTCCTGACAAAGGCTCGTCGCCTTGTCAACAGGGGCAGCCTCACGAGAGAAAGTGAACTACCATGGTACCTAGCGTAGTGGGGACAAGCTAAGCTTAGTGGTATTACGGAGGTAAAATAATGTAGCCGTTGTGATCACGGGAGTCATGTTCCTTATTCTGTGTAGGTTATAGTTCGGAGCGATGGCCGGTTTGCATTGTTTGCCTCCTTGCTCCCAACCTCGGCAGGTGATCCGGGGTCCTCCGCGGTAACTGATAGCGCTGGAGACCTATCGTCTACTCCAATTGCCGAATACGACGGCCTTTGGCAAGTGTTATTGCATTTTGTTCCTTGCGTGTTTCTATCCCCAAGTCGAGCATTTCTGTTATCTAAGATGGCCACAGCGCGCTCTTTGGGCGCTCTCTTACGGTCGCTCCAATCTCCATCAGAACTTCAAGATGCATCTGGGTATGATCCCACCTGCTCTATCGGCCGATCAAAGGCCTCAACTGACGGTTCTTCTTCAGCCTGCTCCCTACGGCCACCGGCCTCTTATCTGTGCTCGGAAACCCTCTGAATATTAGCTTGCTTGCATCACAACTGCTTGTAGCCCCTTCGATATGGGATCATGCAGTCGATCTCCAAGCCTGCCGGAAGATACTCAGTGTATTCAACACAGCCGCCATGGCCATCATCCGAAACGAAGAATCCGATGACCCAAGGATACCATACACTAAGCCTGTGAAGATAGAGCGAGAAGCATGGGTCAAAGCTGTTGTCAGTGGAGCGGACGAGAAGTCTCCACGTTGGAGACATATGCTCCTAATTGGAGGAGTCCTTCTAGGTTTTGAAGCACAGGATAGACAAGGCTTGCCTCTCAGTGTCCGTAAAAAGCTTGAGTCGGCTCTTGTAACTGCTGCGCAGCTTGCTATTGAAGAGTTAGATCCCCACAACAAGATCGACGGTCTTTGCATCACCATGGTTTTGAACTATACGTTTCCACTGTTGTCCGACTTGGAGAGGAGCAACCTTAACTATGACCGACTATTGCCGGTAATGATAGATGCGACATTTTCATCGCCGGAGGGTCTCGAGGGGGGGTACTTTCTAGGGACAATTGATAAAGATATTGTTGAGGCACCAGGGAAGCGCTTCCAGTGGTCTTCACAGTCTGGTACTTTCATGCGGGTGGCAGCAATATCCTCCAGTCCTCTCATCTCGGCGCTAGGACCACTGTCCCGTCTGATTGCACATGCAATTGAAAATGCGCATGACCCGGGACTCATTGCGCGGTCAGTTGATCACATTGCGGACTTTGTCCGCACACTAATGATCCAATGGCGGCAGAACAAGCTATCCGAAGTTGACAAAGCTGAGGAAGCGGAATTCTTGGATGCAGAATCATTGAAGACAACCATCCCAGGCTTATGGAAACTACTTCGCAACAGCTTGTATTCGATCGTGATTGTCCTCCGAGCCGTTCTTGGGAGAGTCATCAACGATAGTATCTTGGCTGCGAACAGAAGTCAGTGTCATACAAGTTATATACCGATGTCTCCTTCAGCTAACCATGCTTCAGGTGCACCTTTCATATCGATGCAGGCGCTTCATATACTCCGCAATCTGTATTTCATTACGTCGCGTATTGGACAAAACACCTCGTCTCAACATATGTTTGTGACTTTGACAGCAGCAGATATTCTCGCGCAATATCCAGATTTAAGTGAGAACTTCTTAAGAAGCATCAAGCCGAATGAAATCGGCCAGATTCCTGCCCATCCCCTTGAGAGATGCCTCGACCTATACTTTTTGAATACGTCAGAACTTTTCACCCCGGTCCTATCTTCGAAATTCAGCGAAGATGTTCTCGTTTGCGCCGCGGTTCCCTACTTGCCCGCTGGGGGAGATAATAATCTTCTCGAAATCTTTGAGGCTGCACATAGCGTGGTGCTCGCGGTATTCGCTATTCCAGGGAACGCACAGGTAGCAGCCAAACATCTTCCATTCTACATTGACAATCTTTTTGCTGTAAGCTAGGTCCAAACTTTGTAAAAGTTCGGGTGCTGACCAAATTTTCCAGGTATTCCCTGACAATCTGTCCATCCGCCAGTTCCGCCTCGCTTTTAGAACCGTTCTCCAAGTCACTGCTCCTCCGTCGCCAATCGCAAACACACAACGTCACCTGCCTTCTGTTCTGCTCGAAGTTCTTCACGACCGGGCACTGCACGCCTCGAACAAGGTTCTACCTCAACCTGCCGACTATGGTGCTGGATCAGAAACCAGCAAGACGCCACCACTCTCGGAGCAAGCTGCTCTCACACTTTCACTAATTGATGGTCTGAGCTTCCTTCGGGTGGAAGACTTAGAAGAATGGCTGCCTTTGACGGCCCAACTGATCAATACCATTCGTGAGACCGAGATGCGGACCGCCTGTATTGAACGATTCTGGGAGGCCTTGAGCGGTGGCGAGATGGACGTCGAGCGGGCATGTTATTGCGTAGCCTGGTGGAGCACTAAAGGTGGGCGTGAGCTCGTCCTCTTTGGAAATGATCCCAGTGCCGCCGAATCGGACCCCCAGGGTCCTTATATGAGCGGTGCAGTTGGAGGAGTGGCACCGGAAAGAGAGAGTAAACTTTAAAGTTCTTCGATGGTTTGTACATATTATGGGGGTTTGCTCCAGATCTAGTCGTTGTAGCGCATGGCGTTCGGTGTAGCATTTGATACCATCGCAATTTTATACAGCTGCCTCTAAGGCAGATACCATCTCTACATAGTCCATAGACATAGAGCATCCAACCTAGTACCTCAAGCACGATCCTAATCAATGAATGCCTGGGATTCCCACCCACGACCTCTTCTTGTACTCAACGTAGTCATCTCCAAAAAAGGCGATCAAGAACTTCTCTTCCCCTAAGCACAAATCCAAATCAGCACCAAAGCAACACGCATGCGAGCAAAGAAGGGAGCGAGGGAGGGAGACAAAGCTTACGAAAGATCCGACTAGAAAAGAACCTCCACAGCACCAAGGTATATCCGATGAAACAAACCACATTCCCCAGTACCAATTGCGTCCCTAATCCCCACCAAAAGAACCCAAAGTAGCTGGGATGACGCAGAACGGAATAGATGCCATGCGTAACGAGTCTATGGTCCTCCTTCCGCTCGACCTGCACCGTATGATTGAAATTACTTCCCGCTTGCACCATCGCCAACGTGCGAACGACCTGGCCAATAATCATCAGGACGAGGCCCAGCGCAACCTGAATCTTGAGGCCGGGTGCGATAGCTCCCCAGTTCAGGTAACCGGCGGTCGGCCAGAAGTGTTGGGCTAGGAGACATTCCAGCGCGGCGGAGATGTGTGCGACATTGTATGCCCAGCCATTAGAGGAGAGGAGGAAGGCGGAAATGTTGGCGTAGCGGGTGTTGTAGGCGGCTGTCACATAGTATTCGAGGAAGTGGAAGAGGGCGAGGGAGGCGAGGAAGAATGGGATACGCCAGAGGGGAATTTCGAGGAAGCAGAGGACAATGGTCAGGGAGCTGGAGAGGCCGAGGGTGGTGCCGAGTAGAAATGCCCGTAGTGAGATTCCGGCGAGAGATTTTTTGCCGTTGGGGTAGTTGGAGGGGTCGAGGGGGGGAGGTGGTTTGGATGTTGAGGTAGACATCGTTGCTGCTGGTCGGGAGGAGGTCCGGTCGATGGAGAAGGAGTTGGAGTTGGGTATTATAGGGTCCAGGGGGGTGGCGGAGGATGAGAGGACTGTATTTTGGGCCATTGTTTTGTCTAACATGAAGTTTGACCGTGCTTTAGAGTTCCGCAAAAGAGGTGGTTGTGAAAGGAGACGCGGGTGGTTGATTGGCGTCGTATTGGAGAGAGAGAGAGATAGCTTAGGGATTTAATGCGGCATGATTGAATAGAATGCCAACAATGAACTTGAGCTATTGGAACACCTCATGGAGAGAATGTTGAAACGAGAGAATGCAGACAAGAACAATCTGTCGGACGAAGAACAATATGAATACTATTCAACTGTCGCCGTAAATTAGTTTGTCTGGTTGGTCTTCCCGCTGCCAGACAAAGAAAAAGCCCACCCCCCGCCATTCATTTAGTGAAGGGCGGGATGAACACCTTAATCAACCAAAGTATCTTCTCAAAATCTACTGAAGTCAGTTCATGTGTTTGAAAATGGACTCCGAAGAAGCCCGATTAGCCAACCGGGAGAAGATGCGACAAGGGGAGCTCTACTACGCCTTTACGCGGGATTTAATTGCTGCTCGATCTCGTTGTACCAAAGCTTGCCGCCGCTTCAATCACGCCGAGGATGTCTCTCGTCGACGTCTTGTAGAGCTTTGGAGAGAGTGAGTACACACAAGGGACCCTTGCATACGCAATCCATACTTAATCTCCCCATCTTGTGTTCCATATTAAGATATACGTCTTTATACTCTCATCCTTGCGACAGCCGACCCATCGACCCATAAGCCAGAAAGTTGCGCTACCACACGGAATACTAACTAACTGTGGTTCAGCCTTGTCCAGGACAAAACTCCTCTGCCACTCCCCAAGGACGATCCAGAGGAAGATGAAGCTCTATTCGAGAATGAACCGTGGATAGAGGCTCCCATCCGAATGGACTATGGGTTTAATGTGAAGGTGGGTGAAGGCGTCTTTATCAATGCCAACTGCCACATTATCGACACCTGTCTGGTGACGATCGGGGCACGGACCATGTTCGGTCCCAATGTGCACCTGTACAGCGGAACTCATCCTTTGGACCCTGCCCTACGCAATGGAACCAAAGGCCCCGAAATGGGAAAAGAGATCCATATCGGGGAGGATTGCTGGTTGGCAGGGAATGTTACTGTTCTCCCGGGGGTGACAATCGGGAAGGGTGCAACTATTGGAGCCGGCAGCGTGGTCACGAAGGTACGGATATATTTTCCTCTCTATCACCGCCCTCCTTTGAACTCTGTGGAGACTTACGGTGCGCAAATCACATAGGATGTCCCGGCTTTCCATTTGGCTGTGGGCAATCCGGCAAGGGTCATTCGAAAGATTGAGACTGCGATGGAAGAGGATTCGTCAAGTTAGGCCCTTTGTTACCACCATACCTGGTTTAAATACTTTTTAGATGGTTACACCGATAGATCGTTGTGTTCTATTCTAAACGAAGGTCCTCATTGTATCGAACTCTGAGTCTATTCTTGGAGTTCAACACATGCCATAGCTACCCTTCAAGGTAGTACATACATTCATTCATTGCATTACGGAATGGAATAATGCATATGTCTCTTAAGGTCGACATAGCAACAAGACAAAGGGGATAAACTAACTAGTTAGTTACGAAGTATATTAGTTAGTAATCTAGACCAACGGGGCCCACCTATCAACAATTATCAATGTGCACCGAGTTGTGCACGGAAGCTAGAGTGTGGAATGTTCCTGTGGATCTTCGTTCGGGAGCTTTTTAAGGTTGGGAAATTTACAGGGTAACATACTAAAAGTAGTACTAAACAAAGACCATTGATTAGCGGAACGATGTCATACTTGTCAAATGCGGGCGAACTGGTTTGTATCCACCGGTCAAATTGAATCATTCATTGCACTGATGCAAGGTACAGCTGAGACCTTTCGTACCTTGTATACTACGAGTCATTAGTACTGACTTGCTCTGCTGGCTGAGCATCTGGAGAATGAATTAAAGTAAGGGGGTTATATATCAATTTACAACAACAAGGAAAAAAAAAGTTAGGAATTATCGAAGATATTCAGACACGAAGGTTTATTCGACTCATGTTCTCATGCTCATGCTCAGTGCGCCCTTGATTATGGTTTCTGAGAACCTTCGTGTTAGTAGAATAGCTTAGGGCCGATATTTCAAATGATGTCATACTCAATATTGGTAAATCAGTTGAATTTATTCTCAACCGTATGTATCTCTCTTTCTCATATCAGGTGGGATCACACATTACTAGTACTGTACCGTACGCAGATATGTAGTGGTACACACAGGCAAAAGTTCCTAGGGTTTCATGAAACAATAATGTTTGTTTCTTGTACGGAGTACATATTTCTTTCAAAGAAAAGAATAAATGAATGGACAATCTTCAAAGGAAGTATTTTCTTTTCCCCTGTTTTTCCCTTTTCCTTTTCCTTTTATTTTTATTTATTTTTATTTTATTTTATTTTATTTTTTTTAAACAAAAAGTAATAAAACAATAGTATACAATATCTCCGTAGCTGTGTCCAGAAGGGCCTTTTTTGGTTTTGCGGTGCCGCCAAAAAAATTAAAAAAGGACAGGAAAAAAGAAAAGAGCCAACAACTACTGAGCTTCTCCACTGCAACGTCAGAGCTGTTGCTCTTCTATGGTTCTTTGCTTTGCATATCTTTCCACCAACCTTTACGGAGAGCTATTCTCTTTCCTTTTGTTTTAATTTTTACCCTGGTTAGGTCAACTCACTGCCCCCCAGGCTACCATTTTCAGTTTACTTCTTTTTCTACCTCCCCTACTGTTACTCCTCATCCATGTTCAGGCTGAGCTGAGCGCTGCGTCTCCGCAAACCAATCATAAATAATTTTTATTTTTTTTTACCCGCATCATTCGCTCTTCCTTCCCGTCACTCTTACGACTCTCATCTTTCTCTTTCTCTCATCGCCTCTCTTTCCCTTCTTACTCGTGGGTGCTGGTCTTCCACTGCCTTTTTTTATTTGTGTTAAAACTTCAATTCATTCCTACTCCTTTGATTTCCTGTAGTTCCCCAGAGCAACACAGGAAAATGTCATGGCAGCTGCCCCGCTAGAGAGCTCTAGCACCCCGCTTGATCCTATATCGACCGACTCGACGCGTTCCCCTGGCGATCCCATGGAAGAAAGCGATCCTCAATCCACTCGGAAACGTCCCCGCCTCGACAGTGGAAGCGGCATCCGGCAGCCTTGGTCAAGTAACGACCCTGCTTCTCGAATATCCGAGCGGACTCCGGATGCTCCTGCGTCGTCGACCCGCCCGGCTAGCCGAATGACTATCAACACGAAGTCTCCAGTCGCCGATACTATGACATCTATTCCCAAAGATACTCCTGCTGATCAGTCAAACGCCCCCTCCCCCGCTCCCTCCGCGGATGACGTCGGCACCCGTCCCTCCAATGTTATATCCTTGTTGTCCTCTCCTACCCAGAGCCCGGAGATTGAAGTGGCCGAGCTGGAGGACATGGATCAAGATCCAAGTACATCGAGTTGGAAGCCGTTGGGCGAAGCGCTAGGAGATTCCGAGGTGGTTCAGCTTCATGAGCAAGCGTCTCTCACAGACACCTTCCCCAAGTTCCGCAGCGATCTCGATTTGCGAGACAATCTGGAGGAGATCGGTGCAATCATTGAGAAAGGTACGGCAATACCACCGGGTTCGTGCGAAGCTGAATAGATTGACTAATCTATTTGGTAGGGTCCCCGTCGGAGGCAACGCCGTTCTTCCTTGCTGTGAAGAACTGGATCGATGACGTCGCAAATAATCTAGAGCAGTTGACTTTTGAGGGCATATTGGACGAGCGGGACTTTTGGGAACAGCTTCCTGTTATTCCGGAGAGTCTACTGCGGAACTCGTAAGTGTCACTGAAAACATCCATTTGTCATAAATACTGACGAGCTGTAACAGACAAGACCTCCAGCCAGATGAAGGCAGGGGGCCTTGGGTATGTCTGGAGGAGTTTTTCCTTAACTATACTCGGCTTGCACTCCATATAGTCCGCCTGGATACTTTAGTCTTGGGCCAATTAATAGAAGACGCAGACCTGCAGGTATCGGACTTAATATCAAGAGCCTATCTTCCTTCACTTGGTTGGATGCTCCAGGTAAATGGTATACCTTTCTTTCGTACTGCGGAAAGGGTCCATGGCGTGGAAGTGATCAACATGGTTACTCGTCTGAACGACCACATTCTGGCTCCTCAGTTCAACGTGCTCCAGTGGCTCTCCGATTATGCCACCTGTGTCCTGACTTTGATACCCCGTTGGTCCCAACTCTCATCCCCTTTGGTTTCAGTTGTGACTATTGTGCACAACCTGATGGATTCCGGAAACGAGCGGAGGAAGTACCAGGCAGATGATGCCCTAATCAATTCCCTTACCTATCTACGTTCTATGAAAACAGCTTACAGCCTGATGCGGATCATAGACGAAAACTACCAGATGCATGTAAGCAAGAAGTCCTCCTGGATAACAAGCGACGTCAGTGATCCGATGCTCCGTTTTATATCTTGGGTTTACTTCACAATCGCTCTTCGCGGCCAAGACCTGGGCTTGGAGATCGCCAGGGATCTCTCCATTGCCGTACCTGAAGGTATATCCTCAGATGAGTGTGCTTCCATTATCTACTATGGGTGGAAATTTGCTGCCCTGAAAAAGCATATCCTGGACGGGCGTATGGAGCTGAGGGTCAACGGAATGGAGACTATGCAAATGGACCTGGTCAATGTGTGGCGGCAGTATATTCAAAACGACCCAGCAGGGATTGAGCATCCCGTCGTGCAATACCTCGTCAGGTTTTTACGGGAGAATGAAATCGTCGAATATATCGTTAGCATTGATTCTCACCCTCAGCTTATCAGCAGAAGTGGCAACATTGTTGGCTTTTTGATTGTAACATCCACATACACCGACACCGACACCGATACAATCTGGAAGGCCGTGACAGAGAGCTCTGATCCCCGAACGGTGTCTGAAATACTCAGAATGCTTACGAAAACCTTTCAAATGCATTTGCCAACTTCTCCAGCGCTGTTGTGTTTGTGCTCAAAACTTCTTGAATTGCCTCTTTCCCGGTTTGATTCACGCATGGTGGATTTCTGTGAGCAACTTCTCCTTCACGTACGTGAAAAGCACCGCGAGAGACATCAATTGTTGGACGAGCCGCATGTAGACGCTGTCCCACTGCGTTTGTGTGTACGCCTCATTCGTGAAAGTGCTGCAGCGGACGATCTTCCTGTCGAGCATAAGGCTATCCTCCAGAAATTCTCAAGTTCGCAGCTTACCTTGTTCATGGATGTTGGACTCAGCGAAATGGACAAAATGGAAACATATGAACGTTGCGTCCAAGACCTTGCCGAGATGAACCAGTTCACCGTTGGCAGCATACAGGCTTTGAATGCCCTAGTTCCCAGCTATGATACACAAGAGATACGAAAGCTTGCTATGGACTTTGACCTGACACGCTTGTTGATAAATGAATTGGCTCATACCGTGGACATGAACCAGACGGACTTCACAGAGCCCTTCTCACGGAACGGCTTTCTTTCGCGCGTCCATCTACTGGCCCGCATTATTGACAAAGTCCCGGACTCCATAACCACTGATTTAGGTGATTTGCTGTGGAGAAGGATCCTAATGGCGAAAACTCTTGCCCAGCAAGGCAGACGGGCACTTTGGGACACCCTGTGTGCACTTACCAGACATAGTACGAAGAGCAATCCATTCATTGAACGCTGTATCCACGGGTACCTGTCCGAACTGTCCCCTTCCGAAGACTACTTTTTCGAGGTCCTCTCATTTGCAAAGCAGGCAATCAACTACGAGGTTCGCTTCAACCCTCCGCCCATTGCCGGTGATAATGAGGTCATCTCAATCCCAGGGGTAGACCGAATATGGGATTTTATTTTGACAGCTCCACCCGACTCGATCGAAACCGATGCCACTAATTTTGCCATTGAGGTGTATCTCGACCATAATATTATTAACAGATCACCACGGTCTGCAGTTGAAGCAACTCATGTTGCCTTGGTAGATCGCTGCGTTGACCAACTGAAGTCGGCTGCCTCCAAGTTGAAGTCTGCCCGTGGCCAAGGTACTATTGGTACTAGCGATTCGATGGCTACGGAGGTCCCTGAAGAGGAAACCCAGGCGGAAGAATTGAGGTTTAGCCGTTCTCTGCTCTTTCTGCGTCAGTTCCTCCAAGGCCTGCGCAGTCGACCCCAGTACAGCCCGCCCCAGAACTCGCCGCCAGGCTTGCCCGGTAAACCTGTAAAAGGCGAGCTAGTCAATATCCGTTATCAAGCTTTTGACGGCAGCACGCAGTCTAAAGTCCGCTCGTTGCAAATTGGTGATCTCTCAACTGCATCCGAATTCGTTGAGAAGCTTGTACAAATCACCGGTTTCACAAAACTTAACACTATCTATAGTGGGCATAGGATTGATCTTCTTGAAAAGCCTACTCTCACCGTACGAGACCTCAAACTGAACTCGGGACTGCTAATTGTTCGCCGGGACCCTGACAGCCGTGAGGTTACGCTGACAGGACGGCGTCAGTCTCTGACATCGGTGGATTCTGAAGTTCTTAAGCATTTTGATGATCTTTATGATCTTTTAGGTCTCGAGGACCACTTAGCTCGAGAGATTTACGACTTTCTTGTTGTCTTCCCTCCCCAGGAAAGGGTCCTGCAGTTAGTCAGGTCTACCGAGAAATCTGATCAAGACGTATTCCCTATGGGTAAGCCCTATAACTTCCTCTACTCAGTAAATGCGCTTTCTATATGCCTGAGAGAGGAGGCATTAGAGTCATCGCCAAATCAAGCATTTGTGTCTCATAGCGTTCGAGTTTTGGTTGCTGCTTTAACACGGTCCGAAATGACTGATTCATGGGACAATTGTCCAATGAAGCTCCTTTTTGCGACTAGTTTGGTTGAATGTCTCCTATACGCTCTCCTTGTGAAGCCGGCCCTAGCCGGCGATACAGCCTTGATTCCAGATTCGACAGCTTTAGTCCGGCAGTTGCTTCATTTGATGGAGGTTGGGCGGCGTTCGTCGACGGGTCGTCTTTCGGAGCTTGGTATACACAAGCTAATCTGCAACTCCTTTGCAATCATGATCGAAGGTTCTGTTCGCGACCCCGAGTTTTGGGCTGTCTTAAAGCAGGAAGCAAAATTCGACCAGCTTCTGTTTTCACTGCTGTTAGATCAGGACCGCCAGCCTATTCGCAAGGGCATTTCGGAGAACATAGCTGTTGCCTGTAGTCCGTCCAAGTTGCTCAAGAAAACAGGGAAACCGGAAGTCCCAGAACAACGACAGGCAACGACTTCCGAGAATCCAGTCAGAATCGATATTCTCGCTACAATCTGGGAAGCCTTTGTGCAGAACTTCCCCCGGACACTGGGCTGTGTTCAGCAGTCCCAAGAGTTTTTCGAAATCGCTCACTTAGTATTCCAATCGGTTGCGGAAAAGTCACCGCGTGACCTTATGTTGAGCGAATATCTCAAGCAATGGAGTGCCATTTTGTTGAAGCACCAAACCGAAGAGTTTGTTGGACGAGAGCCTGTCGACCATTTACTTCTAGGCTTTTGCCGTCTCCTGAGATCGTGCTTAGACTTCGCAAGCTCAACCAATGCCACAGTGGATACGTTTGATCTCGCTGAGAGCTTGTTTGACAAGTACCTCTTCCCGGATCTTTCGGAGTCAACATCCCTTGTTGCCATCACCCCTCAGACGCCCGTCATGCACGCATCTTCTCGGCAGGAACTGTACAGTATTCTGAACCTGCTCTGCAAATACGACGAAAACTACGCTAAAGTCGTAGAGCGCTTGAGTGATCTCATCCCTGAAGACTATACATATTCACCAACCTGGTGTTTTGATCGCTACAAAATGATCAGATCGCCAGAAGGGTATGCCGGGTTGAAGAATCTGTCCAACACTTGTTACTTGAATTCGCTTTTAACTCAGCTTTTTATGAATGTTCCCTTCCGCGACTTTATGATGAGGCTTGATCTTGTGGATCCTCTTGACTCCCAGATATTACTTGAGGAGACAAAGAAGGTTTTTGGCTATATGCAAGAAACGTGGCTTAAAAGTGTCGATCCACAAGGGCTAGTGGACTCAATAAGGACCTACGATAATGAGCCAGTCGATGTCACGGTACAAATGGATGTTGACGAGTTCTATAACCTGCTTTTCGACAGGTGGGAGGCTCAGATTACCAATGCGGAAGACAAAAAGCAGTTTCGCTCATTTTACGGTGGTCAGCTAGTGCAGCAGATCAAGTCCAAAGAGTGTCCCCATATCTCGGAACGCCTTGAGCCCTTTTCTGCGATTCAATGCGATATCAAGGGTAAAGCTAGTCTAGAGGAGAGTCTTCAGGCGTATGTCGAAGGAGAAATCATGCAAGGAGATAACAAATACTCCTGCACTTCGTGTGGAAGGCATGTTGATGCTGTGAAAAGAGCCTGTTTGAAAGATGTCCCGGATAATCTCATATTCCATCTCAAACGCTTCGACTTTGACATGGTTACGATGATGCGGAGCAAGATAAATGACGAATTTCAATTTCCAGAGCACATTGATATGAGCCCGTTCAAAGTCGAGTACCTCTCAGATCCAGACGCGGAGGTTCAAGAAGACCTTTTCGAATTGGTTGGTGTTTTGGTTCATAGCGGTACAGCTGAATCTGGCCACTATTATTCGTACATCCGTGAAAGGCCTACTGCTGATGCTAGAGGCTCGTGGGTTGAGTTCAATGATTCAGATGTCACTCGGTTTGACCAGTCCAAGATTGCAGACCAGTGCTTTGGTGGTTATAATGACTCTATGAACAACACTTCCATGGGCCAAGTCCGGTTCAACAAAGTGTGGAATGCTTACATGCTATTTTATCAGCGTGTCTCGAGTATGGAGTCTTCCAAGGCGATTTATAAACCAACAACCAGCCATTGCCCCGTTCATGTGCAGGTGCCAGTGCTTCTTGCCAACCACATTATGATGGAAAATGAGATCTTCATACGAGCCTTTTGTCTGATGGATCCATACTACGCCATGTTTGTGCGACACCTTCTATGTCAGCTTCATGACATAAGGGACATTCATACTGTTGGTGATTCTAAATTGGACAAATGTATTATTTTCATCGCTTTGGATACACTTGAGCAACTTATCTCAAGGAACAGAGAGCCACTGGGACTGGATGCGGTTGTGTCTGAGCTGCTCAAGGCAGTCACTGAACTTCCTAAGGCGGCTTACAGAGTTTTACAGTGGGTTGCAGAAAGACCAGCCGGCATACGCAATCTAGTGCTGAAGTGTCCCCATGCAGCTGTTCGAAACAGTTCAATAAGGATATTCATAAGTGCGCTTTCAAAGCTGCAAGACCTGTGCAACAATGTTGGGCAGGAAGAGCGCTATAAAGACAAATGGCATAAGCGGTATTTGGATGGCTTCGAGAATGTGGTTGCAGCATTGCATGGCCTCTGGACAATGTTGCACACTGCAAGCAGGGCATGGGATGACTACTTTGAATTCCTTTTACTGCTTGCAAGTTTTGGGTCTCTTGAGGCCGGGATGGTGCTCAGTTACGGATTTCTTTCGAAATGCCTGGAAATCGTGTGGCTTGATCGTGATGATTCAAAGAGACTGAGACGCCATTACATTGCTTATTGCAAACTCCTTGAAAAGGGAAGAAGATTCTCACATAGGAAACTCACCGATCTCCTGTCTGTCTTGCTACAGAACATCGACTTTTCTGCGTCACCTACGCCGGGTGATGAAAGACAGACCTTACCCGACAATAGGTACTCTCTTACAGTTGCGGAAAGCGACCTTCTTCGGCCTGTTGGGAGAAACAATGAGCTATTAGTTCTGAAGAAGCTTCTTCAGCAATACAGCAGCCCGCAAGCATGCAGAAGCATTGTTGGAATACTTGTTGATGCGGAGTTCGAGGCTGGCCTCACGGATCCAATATGCAAGGCGCTGGAGGATGGCTTAAGAGTCGCGCCTGCTGAACTCTGTGCTCCGTTCTTGGAAGCTACCTTGATATTCTGTCGACGGAGTACTGATGAAGAAAGAATCGTTTCTTTGATTGACTACGTTGCGAAGGGGGTGGAGTCTATCAATGACAGCGGGGGTAAAGAACACCTCGCATTCTTCACAAGCATTATGGCGTGCCGCAACGAGAGACTTGATCTCAATGAGGCATGGTTTCTATCCCAGCTCATAGATAAAATCCCAGACTGGGCTCCGACATTGCTCATGTTCCCAGACAGGGCGGTCAGAAATATGACCATGGAATTCTTACGCCGGATATTATTCACGGGAGAGGCTAGCGACATCAGCGACGACTGGCAATCACGCCATGCACAAGCGGCCAAGGAGCTGGTTCATGCAAGTATCAGCAGGTTGAGAAGGACTTACCTCTCAGCCTCTGGGAGCAACGTTGAAGCGAACGTTGTAGAGACAATCAAGACGGTTGTTGAACACTGCTTAGTTACATACTTTGATGACAGTGAAGACGAGGAATTTGTCCGTCAGGCGCAAGGTATGTTATCATCTTTAATTAACTATAGCCTAGTATTTCACTCTTACTAATGGCGAACATAGCCGTCCTCGGAGCTATTGAGGAATTAGCTGTTGATATGCCTGAAGAGCTGGCTTCCGGTAAGTATCCCATTTTATTGCATCCTTATCAGCGTCTAACCCCGGGGGCCTCAGAATCTGATGTACCTTCTCCAGAGGAATGGGAAGACCACTCAGCGATGGCAAGCGATTCGGAAATGGGAGTTGCAGGCACTCCATGAGGCCCTGTATGCAATATATCCCCGAAATTCTCCCATTGTATCATGATGAAAGATGAGCCAATGAAAGCTGCTTGAGAAGAGCGGAGGTATCTCCTTTCGCCTTTTGCTCTTTACCTTCGCTGTGTTTGGGACTGCATTGATCGGCGTTTTGTTTGCCCATCCACACTAGAATTGGGTTCTCTGATTCTGAACACTGTACAGGGAAAGGATTCTGTCTCTTATGTTTGTTCTTTTTTTTTTCATCTTTATTATCTTCGGCCATGTGTTAAATAAAGAAAGGGTAATGGTGGTGTTGTTCTGCAAGAGCTTGCATTGCTTTCGTTGGAGGGCCTTCACGGGTTGTTTCTGCGTTGTCCCTTTGATGAACCAGGGAACGATATTGCTTGATTGAATGACTGACGGTTGCAAATGAGACGTTTAAGGCAGCGGTTCCTGGATAGTCCTCAGATCTATGGAACAATTAGAGGGCCTATCTTAGAAAGAAAGCAGGACTTTCACTTGAATGGATTGGTCTCTTCGGAGAATAGTACTTGTGAATTTTGTTTCGATTATTTTCTCTTAAGCCTCCGTATAATACAAAGATGTCTTGACTGATACCTCGAGCTAACGAGAACGTTTGGATAAAGTCAAGGCAAGGCCAGTAAGTCTCTACGCCGATGGGAAGAATTCAAGAATGAGAAAAAAAAAACAAAGGCCGAGTCTATTCATGTTCCCCTTTTAAAGCTTGGTTAGGTAAATATCATACATATATACTCCTGTTCTTCCGTCATTGTGTTGTTACTCTCCGACAGAACACCTTCTCCCGGGCGCCTGCGCCGACAAGGGTTGAAGCCAACTGCATGGTAGATCATAGGGTATGCTTTCAGCGAAGCTTCTTCAAACATCCTCAAATTCCTCGTCGTCATCTTCATCGGACTCTTCTTTCTTGACATCCGGTTCAACTTTGACCCTCTTCGCTGTTGGGCCTTCGTCGGTAGCAGATGGTGTTGCCGAAGCTGTTTGAGGAGCACTGGTTCCAGAGTCTGTGTCGAACTCGCGCTTGATTCCTGTGGACGTTGTATTCGTAGGTGCACTGGTAGGACCAGCGCCAGTCCCGCCAACAGCCGGTGACGCAGTGTCGCTCGCAGAAACACCACCAACGTCCTCGAACTCTTCGTCGAAGTCGTCGGAATCCTCTTCTGCGCTGCTGGAATCTTCCTGGGCCTGAAGGGCCTTTTCCCTTTCCATTTCGGCATAGTAGGCGGCGACCTTGTCGTCGAGGGCATCGAGATCCGGCTTTCGATCTTCTTCCTCCTTGATCTCGGACTTCACATCGACGTCCGTCTCCGTCTTCACCGTATTGAGATTTCCAGCACCTGTAGACACGGTCGAGTGTGTATGCCACACTGGCAGCGCATTCTGCTTCTCCACAGCGGCCTTGCGTGCGGCCTCTTCCGCTTGCTCGGCGGCGCTCTTTTCTTCGCTAGATGTGAGGGAGATCTCAAGAGCCCCGGCATCGGTCTTGGTATTACCGCGAACGGCTTCCTGTTTCTTAGATGGCACGACAACTGCAGCTCGTGTTGGGTGAGTGGCCTGGTTTCGCACGACATCGATCTTATGATCCCACGCGGTATCGAAGTCGTTCGGCGGGATTTCGACAGAGTCGATTTGTTTAAGCAACTTCAGCATAGTGTCCAGTTGAGCCATGAGCTTGCTATTCTTCTCGTGGCCAGTACGGTCAATCCCTTCCGCCCCCTTGACATCTTCTGTCCGCTCGAGGATAGCCCCGCAGTTTTGGCATTCGAACCCTTCCTCAGAGTACAAGCTCAGCACGTCAAGTTCCGTCCATTCTGCCCCGCATCTTAAACAGATATACTCCTTCCGTTCCTCGCTCGGCGTATACTGAGCCTTAATAGTCGATGTTAACTTCGAGATCTTGAACTTAATAGCGTCGACGACCGGGTGTAGCGGGATGTAATAGTATTCACGGTTCACGGGGCGAGTCGAGCCGTCCCGTATTTCTGCTCGGGTATTACTGATGGATCATGTCAGTATTGCCACTGTCCAGCATAATGCGGTGCTGCAGGCCAGTCATACACTGATATTAAGCGATCCTCGCGCAATTTGGCGCATAGCTTCCGGAGGTCCTTCTGTTGCATGCCTAAGAGAAAGGCGAGGTCTTCGGCATGGAGTCTAGACAATAGATACCAACAGTTAGAGCTGATGCTGTGAATGGAATGGAATTCTTTATGGGTCCAGATATAGTGAAGCATACACCGAATGGATAAAAAGCGCATCAACCACCAAAATGTGGCGGGTCTCGTAGAAGGCGCGGACTACAGTCCGAATGAGCGTATTCGCAAGATCCATGTTGGTATCTAAAAGACGCCCCGATAGGAAGGGAAGGTAAGGCTTGACTTTGACTTTGGTTGATGAGACGGCGTTGAGGCGAGTTCAATCGCTGCTGAGCGCAAAGGTTCTCGATATCCCAAACAAAGGTCAGCGCAAAACGAGTAGCATGGCTTTTTTGAATTCTGGATGCCAAGGTAGAGCGGAAGATGAATCAAAGATTATGAGTAGAAGCTCACACGAAACAATCCAACAGCCCGCGACGCTCTATCTGAGAATACCAACGTAGATAAGAAAAAGCAACAAATGAGGTTAACGGGAAGTAAGGACGACCACCACCAGCGCTGTAGCGGATGAACTGCCCGCGGCATCCATTCTTGCCTGAGGCCTCCATATGAGCTACCCCAGTCAGGCTTAGTGGAATATGGAATCTGCACTAACCCTACTACGGTTAGTGCATACGGAAATTGAATCGCAGGCCCAGGAAAAGGCACGAATCCCAAGTATCGACGACGCAAGTTTTTCCCCTCGGGACCCGCTTCTTCATGCGTAGCTACGTCTCCGCGCGTCAATATTTGACAGGCTTTCTTTGTCGATCTTTTCCGCCTGTCACCTCGCAGCGGCATTTCGCATCTAATACACCGCTATCTAACTTGCGGAGATCATTGGAGCCATGGACAATAACGAAGGAAGAGCTAGCGGACCCCAAGAAGCTGATCGCAAGCGTAAGAAGGGGGATCTGGGAAGGGCAGAGTGGAGGTATGTCTCGCGGCTTCTGGGGTACATATTCGACAGTCACCGGCTAACCAAGCAAGTCGGCAACCGCTAGATAAGAGAGGACGGTTAGATAAAGAGAATGAGGCCAAACGACAGAAGATCGAAAATGGAGAGGAGGTCAAAGCTCCAATCTACGCCACGCATTTCTCCCAAGAAGACATCGAGAATGAACAAAGACGGCCGAAGAAGAAGGTGGCTGTACTCCTGGGATACTCTGGAACGGGCTACAAGGGAATGCAATTGTACGGACAAATGTTAGATTCTGTCTACTTGGACGGGTGCTGATCGTCTACAGGAGCACTACTGAGAAGACCATCGAGGGCGATCTCTTCGCCGCGTTTGTGGCTGCCGGGGCTATCTCCAAGGCTAACGCAGCGGACCCGAAGAAGTCGTCGCTGGTGCGATGCGCCCGTACAGATAAAGGAGTCCATGCGGCTGGTAATGTCGTGTCGTTGAAGTTGATTGTCGAGGATGAGGATATTGTTCAGAAGATCAACTCCCACCTTAGCCCGCAGATCCGCGTTTGGGGCATTCTGGTCGCGAGCAAGTCTTTCAGCAGCTATCAGATGTGTGACTCTCGTATCTACGAATATTTGATGCCTAGCTACTGCTTTTTGCCGCCACATCCCAGCACTTTTCTCGGTAAAAAGATTAGAGAGATCGCCGAAAAGGAGGGCGATTTGGAGGCACACAAGGCCCGACAGGTAGAGGTCGCTAATTACTGGGAAGAGGCCGATGCGAAATATATCCAACCGGTTATCGACAGCTTGGATGAGGATATCCGCGAGGTCGTCATGAATGCAATCTATCATGAGAAGCCTGACGATGAATCATTCGAAACCGACAAGGGCGAGGAACAAGCTCAAGCCGCAGAGGGAGGAGCAGATTCCACCACAAAGCCCGAACTCACCGAAGCCGAGCAGGCTCACAGGCGGAAGATCATTGATGCAGTCAAGGCTGTGAAGGCTGCATACAATACCGCAAAGCGCTCTTACCGTATTCCTCCCGCGCGCGTTGTCCGTCTGCAAGAGGCGCTGGATAAATACGTTGGAACTAAGAACTTCTATAACTACACCATCCAGAAGTTGTTCAAGGACCCCTCTGCAAAACGCCACATTAAATCCTTCAACGTCGACCCTAACCCGATTATCATCAATGGCACCGAGTGGCTCAGTCTTAAGGTCCACGGTCAGAGCTTCATGATGCACCAGATTCGGAAAATGGTGGCCATGGCCACCCTTATGGTACGCTGCGGCTGCGATCCCAAGCGGATCGTTGACTCTTATGGACCAACCAAGATCCCAATTCCTAAGGCTCCCGGTTTGGGGCTGTTGCTGGAACGTCCCATCTTCAATGGCTACAGTAAAAAGGCGCAAGAGCTTGGAAAGAAGCCCATCGACTTTCAGGAGTATGCCACGGAAATGAACGAGTTCAAGCAAAGAGAGATCTATGACCGCATCTTCCGCGAGGAAGAGGAGACTAACGCGTAAGTTCTCAGCTATATATTCCATGCATGCATTGAAACAGTTCAGCTAACATTTTTAAAAAAAAGTTTCGCTTCATTTTTCAACCACATCGATCACTTCCCTCAAGAAGAATTCCTATACGTTACATCCGGCGGTATTCCAGCCGCGAAACCTGCGACTCAACCTTCGGCGGCTACGCAAGATGCTCAGAAGGGCCGAAAGTCTCAGAAAGAGGCCCTAGCGGAGATTGAGGAAGAATCTGAAGATGAGGGCAATCTTCCCAACAATGGAGAAGAGGGTGGTTAGATTCTCAGCTATATATGTACATAGTAATAAAAGAATTTGTCTTTCACTTCCAGATACATCGAATCTCTTATCAGGTAACATTAGTCTTGCGTTCCATCAAGCTGCAAAGTGTGTTTTGATTAAAAGGTTGTGAATATATAAATAGTTTGGCTATATTTCTGTAGGATTCATGACTATCCCTTCAAGTTGTATCAAACGAGTAGGTAGTACTCCCAGCTTACCACATTCTAGTGTTAGCACTCGTAATATATCCAATGTTCGTTAGGCTCGAGGTCATCATAGGCGTAAGGTTGGAGTTTTTCACGACCGAGTTGTACATGATTATAGCTATATATTTACCAAGCCAGAGGTAGACGACACATACGTCAGTTACAAGGTCGACCATGGAAAAAGAACAAACTCAATTATTGACGGAAGAAGAGAAAGGCGCTATGTATCATTAATGTACGACAGAATGCAACACGACGCTCGGTGCTGGTGAAAATTGGACTTTAGACAGAAGGAAACACAAAAGGAAGTCAAGTGATACATCATCGGTTGTACACCAACACCACAGAGAAAAAGAAGTGGACAAAAAAAAAAAAGACAAAAGAAAGAGCAAACAAATCAAGAATGCACAATAGAAGGATGAGAAGACAAGGCCAATATGACAAGTTGTAACACAGAAGAAGATTCAAAGACGGGTAGAAGTCAATCCAACCAGTTGGCGGGTTTAGAAAATCAAGGAGCGCGCTTTCTGGCGTCGAGTGTCCGCACTGCGAACTTCGGGTTGCGACTGGGTGTAGCGATGCTTAGCTCGTGGCGGTGCGGCTGCCGGCGCCGGCGCCGTGGATGTCGGTGGAGGCGCAAGATCTTTATCTTTTTTGACGGGTGGGGGAGGAGGCCCATCGAAACGTCGATCCGTCGTTTCCCGTCTCGTCTTGACGCTCCGCTCACGCTTGAGTACGAGCTCGGTCCACTGCTTAACTTGACTGCTTCCCGAAGAGCCCTTACCCACAGCGTCGGCCAATACTTTCATCCAGCCTTCCTTGTCGGCGGCACTATCCGCATAAAAGTCGATCACTTCGCCGTTGCCGAAGCGGATACGGAATCCTTCTTCCACAAACATGTAACCCTCCTCCTCTTCGGCAAAGGCAGACTTGCGACGTCCACCGCCCTTGGTTGTGGTCTCCTTCTGCATCAAGGACGATCTGTCATCGATAAGCTTGGCGGCCTTTGAGAGGTTGATTGTCGCACGAGGCTGACGGGTGGTCTCATGATATGCGGTCAATTTGGAGCCTTGGAGTTTGAAGAAGCGGCGACGCCAGAACTGCCAACGAGAAGTTAGTGGGCCGATTTATAGGGAATATGAGTGAAGAGAAACTTACGGGACAGTCGCCTCCCTGCTGAGACAAGAATCCTTCCCAGCTACGGGATGAAACACTCTCCGCTTCACGCATTTCTCGAATGCAAGCGTTCATGCTCTTCGGCATATCATCATCCTTCGCACCTTTTGGCTTGGGGACAAACAACAGCTGCAGCTCTAGCTTGCCAATCTTGTACGGAGGCCGCCGTTGGGAAGTAGCGCTAGAGGTACTCTTCTTGCTCTTAACACTGCTTGGCTGGTCTTCAACGGCCCATTCATTGAAGCAGGCCACATCGACCGTGTAAGGGCGGCCGAAAGCATGTTTTTCATGATCGCTCAGCGCTACATATGCACGAGCGAAACTACCGTCTCTAGCAATCAGAGTTCTGAGGCGCTCCCAGACACCTGCGTTGACATCTTTACTCTTCTGCTGTTGGGAAGCCAGTTGGTGTTTCATGTCCAATTCCTTTCGCTTGCGAGGGGAAGCAAACACCCTGCTGAAAGTGGACGTTTTCTGTCGCGCGGGCGATGCTGTTGGAGGAGGCTCTTGGACTCTGAATTTTTCATCATCGACCTTCATCTGTAAAGTCAACTGAAACTCTAGGTCGTTTTGCACAATCAATTCGAATTCCTGCCCGACCGGGGCTGTCTTTCCGAGTTCCAACCAAGCCGTAGTAACGCAGTGAAGGCCGTTGTCGAGGGTCAGAGAGAAGTACGATCTCTCGCCTGGATTATATTTAGAGGATGTCGCTCATGCGTATAGTGGCATCGGGAACTTACCTCGTGGGAGCGGCAGATCTAGATACTTCATCCCAACGACCTTGACGAATAGACGACCTCGCTCTTCTCCTTCATCCAACGCCCCATTCAAAGCAGGCTCGTTTTCTTCGATTGTCGCTGGGTTTTCTTGGACATTGCTCTGCTGGCCTGGAAGAGGGGGCACAGGTCCAGGAACAGGCTTCTTGCGGATTCCGCTAGCTTGCCTAATGCTTGCACGGCGAGTTTGTCCGTTCCAAGGCACAGTGGTCCATGTTTGCTGGCTTGCTTTCCGGGGTGTGGGTATAGCCGACTTTGTCCCTCTAGAGTCGGCCGGGGCAGCTCCAGGAGCAGTGGCAGGCTCGTCTTCATTGCGGCTGCTTGCAATGATAACTTTCGTGTTATGTCTCATGAGGTAACCTCTCTGTTTAGGGCATGGCTCGTTAGCAATTGGGTCCATATCATTGCCAAGGGGCTTCTGCATGTGTCCATTGGGCCCAGAACGGGAGTATAATTGGGAAAGGGATAATTCAAACGCAACCTTTTGGTTTTCAATGACGCGGTCGAACTCTTTGTCCAAACCAAAGCCGAGGCTTTCTTCTTGGATACTGAACGGGATGTCCAGCTTCACAAGACTGCTTTGTCGTTGGGAAACGTCTTTCGCAGGCTGGGATGGGGTGGTGTCCTCGGGAGCGGAATGCTCAGATTCGTTGGATTGCTGCTTGGTGAGCCCGGGCATTGGCGGAGGATGTTGTCCGCTTATTCTACGGCGAGTGGCAGCCATGGATTCCAAATCAGCTGGGGTCAATGACGGTCGTGTTTTAAGACCCGTTCCAGGGGCTTTGACTGTCGCAATTGGATCAGGAACACTTTCTTCCGGTAGAACTTCTGTATCGCTATCATCGTCAATAGGATGACGGATCACAGAATCTGGAGTTGAGGGCTCTGAGATTTGGCCATCATCCTCGGGGGTTACTGGGCGTTGCAATGCCTCTTTGATGGTTGACATTTTGGAGCCCGGTGCGGGCTCTGCCTGGGTCTCCTGGGGTGTCGCCTCGCACAAAGCCTTGTCATCCTGATCTGCAGGGACGGGCGTGGCCTTTCCTGCGTCAGAATTCCGAGAGCTGCCTTTCTCTGTCAAGTCATCCTCCATCTGCTGGCTGGAATACCGGCTCTCGTCATCGCTGGTCAGCTTATCCTTTAGACTCTTGAAGGAGGAATCCTTCGACGGAATTGTTCCATAATAATCGGGGATGTCGTAAAGATCGTTTTCATGTTCTTCTTCTTGTTTGATTATCACGCTATTGGTGTCATCGTAATCGTCGCCGTCGTCAAGCATGTCATCATCATTTTCAAGTGACGGAATCGGGACATCTGGGTCATAATTCATATAGGAATGAGGGCTGGAAGGGATCTGGGAAGACTCGTCAAACGAGTCGTCCATGAAGCTTTCGCTTCTTCGGAGGTCACGCAGGATATCATCCCTGGAAATATGTGGTGGTGAAAAGACCTCTGGGGCAGCTTGGGGAGCTTCATCTGTAGCCTCAGTGTCCTGCTGCTCTGGTTGATTGGAGTGAGGTTCAGTCCCGTCTTGTTCGTCATCATCATGCTTCGAATGCACCTCAATATCTTGATGTTCCGGTTTAACATCCTCCTGTCCGTTCTCTTGTATCATCATCAAGCGCAGCCTGTCCTCCAGCGGCATCGAGGAATGGCCAAATTCTGTGATTTCTGATTTGCTGTAGGAAGCTGGTCCTGGAGGGGATGGCAGAACCCGCTGACCACCACTCCCGAGCTCAAATGCCGAAGCCAGCTTACTGGGGGACGAAGGCTGTGGCGGGAAAGATGTACGCCCTGGGAGAGGAGGAAGGGGGCGAGGCTCGCCATTTGAGTCCACAGATTCAACAGGAGCCTGTTTCTCAGATGTCTCTTGTCGCGACGAAGGCCGGGGATCCGGATTATGGCTTTCCTCATCTTCAGTGAAGGGGTCTTCGTCCTCTTTGACCAATTCGTCGTTTGCGCTGGATGGACTCATGTAACGCCAGTCCTCTGGCAATACGACTGGGGTCTTCTCAAGGTCCTCTAGAGAGGCATCAAAGCTATCCTCGCGGTCTGTTAGTGAGTCGCGATCGAAACTGATGTCCGGGAACTCGTCCTCATCAGACTCATAGCTGCCTTCGCGAGAATCAGAGGCGATGGAAGACGGGTCGGGTGTTGTCATTTCGTACTCGTTGACCTGAGGGGGGGCGGCATCGAAGGTGACGCTTTTAGCGTGTCTGTTGTCCGCATCAGACCAGATTTCGTTCTCTGGGTCAAACCCCATGTCCTTAACGCCAAAACGGCTTGCACGGGACAAAGACGACTTGGCTGGAGGTGCCTGCTCCTTGCTTGGTGATGGCGGCCTTGGGCCTACTGGGCCAGTTTCTTGCCTGTTCGACATTTGCGACGTTGGTGTGCTTTGCGCTTCTTTCTGCGGCGAACGCGTTGTAGCTAAGGGTCTGTGCGGTACATAGACATTTGTTGGGTCGTACTCCTGGTTATAGTCGCGGAGCATGTTGCTATTCCTGACGCGCGACTGCCGCTTCAAGTTTTCAATAGATGGTCGCTTCGAGCTGGAAAATGGAGACTCGGGGTCATAAGGGACTTGGTTTTCTTGGGTTCTGGGGAATGGAGATCCAGATTCTCGCCCTTGCCAAAACAGACGCGGGGACGCTTTGACGTCGTAAGCGTCCGTACTGTTCCTCGCCATCTGCGCGACCACCGTCAGCCCTGTAAACATCTTACAAAGAGTAGTAATCACGTACCTTTGTGCTCTGATTCCAGACAGGCGAGTTTCGTCGTTGAGCCATTGGACTCACTTCGGAAAGTGGGCGTTGGCCAGTACCACTACCCATCTTGACCGGGAATTTTTATTCTGTTGTGATGCAGCCCAAGACAAGTGAGGAGAAAAAAAGCGCTGGGTTAAGATGTCAGTGCCGCTTGTTTCCTCATCGCATAGTTCGGATGAAACATAAGAATCTCCGACGTTGACATCCCTTGCTGCTGGAATGACGCGCCTTACCTGATTTTGATAAACAACAACAACAAAAGCTGAGAAGACAAAGTCGCTTTGAAATTCAAGATACGAAGTCAATTTAAATTGAGTTGGGGAGCGCTTGATTTGTTCGTAACAATCGTAACAGGCTTGCAGGAATGCGTCACAAGGGGGAGGGAAATAAAAAAGAAAAAGAAAAAAAAAAAAATAGAGCCGAATAGTAGCACGTTCAGAATAATTGCCGATCCGTTAGTGTTGGAAGTCCCTTTGTTCCGTGTAATGGAGGGATAGTAATGCGATAACGAAGGGATATAGAAGGACGTCCGATGGGATGAGATAGGGCAACAAAAGAAATGGAAATACAAGGGAGGGGGGGAACCAAAGTACACCACTGCATCCACCACCGGACCACGGAAAGGAAGTAAAGAGACCGCAGGATGAAGAGGTAAATAGACTTTGTTAAGTAGTAAGACATTGGGACTTGGATGGCGATGGTGGAGGTCGAGGTTCCATGTTGACATTTGCTGGCGGGAGTCTCCATAGCAACACTGGTTTCGGCCTCGCCGCCTGAGCGCATTGGTGGCCTTGACGCCTGGGGCCCTGGGCGCGGCTCCGATCGTGTTAAGCCTATCCAGGACTAGCGTGGGATCGCCAGGTGCTCCGAGCTTCTGCCTTGATTTTCTTATCCAAGGAATTTTCTTGGAAGCGGGTAAGGAGGAGATTTCATCATCCGTCCCTCGACACCACCTCACCACCATGAATCAGCTAGGCAGGATGTCCCTGGCGGTTCGTCCTCCTGTATGTCTGCTCTGCCGGAGCGGGACCCCTACTCTCCTTCTCTCGAGCGTATCGCAGGTCGCGCGCTCTATGGCCACAGCTCGACTCCGCCGGAAAGTTGCTCGTTTGGCCTTGTCCCCAGATGTCGCCAAACCATCGATCAATAAGAAGCGCTCGGGTAAAGACAAGTTTGGACCATGGTCAGGAATGAATCAGACTGAAGCTCATATTCGGGATGAGCCACGGCCACGGTCTCAAGCGGCCTTAAGACGCTCGGGCGAGAAGGCGGCGGATACACCTCGGAAAAGCGACAGCCCCTTGTACAAAGCTCTAAAGATGCAGACCACGCTGGCTCCTGTGCCTTATGGCCGCAGAACTGCGATCAAATCTAAGATCGCCGACGTCACCAGCTTTGATCACTTCCCACTCCTACCAGTTGTTCGCCATTCAATCTTCTCTCAAGCTCTTCCCGGTCTGGCCGATGTCACCCCCACTCCTATTCAACGTCTCGCAATTCCCAAGCTCATGGAAGATTCACCGGCTGGAAAGCGAGGAACTAAAGTTGAGGACGGGGAACCTCACTACGACCAATACCTTTTAGCAGCGGAGACGGGCTCTGGCAAGACATTAGCATATTTGCTCCCCTTGGTTGACGCTGTTAAGCGGCTAGAAGTTGAGGATAAGGAGAATGAAAAGAAAGAGGAGGAGCGAAAGGCAAAGGAGAAAGAGGAGAGGCTGAAGAACCGGGCTTTTGATCTTGAGCCTGAGGAGCCGCCACTCTCCAATGCCGGAAGACCGAGAGTAATAATCCTGGTGCCAACGTCAGAGTTGGTTGCACAAGTAGGTGTCAAGGTTAAGGCGCTTGCTCACACAGTGAAATACCGATCTGGGATGATCTCATCCAACTTGACTCCTCGCCGGATCAAGAGTACTCTGTTTAACCCAGATGGTATCGACATTCTCGTTTCTACTCCTCACTTGCTTGCATCGATTGCTAAAACGGAACCATACGTGCTGAGCCGGGTCAGCCACTTGGTTCTCGATGAGGCCGACTCGCTTATGGACCGTTCTTTCTTGCCAACAACGACTGAAATTATTAGTAAGGTAGCACCGTCGCTCCGCAAGCTTATTCTGTGCTCGGCTACGATTCCCCGCAGTCTCGATAATTTGCTGCGCAAGCGCTACCCAGACATCAAAAGACTGACTACGCCCAATCTGCATGCGATCCCACGTCGAGTGCAACTAGGAGTGGTGGACATCCAAAAAGAACCCTACCGAGGAAACCGAAACTTGGCCTGCGCTGACGTGATCTGGTCGATTGGGAAAGCTGGCGATTCCGAGCCCTCGGACCCGTTCGCATCTTATGTCGGACCGAATATCAAAAAGATTCTTGTGTTCGTCAACGAACGTGAGGAAGCGGATGAGGTGGCCCAGTTCTTAAAGTCAAAGGGGATTGACGCCCAGTCGCTCTCCCGGGACTCCAGCGCCCGGAAGCAAGAAGAGATCCTTGCTGAATTCACCGAGTCAGCACCTCCGCCCAGCCCAGAAGAAATCATGTTAGCCCAGAAGAAGAGGCGTCAGGAGGATTCCATTCCCTTTGAACTGCCCGAGAACCACAACAAAGCCGGGAATACTCGCCAATTGCCTAATACTAAGGTGCTCGTTACCACCGATTTGGCATCCCGAGGCATTGACACCCTCCCCATCAAGACTGTCATTCTATACCACGTCCCGCACACCACGATCGATTTTATCCACCGCCTGGGACGTCTCGGCCGTATGAACAAGCGTGGTCGCGGTATCGTGCTGGTCGGAAAGAAGGACCGTAAGGATGTTGTGAAGGAAGTCCGTGAAGGTATGTTTAGAGGACAAGCATTGATCTAAGGGGCGTCAGATGGACACAAACTATTTCAACGTACAAGGACCGGCGTTAGGACATGGCGACAATTTGGAAATACGGACAGTAAATATATGTACAGCACGGCTCGAGCATGAAATGTATAATATTGTACACTAGATAGTAAAGTATAGACACGAAACTCACTCACGTTCTTTTCTACTTATAGCCACTGAGGCTGTACCTCAATGTAGTTCTGTTCATCCCGCATGAACATATAGAGAGCTGATACTATACCGGAATCTTTTCTCCAATCGACTTCCAGAAGTCGCACCTCTCCTTCAACAGCACCAGTTCCGCAGTCTTGAATCCAGTCTCAGATACAACAAATTCATCGCCAGTACTCAGGAGCATCGGCACCCCGGGCTGCGACGCATTTGTCAACTTATGCGCGTTGGGATCCCCGGTTTGAAAATGACTGGCGAAGGCACCGGCGTAGCCCTTGTATATTAATTCATCCGTCTGTTGGATGGGGTTGACTTGATTCCACTAAGATAGCTGTCAGTAAGATCTATGCGACGACCCATATCTCAAAGTATACAGATACTATGGACTGAGAAACACCTACATAGATGGTATCACTGGCGTGCTGCGCAGGCGGGATAGTATATTCACCCACATATCCGGCAGTTTTGGCTGCCGATGCTATCCAATACGCCGGACAAGCGAGGATAACATCCCTGTAGATGAGGCCTGCCCGCACATACGTGGAATTGTACAGATTGAGAGTCTCCGTTCGCCCTATAGAAGGGTAGTATTTCGACTCGACAAGGCGTATCTGCTCGGGAGACAGTGCGGGCAGGAACCCCACCAGCCATTGGTGGAAGCTAGGAATAGAAGAATTGAACCCATCTGTCGTGTTCTGCGAACGCAAGCCAGTCGGCACGAAGTTTTCGCCTTCGTGGGTGTTGTACATCCCGAAGACGAGGTCTGTTTGGAGCGAGCCGCTCGTCACAGCTTCGGTAAGAGTGTCGGAGAGGAGCTCGCCGTCGATGACTGGACCCCAGGTGAACGTGCTGGTTGTATACTTCTGGCTTTCGCTGATGATTAGGTTTGCGTCGCGGATGGTCTGGACGTCGACTTCTTTGAGACAGGTGAGTGTATCTGTGGCGTTCGCACAACCGGTCAGATTGGTCAGATGTTCGTAGATCGCCTCTACTTCAGGAGCATCGTAGGCATAGGTTTTGGGCCAGAATGGTGAGCTCGCCAGAGCTTTTGAGAAGAGCTTTGGCTGTTTGCCCCGGCCGTTTGCTAGCACCTGGGCGATGACTGAGCCTCCTCCAGCGGATTGTCCCCAGATGGTGACGTTGTGAGGGTCACCACCGAAGTGATGGATGTATTTCTGAACCCACTTCAGAACAGATTGCTGGTCCAGGAGCCCCGGGTTTAGATCCGAACTGGGTGATTCTTTGACCGCTCGTCCCGGGAGAAAACCGAACACGTTCACACGGTAGTTGGAATAAATGACCACATAGTCATTCAGGTCACTAGCATTGAGGACGGGGTAAGACGACGGCGGTAAGGTAAAGGAGGCACTCCCTTGAATGAAGCCACCGCCGTAAAACACCACCAACACGGGCCGTTTGGGCGAAGTTGTGGAGGCGGAGCGCACATCCCAAGGTCGCGAGAACAGGCCGAGGTATAAGCAATCCTCAGAGCCGTTCACGGTACGTTGCGGACACATGTCAAAATCCTGATCGGTATCGTACACATCGTCGAGTATTCTCAAGGGAGGCTGAGGGGCACGAAAGCGATTCTCTCCTGTTGGCGGGACTGCGAATGGAATCTTACGGAAGTACGAAAGGTTATATGTCGAGTCATATCTGCCCTGGAATACTCCATAGTCGAGGCTGATGAGAGGATTTTCGTAAGCTCTGGCAACGGAGGTCGTTAGAAGGAGATAGAGGGCAAGCAGATGGTGGATGAGGAGCGCCATAGCTGACACAGGCTCTTCTCACCAAGACGATCAACGCATGCGGAAATGATAGACATGCTCACGAGCTCTTTTATACTCACCTTCAAAACGGCTCTGTTGCAAGATCGGTGGGAGATATACCGAGAATCGCATTTGCACACAAGCGGGCAAGATACGAAGGGACTAAAGCTGGAGGAACGGAGACACAGCGGAACGCCATTGGTGCAGGAATTCTCTCCAGCTTCCATTAAATCTCCATACGCGGAGTCGAATAAATGCGGGGAAGAATCACCAAGAACGAAGCAGTCTCCGTCTGTTTTGATCCAGTAAACCCGAAGTTTTCTTGTGGAATCCTAATATGTCTGTTGTACACCAAAGGGACTTGAACTTGTCCCGATTAATGATATGCAAGAGGTCGCTCCCCCCAATCGTGATCTTGTTCAGCACGAATAACAAAATTAATAAAAGACAGACTTAAAAAAAAAAAAAGAAGAAGATAAGGGAGATCTATACATCATAACCAGAAGAAGCAACTGGCAAAGGGAAAAGGAAGAGAAAAGAAAAAAAGGGTCATCTAACCGTCCCAACAAGTCCTATCAATCGCACCATGCCCAGGTATAAATCAAACGCCAACTGCAATGTAAAGAGGTACCCGAAACTCCTGCTCAGCATCCAGCTCTTGCCTATTAATCGATTACACATCATCATCATTACATGGTCATCCGGAGTGAACGAGTCCGTCTCCTGCTCGCTCTAGTGTTGCGCCGGTCATCGCACGCTTCACTGTCGTCGGTCTCTGTTCGTGGCTCAAGTAATTCAGGGGTGGGCGTGACGCCGAAACTGACCCCACGATCTTTGCGAGAGACGCGAGCTTCTTCATCCGGGTACAAGAACCTGTGAACAGTCCGATGGTCCATCACTCGCTCCTCCTCATCCATTGAACCCTCTTTATCCGTCTTTGGCCAGCGGAAACCGTATAGCATAGAATGACGCTCGCAGCGGGGACACTCTCGCCGAGTGAGATATGAATTCTGCTGCACAAACCAAACATTACAAGTATGGCAGTCTACCCATCGATCGTAGGCTTGGGCAAGCAACTTGGAAGTTTTCGTGTAGTCACCAGGGACCCGAACACGGTTCGACTCTTCCTCCACCGATGGGACAACGCCATGCTTCCAGCGAGAACCCCTTGACCTCTTCGGCTTCTGGGGAGTGTCAATTAAATCGGACAACTCTGACAAAGCGTCGTTGTCAGTTCCCGGTAGGTGTCGGTCGCTGTGGGACTGGCCTGTGACTGAAAGTGTAAGATGAGTTGCTGTCGTCGATGCTGATTCAGGGAGGGAAGTCTCCACCGTTTCCTCCACCTTGATCTTGACATCACCCATTGAGGTTGGTGTGGTTGACGTTGACGAGCGTTGTGACTCGTCGGCCTCGAGCGAAGTAGAGGAGTCACAGTCAGTAGCAGGCACTTGAGTGGCTTCGGCAGCAGAACCGCTTGCAGGTACAATAGCATCCTTGGTTATACTTGCGGCCCCTGTGGTTTCTAGCACAATTGAAGTCTCTGCTTGGGGCGGTGGATTGTCTGACCCCGAACCAACAGAAGGAGCAAAATCTGCGAGCGATACTGCTGATCGTAATTTAGAGCTCTGTCGTGTAAATTTACTCCTCTTCCTAGGCGTGCTCGAGGGTGAGATATCGGAATCACTATCCAAATGATGCTTGCGCTTTCTGGGTGAAAGTAAGCTGTCGTTGGACATCGCTTCATCGTTCAGAGCTGGAGTGGACGCTTTGCTTGACTCTTCCTCGGAGTCAACATGAGACGCCCAGCCATTGCGGACTGCCCGTTCGCATGTAAGGCAAAGACACTCGCAATTGTCGATACCGAAGTAATCGCCGCCGTATGAAACGGTGATCTCTTCTCCAATGTAGATATCTCGAGTGGCAACAACTTGCATGCCCTCCGATCCTCGTGTCACCAATCGGCCATTGGCATTGCAGTCATGGTTGGCAAAGCGAGCGGGTCCGAGAAAAAACGACGGCGTTTTTCTCCGACTAGACATGACTATGCTGAAATCCTTCCGCTTCAGATCCAATTCTTGCTCTTCTTCGCGGGTCATGGGAACAAGAGTCCCACTAAGGTACTTGATCTCCTGGCCCTGTTTGATGAATTTCCTGGCACAGATGGCCGCCTCATGTTCGGTAATCGTGTAGCGATTGGTCGTGGTAACTTCGAAGGGCGAGTCAGGGAGATACATTTGGATGTACTTGCGCAGATGCCGGCGAAACCATTCCTTTTCGCGGTCACTGGGCAGCCTGGCCAAGTATTTCTTCATACCTGACATTGCTAGCAATTGCTTTTCTGCTTTCGCAGCGTCCTTGGCAACAATGACATCGTGAAGGAGAATACGAGCCACATCATCCTCATGTATCCCTCTCACGGGAATATATTTCGTTCGGTTTTTGCGGGTATTGGTCCAGAAATATGCCTGCGATATGGACCATGTTAGTTACAATCCAAGAAGAGTGTCTCTGAGTAAGATGGCGTACCCGGTCAACCAGCGCATCCGTCGCGACATCGTCATAGCTGGCCAACTTTGCAAGAGTCAGACGGTCGCGACGCTCCACAGAGGGACTGTCTTTTGCTTTCGACGATGGCATGTCAGTCTGCAAGATCACAAATTTCCCATGTAAAGAATGTTTGTGGTGTGGTGAAAATTTTGTTTTAATTGGTGGGTGTTAAATGATGTTGGCTCAATGTCAAAGGAGGAACACAGTAGGAAAAGCGGGAATACTATTAACACCAAGGGAGGGGGTTGACTTTCGAAAAGAGCGTGATAGTGAAACAATTATTAGAAAGGATAAGAAAAATCCAATTCAACAGGCATAATGGAAAGGAAGAAAAGGAACCCCTAGGGGAAGTTAGCGCGCACGAGTGGGAAAGTGGGCGACTATCCAAGAGGCTCCAAGCACGACACACACGGCTGTGTTGCCCAGTTAATTAAATGAATCAATGCGACTTGAAATGAGTTGAAGGCTGCCCTCCTGCAGCAGCAGCGCCCCGTCCGCCGTCCGGGGTCGGTGGTCGGCAAAACCTTTCCGGTCCGGACGTGCTGGAAATCTTTCGGACGGATAAGTCTACCCTTTATCTGATACTTTGGCCGTTCCCCTCAGGGCATGCGATCAAGATGATTCAACTAAAGGTAAACCTGCGAGTTTGTCCTCGTCCGAAATTCTGAACGCTCTTGGCTAACAATCACCCGCCAGACGATGCTGAATTGCATCGACAACTCCGGCGCCGCAGTTGTCGAGTGCGTGAATGTCCTGAAGAAGAAGCGGCCAGCCACAGTCGGTAGGTTCTAGATCTCCTTCAATTCTCCCTACCGATACAGCTCTAACGCCGATTGATGTGATGGGGATTAGGTGACCGAATCGTCGTGGTCGTTCAGAAGCAGCGGAACTTTGGCCCCGAAAGCTCGACCAACAGTGGTATTGCAAACAAAGTCCGTCGCGGAGATATTCGTCATGCCGTCGTCGTCCGAGCGAAGAAGGAAATGCAGAGACCAGATGGATCTATTGTCAAGTTCGATGACAATGCCTGCGTGCTGGTGAACAAATCTGGAGACCCGATCGGAACAAGAATGAACGGTGAGTATCTGTATCCTGACGCCGCTATTGCCAGGTTCTGACCTAAATCCCAGGAGTTGTGGCTACAGAACTACGAGGAAAGCAGTGGTCGAAAATTTTGTCGTTGGCACCGATGCATGTATAAATATCCCTATGAAAGCGAAGCGTCTATTTACATAACTACTCTGTATCAATAGAATTATCCCTTGAAAAAAAAACTTGTTTTCTATTACTCGGACATCGCCGTAACTCCATAACCATGCTGAAAAGGACCAATAATGGGTATCGAAAACACGATGGTGACAAAAGACGTTCCAAATCATACGAAGACGTTGCCGCACGCGCAACAGACATAGTAAAGTTTCTAAAGGGTATATATTAGTCACTCGTCAAAGATCTCAGTCGATGGATCTCTCACCATTCCGGTTTCCGCAGAACGCTGCTGAGACTGGAAAAAGACCGCTTCGGCTTCACCGCAGCTCGGGCAGAGCTTGTTCGACCGGGGAAGCTAGAACGAGAGAGAGCATGTTAGCCAGGGAAATCGCAAGATTACTTGAAATCTCTCCATGACACAAATTTGAGCCCTTTCTCAAAGCATTGGGAATCCCTCATAATCATCTTCGGACAACTCATCTTCAGTGGGCTGGCCGCAAGAAAAACAAGTGATCTCCTCCCCGCAATGAGCACAGAAACCTGGGAGACAAACCGTAGGATCAGATCCCACATCCTGAGTCACACCAGCTGTGTCTCCGACTTGACTGTTGAGCTTGTTTTGATAGACGCAGTATGAGCTTGCGGGCTCGCCGACATGGCAGGTTCGACACGTAAACATCAAACGGTTGTTGACGCGGTCTTCTTTCGGGTAAAGTAAGTTCGAGCTATAGCAGCGCAATTAGCAAAATCGTCAATAGAAGAGAGTCAAGGAATATAGCGCCTACCATTCGCGACAAAAACGGAAATGGACCTGTTCATTTGACTTGCTATCGCCACCGGCGGAAGGAGATGGGCTGGCAGACATTTTTCTAAAAGCTGAAAATCCGACAAGAACTCGCGCAAATAGTTCGATGATAGGTTTTGAAAAGAGATTCAAAAGTAGTTGTAAATTTGAAAGGTTTTCACGCGTCCTATACAGAACTTTTGGTGGCGAAGATAGTGCCTGGTACTAAGAATAATTAATACCTGCGATGAAGTCCGAAGAAGGCCTACAGGGAAGTTGCACTAGTCACGATCGGAGTGCACGGACACTGCCTTATTGATGGTGTTTGTATTGTTGGCGCTGTTTGCATGCTTTGTACTGGTCCCTCATTTCCCCCGCAGTCTGTCCCGCAGGAGCTGCTGCCACGGCAATTATTACTTGCATTTATTCTTCTTATTTCCTACAATCCTGCATATCCTGAAAAAGCCCCTTGAATAAAGCTTGTAATTCTATACCATTCTTATCCTAAATCATCATGGTATGCTTTATCTCCTATCTACCTAACTCTCAATCATATCTAAAGCTCTATACTCATTTGAACTCGGCTTTTTCTAGGTTGAGACAGGTCTTCCGGCCGGGTGGGAGGTCCGCCATTCTAACTCCAAGAACCTCCCTTACTATTTCAATCCCACGACAAAGGAATCTCGCTGGGAGCCTCCAGCAGGCACTGATACGGAGACGCTCAAGGTTTACATGGCCAACTACCATAGCGGGCCCACCAGTCGGCCTGATGGCACAGGTCATGGTGAAGGCAAAATCCGCTGCAGCCACCTTCTTGTCAAGCATAGGGAGAGCAGACGTCCCAGTAGCTGGAGAGAGTCTGAGATTACTCGGTCCAAGGAGGAGGCGATTGACATCCTTCGTGGCCATGAAGAACGCATCAAGTCGGGCGAGGTCAGCTTGGGAGATCTTGCGATGTCAGAATCAGACTGTAGCAGCGCCAGGAAGAGGGGTGATCTGTATGTGCATGCATTAGCATTCGTGGACGTGTTAACATGTGGAATTAACATTATCATAGTGGCTTTTTTGGACGGGGGGAAATGCAGAAGGAGTTCGAGGACGCTGCCTTTGCTCTACAGCCCGGTGAGGTCAGCGGAATCGTTGACACGGCTTCCGGTGTCCATCTCATTGAACGGTAAGCTGAATATATATCTTGTTAATGCATTCGAATAAACTTGCTAACGGTTTTCATCTGTGACATGCAGCATTCAATAAATTTTGTGATCTCCTATTTCGATACCTAAGCATAAATACATCTAGAGAGAAGATCGATACCTGTATGATATACTTCTCTTTCCCCTTTAGCCGGGGACTATATACTACTGAGAAAGACACATCTGTTCATGATATTTTAAACCGGAGAGCGACTATTACTGACGGCCACATGCTGGCAGTCAAGAACTTCCCGCCTTTCAAGATTTTACGACCGCCACCAGCAGTAAATACACCCTAGTAAATTCAGACTTAGTGAATTAATTGGTCTTGGCTGTTGCATCTCACCGGGTGACAATGGTATCAATTACTAGTAACTTGAGATGAAGTCATTTACTATATAGTTAGCCCTCCCGCCGAGTCGACATTGGATGGCACAGCGATGTATGCACCTTTATTAGCAAAGCCACAATCTTTAGTCTCCATGACAATTTAATTTCTGATAAATTAATCAATCTTGCAACTTGATGGTATATGTACTGCCGTCTTAAAAGGACGTTTGTAGGTCCATTCACGAGAGCATTTGCATACTGCTAGTAGTATGTTGCCAAGCTAGGGCATGTTCTAGTCATGTGCTACATTACTATTTGTATACAGTGCCATAGCTACCTAGTGCAAGCACAGTCAGAAAGGCTGGCGTATGGTATATATCTATCTCTGTGAATATGATCATATAGTATCTTTGAAGTAACTCGGTAGTAATCTGTTCGTATTATGTTCACCTACTCACGAGGATGTTGTTATTTAGCGAGTTTCGACATACTAGCGTTGGTATGCCGGTCTTCAAGACGATAAAAATAGTATGGAAAGAGATAAGAAAGAAAAGCACAATGGAAGCATGGTAATCACCTCGATAAGAAGCACTTTCGAAATATAAAGGGGATACAGTAGGGGGAATTGGCCCTCCCTGTGTTTTGATCTTCCCAAAGAAGCGGGGGTATTTTATACTGTACATAAATCGTCAAACTATGGCGTGGACAAAGCACAAAGCACTAGAATTGAACAAATAAATTTTAAATTAGGTTTATAATACAACACACACTAATTTTTGCTGTTTGATAGTTCTATGTAAATTGCAAGCGAAGTAAAGCTATATTGGAAAAACAAATTTGGCTATGTCTATGCTTGCCTATGCCGCTTCAAAATATAAATAAGCGAGAATTAACACATCACATCCAGCATGCATTTAATGATACGTTATTACTTTTGCCTAAGATATTGCTAAAACCTATACAATACAATTATAATATGTGTTGTTCCAAAGCAAAAATATCAAAGACTGTTCTTTCTGCTCGCACTCAGAACACCCTACCAATCCTATCAAAAGAATAGCAACCAAACAACGAGTTGACTACCTAGTCTGATCACAAGTATTTTTGCGATACAACCACCAGAATACCGAAAGTCGGCCTTGTCCCCAAAAGAGCTAATCGCAGGGTATCATCCGACCAAAATCCCAATACTCAATACTGCATCTCCCAAGCGACGTGTAATCCAGATTAAAAAACCTCCTCTAGAACCCGAACCAAACAAGCGCCTCCATGTGTAAAATTGGGCCAACTTCAAGCACACCGTATCAGAGACCACTGTTGCTAGCAATGCCATGAGCAGGATTAGCCAACATATCCTCTGCTCCCTCCACGCATTCCAAGATCGCATCGTAGAGCTCATCGACAATCTCCTCCCAAGACGGGATGGCGAGGGCCGTAGCGCGAGACTCCCATTTCTGCATCTCGCCCAGAAAGTTGACACGCCAGAACTGATTCCACATTCTTTGTTCCACCTCGCTCAGGTTCGACTTAGCGGCTGTTGCTTCCACCGCGCGCTTGGCGTCATGCCACACCCGGAAAGGACCAGACATGAACGCATCTTGGTACTTGGCGAAGACTGCTTGATAGCTCTGGTACGCAGACTGATCGATGTGGAAGCAAAGAATGGCCGGGTCGAGCTTCTCGGTGGGAGCAAGCGTCGGGTTTCTCCAGTGGTAATCATGACGCCAGCTGAAAAGACGTAAGACAGACATCTGATGGCTGTAGTAGTTTCTGCTCGTGCGAGGGCACATCGCCTGATAGCGATTTGCCTGGCGGATTTCGATATACTCTAAATATCGAAAGGCCCGGCCAGCTATGAATCGCGCGCGATAGAATGCATCGCGTAGTGCTGTAGGTATGATTGTGACGAGGTGAGCGGGGATATCGAGGTTTTCTTTCTGGAATCCGTAGATGCGCACGGCTACCATGTTGCGTAGGATTCGGTCCACGTTTAGAGTATTGGAGACTCCTCAGTCTATGCTGACATGCGATGTTCAGTGGGAGAGAACATTTCAAATGAGGTGGGGTTGCTAGGAAGAGACCCAAGTTGGTGTATTCACTTTGGCAGCTACCTACAGTCTGGACCCAGGCAGGTGCCATGGTTTTCCATCTGTCATCACCATGGCGCTGCCCTTTGACGGTCCATTGATGGCATGTGTATTCCGCCACCCCTTCAGTCAACTTAGTTGTCTAAGCCACCGCTTGACCATATCAGTCCCGTCATCTGTAGTTCTTGCCTGTAGTCCTTTATCGCTGTGCACGCTCAGATGTGTCTCAGTAACTAACTGGCAGATACTCGTCCTCCTGCTTAATATTCAAACTCTACTATACATGGAAAAAGTTACCTTGCACGACATCGCATCGAACTATTAAGTCAATATTTGTCACGTTTCCGGCCAATCCATATAAGTACTATGTGTGAATGCTTGTCTTGCAAGTTCACACTCTGTGGCTGCATCGTCGACATGGGGTCTATCAACTGCAAGGAATTTCCCTGCTGCACAGGTCGAAAGTTAATACAAACAGAGGAATGCTGTATGTGTGAGGTCTGTTCGCGGAAAGAGGACATGGTGCTTCGACGGGCTGCCCTGGTAAGGAAGCTGGAGGCAAATGGGTTCAGGGCATCTGCGAAGTCCGACAGGATGTCAGAAGATGTGGCCAAAGAGAAATGTATAGAAGCAGATCTGAAAGACACCGAAGAAGCAAACGAATACTCCAGGGAAAAGAGTGGATCGTCTGTCCAGCATGAGTGTGATGTGTCCAGAGCATGTGCCCCAGTTCTTTTTCGGAGGGGTGTAGAAAGACGCAGGGTCTGGTGAGAAGACCTTCGTTGCTTTGCGTGCCCTATCTTGCTTCGGACGGAAGAGAAGTATAGGTACAATGAATATTGGTGCTGTCTTACGATACTACTCGAAGAGACATACTATACAAGCTTCTTAGACCTGCAGACAAGGGAAAGAAACATCATGCTCGCATCTTAGTTGCAGGAGGTATTATCAACTATGAACTACCGAACTGCTTAATCCCCAAAGACTTTGAAGTACTACATATTCATACTCTTTCATATACTGGCGTTCAATCGTTCTAAGCGTGACGAAATCGCTTCAATAACAGCAGACCTGGGTAGAATCATCAGTACAAGTTACGCAAAAGTCCGACGGCAAGAAAACTTACTCTCGTTCCACCATTTTCATTGCATCTGCAATCTTGGCTCGCTGCAGTCTCTGGGGAACTCTAGGCTGAGCACCTCCAGGTGATGCCGGGCTGCCAGGCTCGGTTACTGGAGGAGCCTTCGCCGCTACAGACTTGGCCTCAGCCAAGAGGTCGGCTGCAATTTCCTTCACCTACAAGGCTTGTCAGCGTCAACGTGTAATACTCTTGATGGAAGAAAAACTCACAGTTTCAAGTCTCTCAGATAGCTGCTGGCCATTGTCGCGGCCTTCTTGTCTCGAATCTCCAAATGATTCTGACAACGTCTCCACTTCCGACACCCAGGACTTCTCCTTCTCGCTAAGTGGTCTTCCACCAGACTTTAGAATCTTATTACGAATAGCCTCATATCGCTGCACAAGCTGGTCCTGTTTATCCTTTGCCGCTTGGAGTCTCTTATCCAACGCCTCGCCACTTCTGGAGTTTTCTTTTCGCTCCCCATCTTCACCAATTTCACTCGATACGCCCTTGATTCGCTCAGACACATCAGTGAGTTGCTTCAGTTGCTCCTGCATTTCTCCCTGCAGTCGTTCACACCGACGGAACAGGTCTGATGCTGCTCTCTCCAGGGCGTTGGTATGAGCAGACAGAATCCTATGAGCAGCAGCCACCAGGTCCAACGTCGCCGGGGACAGGCGAACTTGTTCCTTGAGAGTGTGTCGCTGGCGATGTGGAATATGTTTGTCGACGAAGAATTCCAGGGGAGAATCCGAGTAAAAGATAGCGGGAACCTGATAAGGCGGCCGGCGTGGTGGCAATACAGGAGAGCCAGGAACACGGGCATCCGGATTCATATCTGTCAGTGATGGGAAAGAAACTTCAGGAGTATCCATGATAGCAGCATATGGATGAGAACCATGATAGGTCAGCAATAAGTAGCCAAGATCGTAATCATAATAGACCACCGAAGCGGGGAGATGGTCTGGTTGGTCTTTCGCAGTTTTATGGGCCTCGTCTGTCTGAAAAATGCGTTCTCTTAGAGACACAGTGCCCTCACAGAGAACCTCCAAACGGAAGCCCGAGCCACTTGTGTCCTCGGACTGAAGTTCCGCCTCAAGTCTCTGCACCCATGAAGCAAGGGAGATAAACGTCACATTGTTCTCGGTAGTCACGAAGAAGTCATATCTCGAATGCACGTCTTTCGTAAAGGTAGGCCAGTTCTTCGACGATTGTTGTCCTTCCCTCATAGTGTCCAGCGATTCCACCAAGACTAGATCAGACGGCTCTGAGAGTGGGGTCCTAAAGGCGTTCTTTCTAGCCCTAGGAAGCCACTGTCCCTCTACCCCATCAAGTTCAAGGCAAAGGTGAACTCTTCCACTCCCTGTAGAAAGACAAATAACTGTGGCCGACAGCCTGTCCTCTCCATTCTCCTCGAGCAAAAGCTCATCCTCCTCGCCCATCATGAGGGCATCGACGTCAACTTTGGCAGCGATAACGTGAAGATCGCAGAGGTCCAAGTCATCGACCTCATCTCCTGTATCAATACGGAAAGGTCCTTGCAGTCTGGGGATCGCACTGGGGTTGGCAGGGCGAGTAAGAATTTCCAAATCTGGACCCGTATGTGATTCGTAAACATGCAAGGGGTCTTGGTTATCAATTTCCGTCAACCACTCGTATTGTTGTCGGCAGGCAGTCAGCTCATCCTCAAAATCAGCGGGATCCTCCTCAAGAGCTGCCAACTTTGGAACTATAGCCGCGGAGAGCGAAGGAACGGTAGTAGCTGGGGATCTCCATTTGGAGGGAAGGAGTGGGCAAAGGGCGTAAAGGTCGCCCGGTTTCATCGCAACCCACAAGGTCATCGGTGCCCAGGCGTCCTCCTTCTCACTCCCTGTGCCTCCAAAGCAAGCGGATGCGACTTCCATATCAACATAATCAGCAGAGAACCCTTTGTTCTTCCCAAAGCCGGAAGGCGAAAAGTCCTCGTCAGAAGAGGTGCCATCCACCAGCTTTCTCAGGTCGATCGCCAGTGTAGGACGGTCGAAAGACCATTGATTATTTCGGTCCAGCTCCCAGACCCGCACAGCGGCATCTATAGTGATGGTAACGATACATCCTCCAAGGTTGCTGTCCACCCCAAGCGGATGCCATAAAGCTGATACTACAGGTGACTCGGGTATCACGTGGGTTGTAGGCCCAAGCTGGTAGGTCTTCACACGAATGGGCGAGCTGTCAGTCCCAGACAAATGAGACGGATCCGGAAGCACGGCAATATGAACCGTATGGTCTGCAACGATAGCCAGAAAAGCGCCATTGGGGGAAGGTATGAGTTGGCGAATTTGTTCGTAAACCGGAACTGTCAAGACCTGATGGTTTGTCAGTCGTATATTATAATAGTAGCTAATTCCGCAACGTAATTTCCCATACTCTGTAGTGTACACTGTCGCTAGCATCCGACTTTCCTTGTGTGTCTTCTTTCTGCTCGGGAGTGCCTTTCCTTGATCTTGTCTGCTGCTGCCATTCGTTCTTCAATCGCGTTAGGCTCGACCAACGGATCTGGTTGTCGACCACAGTAAACGCTTCGTTTCCTCTCCTTGCCAATATGCGATTTGGTCCAGCGTAGTCACTTTCTTGCCGAAGCTTGCCTGAGATATTCTCTGGAGCTTTCGGAGCTGTGCTTGAAAACAAGGCGGCTCCGGGAGAAGGGCGTGAGAGCCATGGAGGTGTGTAACTGATCACTTTCGGCATTGTTGAAGCATTTATTCCAAACAGAAGCTGAATTCGATGCTAAACTTCCATTCCCTGCCGGCGACAAGGCTATGAAATGTAGGAATGTCAGTGCTGGGGATAAAGGCGGGAGAATGCACCGGTAACAAAACAGTGCCTGGGGAAATTTTGGCGGAAGTACACTAGACGACGGGCGCGCCAAGAACAGCGTAAGTTTCCGTGGACAAGCTCCAATCGTGAGCTTTCCTTGACTGCATCTCCAACAACCTCCTGCGCTCAAGTTGCTCCTTCATTGTCTTCAGTTGTTCTTCTTCTTTGCCTATCCTAATCGTAACTCTTACCCGATTGTCATCGAATTACTATCGTTTTTTCCTCCACAATGACCGTATCACCACGCAACACCGTTGATAGACTCGATCGGCCAAGCGCCTACTACCTGGGAAAGGTATAGCTTCATAGAGCCCTTCAATGGCAACCGACTGGTTCGCCAAAATCACTAATGTGTCTCGTATGTATCCAGAACAAGAAGCGCAAGTACAGCCAAGATGAACCGGAAAAGGTTCCAGAAGACCCATCGGACAACTTGAAAAATGCCACCACACTTTATGTTGGTAATCTGTATGTCCTTTGCCTCGCAGACACCTCAGCATTGGCCTCTCTTCATATACTAACTATAGTAGTTCTTTCTACACAACAGAGGAACAGATCCATGAACTCTTCTCCAAGTCAGATACCACGCAACGACCGTACTGAAGTCCGCGTGCTAACTGATAGACTCAGATGCGGAGAGGTTAAACGACTTGTGATGGGGCTCGACCGATATACGAAGACCCCCTGTGGCTTCTGCTTCGTCGAGTATTATACACATCAAGATGCGTTGGATTGCTTGAAATACGTTGGCGGCACCAAGCTCGATGAGAGGATTATCCGGACGGACCTTGACCCTGGTTTCGAAGAAGGGAGACAATACGGGTATGTAGAGAGACTCTCAATTCTCAAAGGCAAAGCTGTTTCTGATATGATTGCAGTCGCGGTAAATCTGGTGGCCAGGTTCGCGATGAATACCGAGAAGAGTACGACCCAGGACGTGGCGGTTATGGGCGGGCTTATGCAGATGATCAGAGACAACGGGAAGAAGAAGAATACGGTAAGGGTAGGTAATCTTGATGGGTTTTGTCTGGTTGGCGCATGTACGGCGTTTGCATGCATTATATCTCTTTGATTTAGTAGAAGGAACGGCAGCAACAAAAGAATATTTACACCCGATACCCCATCTATCGACGGACCTTTCTATACAAAATCTTTCTATAATGCAAGGCATTCAATAGCGTTGCTCTGTCCCCTTCCTCTTTTTCACGGACTCCTCGACTTGGCGCAGCCACCATGCATGTATCCGGGCGTCGCCAGTGAGCTCAGGATGGAAGCTCGTCCCGAAAACATTTCCCTGTTTGACAGCAATGATATCTCCAGCTTCTTTGTCTGCGTCGATGTTCCTCCCCTCACTAGCCAGTTTAGCGGCTCTGCCTGGAAGTGTGGCCAGCACTTCAACCTGCGTTGCGATTGCGTCCAGAGCCGCCTGGCCTTTCGCGTGCTTTGAAGGCGCTACGACGGTCTCGTCTCTTTGAACCTCGCTTATTTGGATACCCTCTTCGTGTGGCAATATCTTCTCGACAACAGGTGCTCTGATGAAAACAGCTGGGAAAGAAGGCTGGTCTTTTCCGCAAGAGTTTAGGAATGGCAGGTCCAAGGGCGCTTGGAAACTCTCAGTTTGCCGACCAAAGTGGTTTCTATTTACGCGCACATCTAAACCTCCGATAAGCTCTTGGCCGCCCTTCTTTGTCCGGTTGGCGGACTCAGCAAGCAAAATCAACCCGGCACAGGTTCCCCAAGTTGGCTTGCGATGGACCCTACCGAGGAGAAATGGTTAGTCTTGGGCAGCAGAGCAGGCTTTCTGGGGTACTATACTTGACGAAATCTCTCAGGGGCTCTAGAAGATTGGACCTAGCTGCGACAAGAGAGATAGTAGTGCTCTCACCACCAGGCAAGATAAGCGCATCGCATCTATCCAATTCCTGCGGGGTTCGCACTTCAATGAACTCCCATTGCGGCGAACTGTTGGTCTCTGTCGCTGAATCAGCTGCTGCCTGTTTCAGCAGCTGGACATGCTCGTAGAATGCGCCCTGCAAGGCGAGAACCCCAACGGTGATGCTCATTTCAATGCGATATAATTCATAGAAAATGAGTCAAATGTTGGCCAGTTACGGCTTCTACATATAGCCGGAACAACATATATCCGAGCTATCTCCACGTGCTGCCCCGCATGATAAGACGTTCCTGCACGGCGATCAGTCTGGAAAACGTGACCTCAGCTTATTCTGAATGGAGACTTTATGAATCTGTTTCTAGTTGCATGTTCTGTGGAACAAGAGGACAATTCAGGCATTCGTTTATAACCATGGATTTATGATGGTGGCTGAGCTATTTTACTATTTACTCTACTCAATACTGTGTATACTCACATAAATAAACATTCCCCGCACCGAAATCAGTTTATCAACAAAAGCTGCTCTACATACGTCTCACCACCCCGCTTCATAATACTCCATATAGTACGTCTTAAACATGCAACCATCACAGGATGAGTCCAACAATTCCATGGTACGGTGGTATATCGATACTCGGGACCTAACAGCGACTACCTCATCGCTCCCTCTACTGGAAACACTCCAGCCATCAGACCAGGAGTCGGCCAAACGCTTCTATCACCTGAAAGACAAGCATATGTCCCTTGCGTCCAATCTCCTGAAATATCTGTTTATCCACCGAACATGTCGCATTCCATGGAACCAAATTACCATCAGCCGAACGCCAGCACCGCATCATCGGCCGTACTTCAACCCTGCAGACATCACCCAAACTGCAGCTACAGACAAACCAATTCCAAGCATTGAATTCAACGTCAGCCATCAAGCATCCCTGGTAGCTCTCGCAGGGACTATTTTGCCGCCACCAAGCAACAATGACTCGACTGCGCCTACCAATGTTATTACAAACCCCAATCCCACCTCTACACCCTCCTCATCCATACCCCAGGTAGGAATAGACATTACCTGCGTGGACGAGCGCCGCAACACCGCGCACACTAGACAAGCGTTAGAAGAGTTCGTCAGTATCTTCTCTGAAGTCTTCTCCCAGCGCGAGCTGGATACCATCAAAAGCCTGCACGGGGCACCTTCACATATCGGCAACGACGAGGACGGCCTTGTGGAATATGGGTTCCGGTTGTTCTACACCTACTGGGCGTTGAAAGAAGCATATATAAAGATGACAGGGGAGGCGTTATTGGCGCCGTGGTTGAAAGAATTGGTCTTCACGAACGTTGTTGCGCCGGAGCCCGCAGGCCGGGACTTGCAAACCTTGGGTGAGCCGTATACTGGGGTCAAAACATGGTTGTATGGAAAGGAAGTGGATGATGTGCGAGTTGAGGTCGTTGCATTTGAGAAGAATTATCTTATTGCTACTGCAGCCAGAGGGGGTAGGATTGGGCGGGGAAGTAGAGGAGATGGTGCAGATCCATGGCAGCGGTTGCAGAAGATTGACATTGAGGAAGATGTTAGACCTTGCGCAACGGGTGTTTGCCAATGCTTGAAGTAGCTCTTGTTTCGCCCCCACTAACGTCGTGCCAAAATCCTACGTTTATATAAACATGCACGTAAGGTTTGAACAGCAAGTGGATATGTTCTATTGATCTGGTAGCCTACATACAGAATTGGTCCAGGATATACCGCGGGAGGGACCCCGGTACTCCTGAACGGATGGCATTATATACACCTTGGGGGGGGGGGGGGGGGTGAAGGTCCTATCCATGAGGCATAGGAACCGATTTTAATGAACGTTTGATCAGGGCCGACCGTTTTGTCTCATGTTGTTTCTCATGTCTACAAGTAATGCAAATCCTAGGCCCTTGTCCCTAGACAGAATTTGTCGAAGTGCCCTGTCGCGGGCTCTGTGGTAGAGAATAGAAGACAACGACTATTAGCGGGTGGTACGAAGGACAGCAACGCCCGGTATTCATGTCTCATGTCGCGTTTCAACTTGTTCGTGCAATGAATGGTGCGGGCATCTGACGTTCGATGAAGGGGATACCAAGGAAGAAAAAGGTCATTGTCATAACTCAAACTTGTAACGAGATCAGATCTCAACGGCAGTAGAGGTACCATTGGCAAGCGAGTTGTCAACCTCGGTTTCGTTCCTCTCGGACATCTCGAGCAGAGTCTTGAGCATGGATTCCCGGGTCGACTGGGTCAGGGCGTCGACATCAGCCGCAGTCAAACCCTCAGTACTGATGGGAGGGAGAACTAGGATGCGTCAGTCTCGTTCATATATGTATTTGCTCAAAGGGTATGGATGAGGAAAGGAAAAGCGTACCTTTGACCTGGATTGAACCAGCATTGAACCTCCAGTGACGGGGAGACAGAACATGGGAGTAATTCTCAGAAACCACAGGAACAATAGGCACACCGGCTTTCACAGCGAGATGGAAAGCGCCCTTCTTGAACGGCAACAGCCCCGGCTTGTCCGAGTAGCTTCTTGTGCCCTCGGGGAAGATGAAGACACTCTGGCGGTGATTGCGCATCTCCTCTGCAGCGCTGTCGAACGCCTTTACGGCCGTTTGGCGATTGGCCCTGTCGATGAAAACGGTGCGAGAAAGAGACATGAACCAACCGAGGACGGGCACATGGCGTAGCGATTTCTTGGCTGTGACACTGCAGTACGGGGGGAAGATCGAACCCAGCATGAGAACATCTAGCTCCGATTGATGGTTTCCGACAAAGACCGCTGGCCGGGTGGAGAGATGCTCCTGGCCTTCAACAATGTCAAAGTGTACACCGGTTGTATAGCGCATGACCCACTTGAAGCTGCGCGCGGTGGCCCATTGCGATACCCGTCCGTAGCCGACTAGGCGCAAGAAAATCGAAGCGATTACGCCATAAGTGGCACATAAGAGAAGAGAACCGTAGGAGGCCAGGCAGCGAGCAACGAACGCTGCGCGGGGAACCTTCTGGCCAAGGGTGAAAAGTGAAAGTGTGACGACGACGAACGAGCTGATGCCCGAGGCAACGTAGGACAGAAACGACATGGCGAGAAGAACAAAATGTTGTCTACAAGAAAAGACCCTAATTTCCAAGCTGAGCGTCAGATCTATATAGGCTGTCCAATTAAGAGAGGAACATCCTTACTTGGTACTTTCCAGTGGTGCTGAGGTCAGGCGAGAGAGTCTCGGGAACAGCAGGGGTGCACAGGAGAATCACAAGAGCGGTTGGCGCATGGCAATGGCCGATCTAAATATTAATAGAAAGCGGGGACTCCCAGGAACACTTAGAAGAAAGACATTAGGAATATTAAGGATCCAAATAGGAAGACGTTTGCAGTGAAACAGAACTACCAAACAGTCGTCTTTCTTTCCACTTCCGCCTTTTTCTGGCGAATTTTGTTGGCCCCGCTCACCGCCTTTGCTTCCCTGATGAGCAGGTGACAATGCAGGGATGTGGTGTTTGATGAGCGTCTTACTGGTTTTTACCTCGGTTGAGTTCCTTCAAATGTAAGAATATGCATAAAGATGAATTGAGTATGGAAATGCCTCGCACGACAGACGGCATATGTCCACGAATCTGTCGCCTGGTGTCTTCATATCTCATTCGCAGCTAAAACGCGAGAAAGCCAACCCACGCTAATGTACAGAACCAAAGAGCCTCGACACCTTTTCGAGAGCCTGATGCTGGGAAACGCTCTCTCTACCCAACCGGCCTATTAACGCCCGTGTAATGCTGATGCTCACGCAGTTTTGACCCAGAAAGGAGAAAAATAGGGAAAAACGCCAACCGTCATGAATTAGAACCCCAAGCAGGAGCGTGGCTCAAGTCCAAATGTTGAGGAAACCGAAGCAGATCGGACGAATGTAAAGAAAGTGTCATATGTGTGGGATGTTTAGGAAAGCCTGGGACAGGGGTAAAAGGAGAGCCGTAGAAATCAAGCCATATCTTCATCGTCCTCCTCTTCGTCATCTAATGATTCCATAGCGTCCTTTATGTATTGTGCCGCCTAAAGGTAGACGAGTTAGTGATCTTATTCTCGTGGTAAATATTGACATGATCCTTACCTTGGGATCCAAATTCAACGCCGTGGTGAAGTGTTTGATAGCGTTGGCCTTGTCATGCAGCATTTTGTAAAGTTTACCCAAGAGATAATGCACGTTTGCTTCGTCCGGAGCCATATCTTTAAGAATCTTCAACTCTGCTAGAGCCAATTTGAGCTCTTGCAGCTTCATCAATGCACGAGCCTTGCGGAACCTAGCAAGGACGGAATGTGGTGCCAGTGAACAGGCTCGCCCATATTGAATGAGAGCTGCTTTTGGATTGTTCATCTTTTCCAGGACCAGACCAATACAACAGATTAGCACCGCATTTGTAGGGTTAATGCTTGCTGCATTACGGAAATGTTGTTCAGCGAAGTCAAGTTTGCCCATTTTGTCGTATACGGTGCCCAATCCGTACCACGCATTGTAGTGGCGGCTATCGGCACTGATGCCATGCCGGTAGGCATCCAGTGCTTTGTCATATTCTTCGTTTGCTACATATTCGTGTCCCTGCAAGGTAAAACCATAGGCGAAATGAGCATCTAATTGTGTCGCTCGCTTGAAACACTTTAGAGCCTGGTCGTGATCGCGTTGATGTGAGAACGAATTGCCAATGGCGCACCATGCTTGGGGGGATAAGCGATCGACTTCCATTAGCTCATGCGCTAAATAGGCTAGTTCGATGTCGTTTTTCAGATGCCAGAGAACAGTCGAGTAAATCTCCATATCATCCAGCCTGGAAGGTGCCATGTTTCTGACCCGTACGAAATATTTCTCAGCGTCTGAATACATTGCTTGCTCGTAGTACGCTCGCCCGATTTGCGAAAGAACCCAAGGCGTTTCTCGCTGGCCCTGAGAAAGCGCATTGAATATTTGTATGGAATCAGTACACCGATAACGACTCAAAGCAAAGTATCCTGAAGCCAGTTTGGAGAAAAGTTCCAACAGCCATGTCAGGGCTTCAATGGACTTCGACTTTTCAATCGTCGCGGCCTTAGAGGCAATATTGGTGGCCGCATTATGAACAGTCGATACCGGACGATGCTCTTTCCCATCGCTCTCGTGTATCTCGCCGATATGCTTCCTATTACCGCTCACAACACGGCCTACACTTGTGGCTGCCGTAGTACGCCCCTTGGCACCGGTAGCTTTGACCTTTTTGAGTTCCCGGCCGTCCTTTGCGCCTAACGCCGTGGTTGAAAGCTTGCTAGTTGTGGGCTTAATCTGGTTGAATAGACGTACGCTGCGGCGTTGAGGAGCCCCAGGTTCTGTTGGTGCTGGTGGATGAGCTACCTGGCCGGAAACCGTTCGCTTGCGGTCGCCAACTCTGGATCCTGTTACAGATTCCTTTTCCAATTGGGTTGTCGTTTGTTCCTCTTGGTCGACTCTCATTCTCGTCCTTTGTCTAATACCCGTCGGCTTCATTTTCGGCGGAGGGTCCATTGCATGATCTGCCCCGATCGATTGAATCGTGCGATTTTTTCTAGCTGGAGCTAAGGGAGGCTCCCACGATGTATCCCCAGCACCGTTAGCCACGCGAAATTCATCAGACTCACTGCTCTGGCCCCCAGGGGTTTCTGTTCCTTCCCGAATAGCTGGTGTTGATGCTCCATTCGATGCCACGCTGACAGTGCTTCCGTTCAATTTCTCCCATAAGGCGGAGCTTCCATGTGTAGTGCCTGAATCACTGCGGGGCGCGGCAGACATAAAGGGATCCAAGCTTGGATTCACATTTGCTGAAGTTTGCAACGGTCCACCTGCAGGTGCAACTTTGTCAGGCGGAAGATCGATACCTTCCTGTGATGACGATAGAACAGAAAGTAGCTCGGAGCTCATTTTGTAAATATTTGGGACTCGAATATTGACACCTTCATAGGGCGATCAGTTTTTCGGTGCAATGATAGGGCCTGCCTCCAAACTCACCTGTCTCGCACAAACCCAGAAAGGCATCCCACATAAAAGGATTCAGTTTCAAAGCTTCGACGTAGCATTCCACTCCCTTGTTGAGGTCTTTATGAGCGTGCCATAGTTTTCCCTGCAAGCACAGAACTGCAGCCGCGTCGGGTAGGTGCTGCCTGCGTGTTTCGCTGTGTTTGTCTATACAATCGACGGGAAATTATCAGCCTCAGCCACATTGACGGGATTATTCATACTACGAATATAATGCGAAGCGAAGGATGGTTTGCTTACTCCAATGATTTTTAGAAGTCCAAAGGCTTTTGCTCCGTTCCAGCGCCGCAATGCCATCAAGATATTTCCCCAAGTCGAGACACGCCTGCGCATAGACATAAGAGCAGCCCAAATGAGTACCCCTCGACCCAAAGTTCTTGCTGTAATCATAAGCTGCCTTGATTTGCCCGTTGAGTAGATGACATAAGGAGAGTAGATAGGAAGCTTCCGATGTTCGAGGTTCATAGGCATGCAGACGACCAGCAAGAAATAGCGCATTTCGAATCAGATTATTATCAAGATGATAGTATATTAGCTGCCTCAACTGGCCCGATATATGAGATGTCGACGGCGACATGTTGGGGTGTGAATAGTTAGGTTTGAGGGCACGGAGAAATTTGGCGATTTAAGAACAGGGCGCGGTGTCGGTCGTGACTACGGTGGAGGATCGAGTAGACAGGTAGGAAACGATTAAGAAGTTTGCTCAGGAAGAGCAAGCATTGGGTAGGCAGTAAGTGAGAGCTAGCGCTCTTTGATAGAAATTCCGGTGACGAAGGAACCACGAGATTCTTTGTGATGCGCGGATGCAAAGATGTGTTAATAGCCAGAGGACCGCTGACAGAGGGAAATGAGTGATACGATCGCTCTGACAGACGTTCCCCTATTACTTCCTTCACAGAATCCCTCAGTTAATTTACCTGCGATATCATACAGGGTCGTGTCTCGGAGAGTGAATGACGTCCGGCCAACTCGTGACGCCCCTTTGGGCCAGGTTGAGACTCAGAGGAGAGTAAGTTGCATGTCGCGAATGACGGTTGAACTGTTGAGAGAGGAGAGCTGCGCGGGGACAGCAAAGTCTCACCAAGAGAGGTGTAGTGGGATGTGGCAGAGGCGATCTTGATTGTCGTCACGATGTCTTTTCGGCCATCAGATGTTTTGGGGCGGTAGTTCAATGCACCACTCTAAGTGGCTGGTGGAGGCGCGGGCGCTTGTCTGGTTGTGGTGGGCAACGCCATTCCCTAATCGTCTGTCAATCCAAAAGTTCCACCAGCGAACTCAATACCACGTTGAGCTTCCGCACTAGCTTCGATCTTGCTCTGTCACGATTAGGTAGTATGGCTTAGTTTCTGTATATATAGCCTAATATCTGCAAGGAGCTATCGACTGATACGATCTGCAACCATCTACATTCACCCTGGATATATCAAACGACACGACTGAAAGTACCTAAATACTCCAGTTCTACTAATCTTGGACGACTGATCAATATGGCACAAGTTTGTCTCCCCCAATTCTACCACTCCTTGGTGACTTCATATGTCAATGACAACTAAAGGGCTGACCCTCTCTCAAGAAAGCGGCAAAAACCCTCGCGACTCGAAATGCCTCCCTCTTACTCCGTACTCATATAACTACTTTCTGTCTTCATGCTGCCTTCCTCCTTCTCCACTGGATATTCAACCGCCCACGCTCTTTAACGCCTTATGTTGTCTTTGCATGTCCGACTCTAGCTATCGAATTCTATCTCGATCGTTTGGGCCGCCCACGCTATAATCCCGCCGATGGCTCACTTCGCTCCCCTGGAGAGGACCTTGGGGCGGCCGGTTTAACAGAATATATGTGGGATGTCTTGTATTGGACGTGGGGCTGTATTGGCGCGGTCTGTGTCTTTGGCGATCGCGCCTGGTGGCTATGGATTGTGGTGCCCTTGTATTCCGTCTGGTTGGCATATACCACTTTCACGGGAATGAAGAGCGGACTTTCCGGGATGGGCGGAACAGAGCCAGCTGTTGCGGAGAGTAAGAGGCAGAAGAAGATGGAGAAAAGGGGAGGCCAGCGAGTACAGTATCGATGATCTGTTGCACTCGACTATTGCATGTACATTATGGGCTATCTCATCGCTATGAGCAAATTGGGTACGATATCTTCACATGTTGGACAGAAATAGTATGAAGAATGTGTTGAATTACGTTTTCCATAAATGTACGATAATGACGTGCACACATATAGACTTACAAAACCACGGGTGCGCTAGTTTATACAACAATCATTAGGCTTTAGCAGTACACGCAAACACAAGAAAGCAGCATTATAATATACCAAAACATACTCGCAGAAAACTATGTGGGGAATAAGTAAGGTCATGATCAATCTGATAGGATATGAGCTAGTGGGAAGGAACAAAAATGAAGGATATCATTCATGAGTGTATCGCTTTGAACCGAACCATATATTTCTCCAATCCAGATGGGGCTTGGGTTCATAGATCGTCCTTAGCAGGTGTCTCTTCAAGGCTGTCATCCGAGTTCTGCATACGATATGCAGCAGTCTCGGTGGCGTCCAGAATCAAGTCGTTTTCCTCCTGTTCCTGTGTACTTTCCAATGGAAAAGGAGGCTCACTTGGGGTGTAAACAGCACTGTTAATCGTAGACTCTGCAACAGGAGTAGCAACGTCAGGTTGTTCATAGCTATCCTTCACGGGGTCTTCACCAACGGGGCTTGTAGCCGATGAGGATGGAATGGAAGCGGTCTTATCGTTTGCTACAATATCTCTTTGTGGTTCGAACGCGGTGTGTGAGTTTCCATAAATAGCGTGTAATTTGTCCATCACGTCCTGAGCGAAAGAAGGATCTTTCCCAGCGAGTAGCTCGGAGACAAGATTTTCAATAGCTTCGTAATGAATGCTCGAGGAGCTTGGCGCTTGCGGCTTATGAAGGTTTTGAGTATCATCAAGTTGCTCGTGAGCCGCCTGCTTAAACGACCGAGATGAGCCCTCTCTAGCTGACCTTTCAACATCCGCATAGTTTTCACGAGCACTATTTAAAGCACTGTAAATATTCTCTGGCGCTTCCTCAAATTCTTGCACGCCTTGTATAGCTTCAGCTGCAGCTACACCCCAAGTTGATCTCGGGGTGTCTTCCTCCCTATCAGCTTCCTGCGCTGTGAGTGGACCGGTCTCTGTATGGCCATCGGATTCCGCACGAGCTTCAGAAGGCTCTAGTTTTTCGCTCGAAGATTCCCCGCCCTCCGAAGTGGCCTGTTCATGTTCTAGAGGTGCATCGTCAAGACCCAGCGCTTGGTCTTCGGACTCCGCAGTACCCTGTGCCGCCGAGCTAGCGTTGTCTGCTTCATGGCGTACTGAAGCTTCGTGATTTGCAGAGTCTGCATCTGAGGTATGCTCTTGGAAAGCGGGTTCACTAGGCATCGGTCGTGGAGGTGGAGAGCCAGACCTAGTATCGAAGTTGTCACTTACTTCTCGGGCCGCAATCTTCCATCTACCGACATCTTTCAGCCTGGCAAGTTCTTTCGCGGCAGCTTCGGCGGTATCCATTCCACGAGATAAGATATCATCTGAGAGTGCCCTGGCATCTTCCAATTTTGGATGACGCATGCCGACCTCCCGGAATTTATCCTTCCAATCTTCAAACTGTGCTTTCAGTGCATGATACCTGGCCCAATCTTTGTAGGTAACACCATCCATCCAAGCCCAGCGCATTCCTATTTCCTGGAGCCCCAGGTCACGCACACTGTCAAGCACATCTAGGGTAGAATTTACTGTTGCAAAGACACGGTGCACTAACTCCTGATCAAATGAACTGTGCCATTCTCGGATAGCATGAGCGCGATCCCTAATGACGACTGCGGCTTGTCTGATGTCCTTAAGAAGCTCACTTTGCGCCGTTTGCTCCGCAGGAGAATATTCACTAGGCAAAGCCTCAGTCAGATCGCCTATACGAAGCTTGATAGTCGAGAGTTCGTGTTCCACAGCAGCTTCTAGAGCCGTTACAAGACTCTCCCCATGATTCTTCGCGCCGCCATTTACATAACCCCCAACGAGTTCATATAGGCGCTCTTCAAGATCTTCAATACCTTTATCAGCAGCCACAGAAAACTTTTCCTGCCAGGTCCGCAGGTCTGACTCGATCTTCTCGCGAGTTTGTGCTGCCAATTCTGTAGGGGACAATGCGCGAGATGCAGATGAAACTACCGTTGTAGAACTTGTGGAAGAATATTCGGTTTTGCTGGCTTCTTGTGACGTAGGAACAACATTAACCTGTTGTTCCGGAGAGCTTGTGGCAGTTGAGGTCAGCCTACTGGGGGTCATTTTTAGATTCTGAAACTCACTTGTCAACCTCATCCACAACATTTCGCAGCTGCTTTCCTTCACGATAGCTGGCTAGTCTCTGCCCGATTTTAACTAATTGAGGTTCAACATTCTCCGAGTAAAGACCGGTAACTTGTGGCCAGAGCCAGCTGTTCAAAAAATAGACAATGGATGACCATGACGTTTGAGCGTAGGGCATGACCGTGGTAGTTAGAACATCTTGACCAGATGTATATGTTTTTCCAATAAAGGGTCTTGTCCGAGCCAGGAACGGCTGAATATAGCCAACACATGTCGACTCAAAGGCGGAGTTTGCCTTCTGATAGTATGGCGACACCACTGCCGTGACTCTTCGGAGTTGAGGTGCTACCTCAGCGTTATACAGCTCGCTCGCACCATCTTTTGCGGACTGTAGAAGAGGGGCAACTTGCTTTTCCCACTGCTTGGATCCATACGCATGAGCCTGGTCCAAAGCAGGTGCGCCATATTTATCGTAGCTAAACTTAGCGACATTCGCGGCAGGGGTATAAACCTTTTCGTTGAGTACCACCACATACGGACGGGCTTTCTCATAGTAAGGCGCGCCGTAGGTGTTGTAGTATGGAAGAACGTGAGGCTCAACATAAGAGCGGGCGACGAGATACGGCTTGCAGACTCGCAGAGAGGACTCGTTCAAATCCGAAAATTGAGCCGGGCATCGGAAAATTGGGGCGAGCAGTATATACCAAATACAAAGCCTATATTGGTAGGTTGATTGTTAGATCGTGGTTGTAAAAACTATACCTACACAAGAATACAAGCATACCGCACCACCAATCCGAGCGTCCATCGGAAGGTATTTGTGGTTCTAGACTTCGGCTGGACCTCTCTATCTCCCACATCTTTAACAATGCCTTCTGAGGCATGACCGCTATCTGAGGTGGTCATCGCTGGTGACCTCGCCTCGGCAATTGGAGGCCCCTATTTGAGTCGATAGGATGCAAGCGCTTGTGTCGTCACGCGTATAATTCAAATAGATACAGGTCTCGAACAACTTGCTGGTTCTCCCTATATCATCGCAATTGCATTACGGAGCCACACCGTGTGGGCTTCAGCAGAAATTAAGACCGAAGGATAGACTCAATAACCTGGCCCTTCGCTAAGTTTCAACGAGACTCGCACGCGACGAAGGCCCAGGTCTTGGCGCGTGTTATTTTCTTTTGTTGAAATATGATGAACTTCAAAGAAGCCGATAAATACAGTCGATAAGGAGCTGGGCTGTCTCAATATGTATAAATAGCTTGAAGAAAGCTCAATTACAGTTACATCAAACTCAGAGAGACTTCAGGATAAATGCACGAAGGCTGAAGTGAGGTCATCGTTTAGTTCAGCGCATCTACCGCCTTACAAAGCGTTACACTAGGGTCCCTCACCGGTAGTTATCAACTCTGTCCCTGGCTGTAACATACTGTACCCCCACGTGATGCCATCTGTGGCGTCGTCGGTGCTGAGTCATCGTCTCCTATGGTAAACTGACATCGATGCTGGTCATCATTCCTCAAGGATTCTTTGTTCTGGAGGGTAAGGGGCCTAACATTGGTACCCTAGATTGTCGGCGTCATATCTCACTCCTAGCCACTCTGCGACTCAGGGAAACTATAGACATGATACCTTGCTATCGCTATTAATGACGATCGGATCGTCGACTCAAACTTGTCGAAATCATGGAACCCCCGACGGATCAACGTTCCGACTATGCAGGAGGCGCCGCACCATCTTTTCCAGACGTGATGAATGACCCAGCGTACGCTACAAATTACAGAGGAAAAGAAAGGGACTTGGAAGAACCTGATACTTGCCGAATATGTCGGGGCGAAGGTACGGAGGAAGAACAACTGTTCTACCCTTGTAAATGCAGTGGTAGCATCAAATTTGTCCACCAGGCATGCTTGGTGGAGTGGCTATCACACTCGCAGAAGAAACATTGTGAGCTGTGCAAAACACCGTTCCGCTTTACAAAGCTATACGACCCAAACATGCCTCGAGATTTGCCAACGCCACTATTCCTGAAGCAATTGTTGGTCCATAGCTTTCGCACCGTGGTGACATGGTTGCGGTTTGTTCTTGTTGCATTCGTCTGGCTTGGATGGTTACCCTGGTCCATGAGGGCCATCTGGAGAGCTTTGTTCTGGCTTGCAGATGGCCGCTGGTCTGGTGGGGATAATGCTATGCAAGGACCGACCGAGGAACGCCTTTCTGAAGCAATGGCAAACAACACCGCTTCGCTTCTTAGTGCAGGTGTTGCGACAAGCTCAGCCCTGGCCTCTACATTTGAAACGAACACAGCCGATACGCAATCCATGCCGTCACCAGCATCGTCAATGTTTAGCTTCTCGTCAGGCGAACCGCTACTGCTTACCATAGTAAAGAAAGCATTTTCTGGCCTTTTCTTTCCGGCCATGTCTTCAAGTTCCAGTTCGACAACCGGAAGGGCTCCAAATATAACGGTAGGGTTTTATAAGCAGCGGCACCCCTCGTGGCTGTCTGATGTCAAATTCTTGAATAATATCACACCGTCCCCTACGATTAACAATATTCTCATCGACACATTGGAGGGCCAGTTAATTACGTTACTTGTTGTCATATCCTTTATTCTAATCTTCCTTATCCGTGAATGGGTCGTCCAGCAACAACCGATGGCTAATATCGCGGATGGTGAACGGGAAGCGGCTGTCCAGTTAATAGCGAATAATCGTCCAAATCCCGCGGACGAAAATCCTCACCTAGGAGAACATAGACCTCTACATCCAGACAACGAACAACAGGAAGAAGAAACTCACAATCATGAAGATGGATTCGATCACGCTGACGATGCCTTCCCTGACGCTGTAGCTGAGGTGGACTTGCCTTCTAGGAACATGTCGGTTCGGGATGAGAATATGGCGTTTGTGGATGGCCTCAGAACGTCGGGTTCCTTCCGTCGGAACCTGGAGAGCGCTGATGATGGACCGAGCAATGTTCTTGCAGCAGAATCAGCATCCCAGATCAATCAACCCTGGCCTGGCGTCGAGACCTTCAGAGACCTCTGGTCGCGTGGTCATGGTGACCCTGAACAGGTCCTAAGAATCATACACGAAGAGGGCCGTCAGGATGAGCTCAGTTGGGTTGTCACGGCCATGACAAAGCTACAGCACAGTGATGGTCCTAGAGTATCCTGGCCTCACAATCAAAGCTTCTCAGGCCCATCCAGTTATGTCCAGCGTCCGGGCGAGACAGATTCAGAAACTGCAAGTCATAACACAATTGCTTCCGCAGGATCGTCGCTACCGGATTCTCTTTGGAACACTGCATCGCAGTCATCAACCCCTGTTGTTCGGGAGCCCTGGGATATTGCGAGCTCGCAATCTGGAAGCGATACTCCTATGGACCAGTTGCGCACTGACTTCGCTTCCGATTTCCCGGGATCTGAACCTGGAAGCGAAGAGGATGGGGAGTCGCAGTCAGATGCCCCTAGCTCCGCGAATGACTTTGTTGGAGTTGTCCAGGAATTTACCTCGCATGAACCCTCAAGTGCAAACGATACTACCAATTTGGACCATGAACCAGCTGCAAACGTGCCGCTCCCAACACAGACGGAACATCCTAATGCTGCACCTCGTAATTTGGCTACCAGGCTCTTTGACTGGTTCTGGGCGGACATCACCCCTGATGATCAGGCTCAGGAGCACCCACAGCCGGATGAGGAACACGTAGTTGAGGACCCTGCATTAGAAGAACCATTTGTGCCCTTGCAAAACAATCGACGCCTGGCCAATGCCGGTGCGCAGGATAATCAAGCGATCTTTGCGGATGCTGGAATTGACGGCAACGATGTTGACGCTGTCGAGGAGGGCGATGATTTAGAGGGGATTCTAGAACTCATCGGTATGCAGGGTCCGATCTTCGGTCTCCTACAGAATGGTGTATTCAGCGCTCTGCTTATATCATTTACGGTTTCTGTCGGAATTTGGTTGCCTTATCTTTGGGGTAAAATCGCCCTCGTTCTTCTAGCCAACCCTATACAACTGGTCTTTGGCGTCCCAATGACGGCAGTATCAATTTTTGCAGATGTTACAATTGACACTTTAATTGGCATTCTGGGATATGCCATGTATGGGGTCAGTCTTATCGTCAAGCTGGTGTTGAGTCCCCTTAGCGCTCTACTCCCTCTGGGTGACTGGATTCCTCAGACAAAGTCTATCACCACCGCTTCTCTTTCACTCATTGATGCTAGCAGTCATCGGCTAGGGAACGTGATTAGTTCCTTCTTTGTGTTCCATGAATCAGATGTTCCCATGTTCTCCGTCCTCTCTCACCAAGCACTGAAGATACATGAAGAGCGTATCACGAGCTTGTTTCGGCTATGCTTTGGAATAGGCAAATTTGTCTTGTACGACTTCCCACTCCAGTTACTTACTACTGAACTACCTGATTCCCAATCGTTCAAGCACGGAGTTGTCGATTTCGTCAATTTGATACCCCAGGCTCGCGGTCAACTTTATAGATTTGGGAATCAAATTCTCTTCTCTTCGAACGCAACATGGTTTAATGCAAGTGTGACGGGGTTATCTTCAGGTGCCATAGCTGTGGATTACGAACTGGCCGTATGGGACACCAAGGATCGAGTCATTGCCATTTTATTGGGGTATCTCTTAGCGTCAGCTTTGGGTCTGCTATACCTTCGTATCACTGGCCTCCTATCAGGTGCGGACAGGGGTCAGAGGGTTGAAGGCATAATTGCCGACGTTCTGCACCAAGCTGGTGGAGTCATGAAAGTCATCTTGATCATTGGGATTGAGATGATCGTTTTTCCGTTATATTGTGGTACTCTGCTTGATGTCGCATTGCTCCCTCTTTTTGAGAATGCTACTATTACATCGCGCCTTGAATTCACATCGTCATCTCCACTTACTTCATTGTTTGTGCATTGGTTCATTGGCACGTGTTACATGTTTCACTTCGCTCTTTTTGTGTCCATGTGCAGGAAAATCATGAGAAGTGGTGTTCTCTGTATGTCCGACCTTTCCTACGTTTCGATGACGTCTACTTACAACATTCCACAGATTTCATCCGCGATCCCGACGATCCGACCTTTCATCCCGTGCGCGATGTTCTAGAGCGTAGTATAACCACCCAACTACGCAAGATTGCATTCAGTGCTCTTGTGTATGGCGCTCTAGTCATCGTTTGTCTTGGTGGTGTTGTCTGGGGTTTGTACTATGCATTCGACGATGTGCTCCCTATCCATTGGTCTGCCACAATGCCAGTCCTTGAATTCCCCGTTGACCTCCTATTCTACAACTTCCTCATGCCCCTTGTGATTCGATCGCTCAAACCTTCGGACGGATTGCATGGCCTCTACAATTGGTGGTTCCATAAGTGCGCACGTTTCTTACGACTGACGAACTTCTTTTTCAATGAGAGACAGCCAGATGAGGAAGGTTATCATGTCAGACGGTCTTGGTGGGCTACGCTATCGCGGGCAAAGGGAGATATTGATCACCCTATAAAAAGTGGAGAACAGCGACGCGATGCTGATGACAAGCATATCGATGCCTACTTTGTTCGGGATGGTAAATTTGTCCGCGCCCCTGCATCTGATCAGGTTCGGATCCCAAAGGGTAATTCCGTGTTTCTGGAGGTGTCGGAATCAAACGAAAGAATCGATGGGCTTCCTGAGACCAACGAGGGACTACACAGCCGAGCGAATCCTATGTTTACAAAGGTTTACATTCCGCCCTTTTTCCGAACGCGGATTGCCGCATTTATTTTCTCGATATGGGTATTCGCGGCTGCTACTGGCGTAGGCGTCACAATTATTCCATTGGTCGTGGGCCGGAAAATGATGTCGTCGCACTTCCCCAACCGACCGCTGAACGACATCTATGCCTTCTCAGCAGGCATCTGCATAGTTGGTAGCGCTGCCTACCTTGCGCTTTATTGTCACACCAGCTTTGCTGCGATGAAGGACCGTTTGAGGCCATATTTACAGTCTCCTCGCCAGGCCTGTATTGGGTTGACCAGCGCTATAGCCAATGCCCTTCAGCTCTCCTACATCGCTTTAGCGTTCTCGCTGATTTTACCATCACTGTTTGCTCTAGTAATTGAGCTTTACGTGTTGGTTCCCGTGCATACGTACCTCGATGGTGCACAGACACACGTCATCCATTTTGTGCAGGACTGGACTATTGGAGTACTCTATGTCCAAATGGCAATCAAATTCGTGCTCTGGTATTCCACCTCTCGTCCCGCGGCCGCTCTTAATGGCATATTCCGCGATGGTTGGCTGAAGCCCAATGTAAAGCTCGCCACGCGTGCTTTACTACTTCCAGTCATACTCTTAACGGCAATTGCGGTTGCCTTGCCATTGTCGGCCGGGTTTCTGGTCAATTCGACCGTATTTTATTCCACCCCCGAGGTCCAGTTCAAGGTTTACCGTTATGCATATCCTCTCACATTGCTTCTGAGCTTGCTGTTTTGGATTGGTTTCCTCGTAAATCGACAGGTGGAGAAATGGAGGGTCAATATCCGTGATGATGTCTACCTAATTGGAGAACGCCTTCATAACTTCCGCGAGAAGCGGGCGAAAGATGTCGGTGTAGCCCGACGAGTGATCACAGGGTGATTCAATGTTAAATACAACAACTTTTGAAAAGAAACCATTTTTGAGTTCTTCGATTCGTGTACATGCTATGACTGATGAATAAACCTTTCTTTCTCCCTTCCCTTTCGATCACATTCACACTGTACCTAGTAGGTTTACTTGATGGTTGCCTGGTCCATTTCTTCTGTGGGTATCCATCCAAGTGGGTCTCAGCAAACCCTTTGTTGGTTTAGATTTATTTTTTTTCCTCCTTATTATTATTACCTCGCTCGCTTCCATATAGAGTAGTCCCTTACTCCAAAATGCATAATGTGTCATCTTTTAGTGGATTGTACTCGCATACTTTGGAAATGTAAGGTTCGGTGCATACTTTACACACTAGATAAGATTAGTCGGGTGTAACATGATCAACGAAGGTACAGCCGATCTAATATGTAGATTATCTTGCAAGCCCAAGATGAAATGACTTCATCTATCAAAAGCAAGCAATATCCAAACTCTTCAGGTCGACCTGAACCATGAAAGATCTACTAGCTAATCTGTATCATGAGCTTAATGCTCTGAAACAGGCAAGGATGTGGCTTGTGCAGGCGATGCACGGATGTCATGCATGCGCCACTGTTCGGGAAATGGCCAATCATTAATGCATGAGCCTGGGCCTGGGAATCGCGGCTGCCTGCCACGTGATGCGCCAAGCTTGCGCGGACTTGTGGCTTGGCGATGGAGGCTTTACTGCACTCGCCACTCCCTATTGGTTAGGCAACAGAATTCCTGCCCACCTTCAATCTATTCTTATTCCTCCTGTCGCTCTTTGCCCCTCGACTTTGATATCTACTGAACAATTGTTGAAGCTGCGCGACCAAAACACCCCTAGCAACAGTCTTTGAGACCATGCATTGCCACTGGTAACGGCGGCGTATTATCTGCAATGCTCTGAATCCCTGTTGAATCTTACAATTCGTCCCGGACAGCCTGCGCGCCAAGATGTCCGTTCTCCGTCATGGAGGTTCGTACCTCCAGCGACGCCTTACCAAGATGTATACAGACACCAAGACCTCTTGCGAGAGTGTGACGACTGCCTCAAAAGCTGTTGATGACCCAGAGCTAGTTGCTCTTCACCGGAGCTTTCGAACACAGAGAGACAGGCTTCTAGCATGGGGTCTAGATTGGAGCGACGCCAGCGCTGCACAGCCGAACGATATCGATGAATCGCTAACACAAGCTGGCTACAGCGATGTTGTTGCCAGTGTCATGTCTTCTATTCAAGAGCTTCTCAATGAAGCAGAACGCATTCAGCATGCAGGGACCTCCGACCTACCCCCCAAAGGCGTTCGGTCAGACCCACCCTCGAAGGATGGTCTTAGTAGTCTGCCACTTAAGACGCACTGGACTGACGAAGATATCAATCGGTCTAAGCATCTTCTCGCCGACCTAACCGCTTGCATTGATACACTTTACGATCTGTCCCGCTCACGACGCAACATGACCTCCAGTGGACAGTCGGCTGCCAAGGCTAGGTCACGACAATATCCTGGGTCAACAGCAGAGGATACCATCTATACCGTTTTCCCAGATTCTAAACCATATCATGGCGCCTCTATTGACTCCAAGCATCCCAAAACACAGCTTGAATATTCACCGTTTTCCAATCGCGCTGCCACCGCCCTCGAAAAGCCACAACTCGATAAGCCATTCAGCAAGATATCCCTAACTACGAACCAATACATTATCGATCGTTCGGCTCTGCAACTTTCCGGAGCATCCCACGACAATAGTCCCCCACCCTACGAAATGGTAGCCGCCTCCACCAATTCCCGGGCCATTGGGCGCATGAATACATCAGCATCACCTTTTCTGCGGGGTACGAAAGATTCTACTGTCACCATTCTGGTTGAGTTTACTCCCATGATGCTTGAGAACTCAGGGGCGTCTACTGCGCCAGGAATTCAACGGCTAGATCATGTGCATCAGACTCTTGACCAGCTTGTCCAAAACGCCCGGGTTTCCCATCTGGGCTTGTTGAAGTTTCTCGGCTACTATGTTGATATGCCTAACTCCCGGTATGCCTTTATCTATCAGATGCCGGTTGACTACTTTCCGTTCTTACGCAACCCTACCGATCTATTGAACGGGCTAAAACCCAAGCCTTTGTTGTCGCTCTTCCAGTCGGGTGAAGAGTATCACGTACCTAACTTAGAAACACGCTTTCGCTTGGCTTATGACCTTTTAATGGCTGTTTTGCAATTACGGAGCCAGAACCTTGTGCACGGAAATATAAACAGCAGCAATGTTCTTGTCTTCCCTGGGTTGACAAACTCAAATACCGATGAAGTTGGACTCACAGAGAACTTGCGGCGTCCTTACCTCACCTCGTTCGCTCAGTTCTCCGGGACCAGCTCATCTCCTGAGCCTCTTTCATCAAGCATGTATCGTCATCCGGATGATAAGAGGTCTCTGGGAGATGACGCTGCTTGGGCATATGACCTTTACTCGCTTGGTCTGGTATTGATGGAGATCGGGCTATGGACGCCTATCAGTCGTTTGTGGAAGATGAAGTACAACAACTCTATGTTCAAACAAAGGATCGAAAATGTTTACCTTCAGAAGCTGGGTCCCAAGTGTGGCAGCGCATACCTTCACGTGGTACAGCTCTGTCTAGATGCACCCAATTTCCATCTTTCAACACAGCCGTTCGATGACTTCAACCTCAGGATTCCTCAAACATTTCACTATCCTGTGTTAGATCTATCCGAGCCTGACAGTATCTTCTCATTCTCCATGAACTTCATTTACACTATGTCCAAGATCGTTTGGTCTTGCTGCAGGATCGATATTTTCTCGGCACCCGGGGCTGAGGAGTTGGATGATTGCCTCCCACTTGCTCTCGTTCCAGGATCAGAGCCCGCGGCAACGAAGGAGCCTATCAGGGACTATAACCCCAATCCCGAGCCCTTTGTTCCATATACCGAACCATTTGCCACGCTTCCTACTGCCGAAATGAAACTGATAAGAGAAAAGATGGGCTTGGATGAGAGGAAAGTGCGGAAGAGAACGTTTAAGAAGCTCACCAATGTTGAAATACCTCAGGAGCATCTCAACGAATGGAACTTTCAGATGTTACCTCGGCTGAGAAAACTTCTACAAAAGATCTTAAAAGACTCGTCTGAGTCGTGCAGTGTCACTCTCATGATGACAGGCGAAGCCCCCGACAGTGCCAGGACGACAATCTGCGTGACGTGTGCTAGCGCGAAAAAAGTCAGGGCTGCCTTGAAAAAATACTTTGCTCTCGATCGGGAAGATTGGGATCTGATCGTCCTTCGTGGCGACATTCAACGCTCAAAAGTCCCTCGGAAGAAACGTCGTAGGCCAGCAAAATCTGGTCCCGAGAGAAACGACGTGCCTGCATCCTTTCGTCCGGACCCAAACCCTTTGTATCAGCCTCGGCCTCTCTGCGGTGCCTCCATAGGTGCCTTCATGAACGAAGAGCACCTACCTCCGGTAACTTATGGCGGGGCTATTTTGGTGGATGGAATGCCGTATGGTATGACAGTACACCATATGTTGGAGTCGCCCAGTGATCAGGAGGACGGCGAGGATGAAGATCCCGGTGCTCCTCTCCGATCGGCAGGGAACTGGTCTCGAGATCCCACACCCCAGGAAGCAGAATTCATGTACAGCTGGTGTGACGAAAATCCGTCGGAACTTGAACTTGAGATCTCGGAGGACGAGGATGGCGACGATAATTCCATCTCGCTTAGCCTAGAAGGGACTTACGACGACTTCAACCTTTCTGATGGATTCTCCTCAGATGAGGACGCATTTGACATTGATGAGGATGAAGACTCGGCCTCTGTAGGTGACACGGCTGGTATTGATCCAGGCGACGAGCCACCGTTATTCGTCACCCAGCCAGCGATCGACGATGTTCACGAAGATTTTTTTCCGTGTCCTGAAGATCGTGACGACGAACATCTAGCCTCTCACTCTCTTGGATTTGTCCATGCTTCTTCTGGTGTCAGACGCTGGACACGCAAAGGCATCAAGCATGAGATTGATTGGGCCTTGATCAAGATAAACGATGATCGGATTGATGCGCGTAACATAGTGTTCAGTCAACGTCCTATGCAACAGGCTGAAACCATTTATTTGAACGATATTGCACGCCTCGAAGATCTTGGTGGCTTGAAAGTTCATTGTTGCGGTCGAACCAGCGGTTTGCAAACTGGACAGATATCTCGAGCAATGACAATAGTAAAACTCCATGGCCGACAGACTTTCTCGACGAGTTTCTGTGTAGACGGGAGCTTCGGTGGTAAGTAAGCATACCCAGGAGCCCTGGTTGTTCTGGAATTTTTTTTCTAACTTATTCTAGTTCCCGGCGACTCAGGAGCATGGGTCTTCGAAAAGTCAACCGGTCGAGTATGCGGCCACGTCCTAGCTTGGTCGGAGAAAAGCCACACGGCATACATCGCCCCAATGGAAGTCATGTTAGAGGACATCGCCCGCACCCTGGACGCGACATATGTCAGTCTACCAGGCTATCCGCATGAGTCTTTCTCGTATCCCGCGCCCGGTTCCTCCCATTTTGAACCTCAAAACCCAAGATATCGCGCCCCGCCCCCACTGCCAGAGCAGCTTCCAGTTGATATCGGACGTCTACGTATAGAGGATCCTAGTATGGGCCCGGTGCACCCCAGCCGAGCCCGAGAGGTTTCCACCCCATATCGAGGAATGCCACCCATCCTGACTCCACCCCGCAGCTTGGAGAGGCAGCTCGCATAAAATTTCGTTCTTTTTCGTTTCCCTTCCTTTACTCTCTTACATCAACCTTCATACCGCATTTGTGTTGTCTTCTATACCCCTTCTCTCCCTTTTTCTTTTTCCTTTTTTTTGATCCACTTTTCAGTTGCTATCTCGAACTCTCTATATCGTCATTCGTGACTCTTGGATCTGGCTCGGCATTCTGCTATTCTGTTCTTACCTTTTTTTATGGTTATGATTATACATGAGTGGATGGGAAAGAACTAAATAATACCCCTTTGCGCATTTGTTACATAGTTTCTAATCTCACTTTCATCAGACAATGAGCGATCTACTTCCTCGGGCTTCTATTACTCTCCATTTATCTCTCTCTCATTCTACTGTGCGATCAGAACAAGATTTCATCGTCTTGAAATTGACGTCCGGAGAAACATAGTTGTACATAGATAGGGCTGGGTCTGAATATACTGGATAGTCATTCAAGAATCTTTCTATGTACTAAGATTCAGTTGTTGATAAGGATATGCCCCAGCTGATGCTTTGGAGTATCCATAGTCTATTTTCTGCTCATTTAAATCCAGGATCGTTTTTTTTTTTTGGTTTTAGATATTCAAATATTCAAATGCTGTGACCCGGTGTACTTACAAGCCTAGGGGCCGAGTTGCTACTCTGATATCTTGGGGTGCTTTTGATATTTTGATATTTATTTTTCTAACTAGAATGTACTGAACACATAGTTAAGGAGAAATGCTTAATAACCGACATCAAACACGTCATGTGCATCAAAAATCACAGAAACATACATAACATGCACCCTCCAAAAGCCGAACCCCGATCCTTCTCTCATTCCCAATGCTCAAGTGCATGACTTTAGATATGATGTAAAAGAAAAACAAAACATGAGGCCATCCACACCATTTGATATTTAATGTAGGATTTAGGACGAAAGGTACTTGAGAACAGCTTCCTTCTCTTCAACAGGAAGCATGCTCAGAACCTGCTGGACACCCTTCAATCCACCGTCCTTATTACCGATAAGTAATTGCGCAACATCTGCAGCAACGGATTCGGTCTTGAGGGATTCAATCTTAGTCTGAATGAGCTTCTTGTTCTCCTCATACCACAAGGCCACACGTTGGTCATCACTCTCCAATTCGTCATCAAGTATTCCAGTCCAGGTGCGCAGGGTGTGAAGGTGAATCGAGCGAGCAGATTCAGTAGAAGAGATGTTTCCGGCTGGTGCGGCTGGGATGGCACCACTGCTGGCGTCGCGGGGTGCGGGAGATGGTGCCGCAGCAACCATGCGCTTAAGGATAAGTTCCTCACTGAGACGGCGACGCACACGCCAGTAGAAGAATCGACGTGCGTTCTTCCAGGTGAGCGGCCTGCGAATAGTGTTCTTGGCCTCCATGCGGCCAGCACGATCATGAAGATCAGCAAACTGCAGAGCAATCTGCAAATAGACGGGCAGAAGTTGCTCCTCGCGAGCAGCCATCTTGGTCTTGATCTCCGACAACTGCTCCTTACTGAGCGACGGGTCCTCAAGAGAACGTCGGAGCTCACCATAAGTAGCATCCAGGCGAGCCATGGTATCCAACTGCTTGTCACGGCGGTACTTAATGTTAACAATACCCTCGGGCTCAAGGACACCACCGCGAGCTTCCTCATCCGCGTACATCTCCATCTGGTCTGGATTAATTGTAGGATCAATGACGACCCACGAACCACCACGGAGTTCACCGAAGGGCGGGATGTAGACGAAGATGGGCTGCTCATACTTGACCAAAGCATCGACGATGTACGAACCATACTTCAGAACCTCATTGTACATGTCGCGCTGTCCACCCGAGAAACCTCTCCAGTTGGCCAGGATCATTACAGGAAGCTGTTCACCGTTGTTGAAGTCACGAAGGGCTTGGGCTGTCTTGAAGGCAGAGTTAGGGTACCACACTCCACCGGCTTCGGTGCTGATCATCTCCATCGAGTCTGGGTTGGCCGGGTCGGCTGGAGTAACGTTCTCCACCGAGCGAGTCTCAACAGCGATGACACCCATAGGGATACCACCCAGTCGCGCGCGGCCAACAACAACGGTACGAGCCCAACCGCCAAGAGCTTCTTCGAAAGACCCTGCGTCAAACAAGCCAGAAAGGAAGCCCTCCTCATCCTCTTTACCGGCAATGAGCCAGCGAGGGTCATAGGCCTGCTTGGAAGGAGGATGGTACTCGATGTCACGATCCCAGTTGTCCGACCAAGGGCGGATCGGATTGGGTGACCCCTTCCTGTCAGGAACGAAGGACATCCATTCAACGATCTTCTGCACACCTTCAAAGTCATCATTAGCAGTCATGTGCGAAACTCCGTTCCTGTACATAATCTGCGTTCCACCAAGCTGGAGGTTAGATGTGTAGACCTCTCTGCCCAGCAGTTTGTTAATGGCCGGAGCACCCGTGAGGATAATTGGCTGGCCCTCAACCTGGATAGCTCTTTGGCCGAGACGGACGAGATAGGCACCGATACCGACCGAACGGCAAGTGACCAGAGTAATCGTGAAGATGTCTTCATAAGCCTTGGAGGTGGCACCTGCAATCAGACCAGAGCCCTTAAGACATTCAACACCTAGGCCGTCCTTGGCACCGATGATAGTGGTGATCTTGTGTCGCTCTTCACCTTCATCGTTGATCAGCTCAGTGATAACCTCCTTCTTCTGGCTCGCGTCGAACTTCTTCTTAACCTCGGGAGTAAGGTAGAGGTACTTGAACCCAGCCTCAGGTCTCTCGGGATCATTCCAAGCAACAGAGAAGTACGGGATCAGCTCATCAGCCATTCCGATACGAGCACCCGAGTTGGCAGAAAGGTAGATACGAGGAATGCCAAGCTTTCTGGCCAGCTCGGTACACTTGTGGAAGAACTTGTCCTCCTGTGGACCAAACGATCCAATTTGGAATGTGATGTCGTTGGCAACGATGATGAATCGCCGTCCACGAGGATATTCAGGAGTGCGGGCAGTCACAAGCCAACCCACCATACCGTGCGTGTTCGTACCAGGGCCTCTCGAAATTTCCACCAGATTGTCAGTGTCATCCAGCACAAGTTCGGTGTAGTCGATGCATTCGCCAACGGGAGGGCGCTGCTCCGCCAATGATGGCACCTTAGCGATGGCTTTGGTCCAGCTATTCTGGAAGGCTTGCCGGAAGAGCTCTGGGAAATCGTACACATATTGAGTGCCCATCAGATGAGCCTTGTACCGCTTAGGCTGGAGCCACTCCTTGGTGGGGTATGGCGTGGAGACAGGGCGCAAATGCATGGATCCGAGCTTGTTGGTACCACCAATGCTATGGAAGACCCATTCGCCCTTTTCGGACTTCTTCTCAATGTAGAGTTCCACCTGGATAATGAAACCATAGGTGTTGGTGATGATCACACGCAGAGGGTACGGGGCTCCGGTGGTGGGGTCAGTGCACAGGATACGGATCTCAGCACCAGTAACGCGAAGTCGCCAGAGGCGACGGCCGAAACGATCCAGGAAGCCAGCCAAGGCCTCCTCAACGTCCTTCGGCTGTAGGTTGAACACAGGAGAGAAGTTGATGAAGATGTGGTTCAGATCAGAGTTGTTGTTGCCGATGATTTCGAGAGCATCCAAGATATCGTTCATCAACCGGTCAGCCTCGGAGATCAGATACTCAGCCGTAGGGATATCGTCACGAAGGCGGCCCGGACGCACCACCGCACGCACAAAGTACCGCTTGTCCAACGCCTTGTCACTCTCCGGACCCTTGCCAATCGCCTGATAGACGTGGATGTTACGGTTTTCGGTGAAGACTGGCTTGATCTTGAACTTGGACAACCGGCCGAGTTCCAGCTGGAACGCCAGGGCAGGCTCGCTATGACGGATGCTCTCATCCTCCTCGTAAGTAGGTCCTCGGAAGGTATAGTAGCCTGGGTAGATGCCATTCTTGCCACAGATAAAAGTCACACGGCGGATGCGACGAGCAAGCAACTCATCCTTGACATCAGCCAGAAGTTCATTGATCTGAGATACAATCTGTGTGTCGTCAAGGTCTTCAACATCACGGACAGCAATATTGCAAACACCAGTCAACTCGCTGTCGCTTTCAATTCGAGGAGCCGGTCGACGCTTGCCCTCCAGCGTGGCAAGAAGGCCATTATCAGAAGGCTTCTTTGCCTTTGAGCCAGCCCGAGGGAAGACCTCCAAGGCTCTAGGCAGGTATTCCTCGGCATCCTCCAAGTACTGGACTGGGAGAAGGACACCCTTTCTGGTAGGCTCGTTGCTTCCATCATTGACCAGGTATGACATGTCACTGATGGAGTTCAGCCTGCGGAAGGGGTTGCTCTCCGTTGTTGGGGTGCTTGGAGTCGACGGGTGTGTCGACGTGACACCGCCAAACTCAGGCTGTCCGAGCTTATCAAGCGTGAAGTCCCACGAAAGCAGTGGCGGCTCGCCGGAAGAGTGATACTGAATGCCTTTTAAGGTGTATGCACGGTAGGCACGGCGAACATAAACCTCGAGAGCAGCCAGTGTGACCCAGGCATCTTGATGCACGAAGAAACGAGGCAGCACATCGAAAACAGTGTACTTCGAATCAACGACCTCCTTCAGCACGCCGAAATCGGGTTCGCGATGGTCCCAACCGGTCTCACCGTAACGCGACTCAACAACCGAGGAACGTAAAATTAGTTCCATTTGCGAGAGGCGTTCCTCCAGAGAGGGAAGAGCGCACTGGATAAGAACTTCACGTGCCTTCAGAGTGACCTTAGCGGCAGATCGGGATTCAAGTTCTGTGAGTTTCTGGAGAACCGGCTTGAAATGCTTGCTGACGTTGCCGACGCCAGGTTGGTTGGGACGGTACATTGCCAGAATGGCAAGGATCAGGTTATTCTTGGCACCAATGCGACTATGAGAGAGTACAGTCTGAACAACGCTGAGAATATCATCCTTGTGCTCGTCTCTGAGTTTCAGGATAGCATCTTCGTCACGAGTGTTGCGACCAGAGAATAACTTCTCCACTTCGTAGTACTGCTCCAAAAGTCCAATGAAGACATTGAATTCGTTGGTCTTTAGCCCATCGATATACTTGTTGATGACTTGCTCCAGAGGCAAGAGAGTTGTTCTCAAGATTTCAGCGTCCGCGGGATTGAGGTTTTCTTCGACAAATCGACTAATAGTCTTCTGAAGCTGCTTGGCCGGGAATTCAGTCTTACGGGCGCGTGCACGATCGACAACATTTTGAAGCTGAGTGTCTAGTCTCTGAGGCATACGAGAGTGCAGAGCAGAAGATTGAGCATTCCACTCTCCATAGGGAAGCTCAGGATCCCGAAGAACTTCCACAAGCTCCTTGAGCGTGGTACTCATGATTACTTGGTTATCAAATCCTCGCAGAATGTTCTCCAGGATGCTATGGAGTAGGAAAAACCTCTGAGGAGGCTTGTTACCCACAACCTGTGGGGGACCAAGATCCGGCAGCTGCCCGGTGAAAGGTTGGGCATGCTTGACCCGGGAAGGATCATCCAAGGCGAGAATACCGAGGATATCACCTGCCTCCAAAGTAGCACCGGGCTGTTTGATCAACTGGACAATTCCGTCTTCTTG